ATTATGTTTTACATGTTATTGTTTATCACAATAAATAATTGTGAATTCAGGAAATCTCAAAAACAAACACCTAGTACACATGAACAGCCAAGCATATCATTTTGGTTCATAACTTTTGCTATCTTCTTAGTCAGTTCTCATTAAGATGTTATGTATTCATCTGTACTCGCTATGCATTTTCAAGTTAACAACACGTGTTGTCCAATTTTCAGGTCAGGAATATAGGGATAGCAAATCTATGTTACTCGTTCATATCTCTGTACTTCCAAGAAACCGATAAACACTTCCTACGCAGGTCACAACAACATTTAAATAACGCGATGACATGACATATAAAACAACGCAATTATATGCGCAGTTAAAATCTGTTAGCATACAATTAGTCTTGTCATTTACATCATGTGATTTACAGATGATTATAAAGAAATTTAACATTTAATCATTTAACTGAAATGACAGAAATTTACACTTATAATCAATTCGAAGAGGCGAAAGTCAAAATTGATCAGTACATCACTACACAAAAGGGTAGATTTAATAACCAGAATAATAACAAGGGCTTCGCATAGTCAATACATTTGTATTAAATAAAACTATCATATCGTTTGTTAAGTATTATATAAACAACATTCTATTAAAAGTATTTTGTATGTTGCAATGCCTCAGTAGTAAATAACATAACTTTATTCAACATAAAATTGTATACATACAATTTATAGTCATACAATTCAGATACTGTGTGGTGAAAAGTGTTATAAGTTACAGTTAGTTAGCCGAGAAGTATTGTTAATAAGTATAAACAAAGGCTACGACATATCTAACAGAGTTTGCATAACAATACTTTTACATGTAAAAACAAATGTATTTAAACAAAAAAAAGAGAAATATATTTGTCAACTTTGCATTATATCATTATCTATTAATTAAACGGCAATTATTAATATTTCTAAGATGACATAAACGTCGTATGTACAAAGCGTGTATGCTGTCGTAGTTATCTCCTTTTTACCAGTGGACATAAAGGAAAAAGAGTGTTTATGGCTACTAAAAGGCTAAACTCTGGAGTATATGTCATTTTTTAAACGCATAATACAGATATCTTGCCAGAATATTAATTGTGTTGATATTTGTGATTGTCTTTAGTTTTCTGAATTTCTTCATTGTATGCCATCTACAAAAATATATTTAAACATGGCAAAGATCAAAAACATTAGGAGAAAAACAAGACAATCCCAGCAAACACAAGACGTCACACTGACGTCAGATTTAAGTCAGGTTGTGACGTCGGATGACGGTCGGAAAAACGGTTGGATTTGGAAGTTTTTTTTGACGTAATAATCTAACCATTATTTAACCTTCTTCTGACGAAAATCTGACCATTATCTAACCATTTTCCGACCTCAATCTGACCATTTTCCGACCTCAATCTGACCATTTTCCGACCTAAATCTAACCAGTTTCTAACCATTTTCCAACCTCAATCTGACCATTTTCCGACCTAAATATTAACCCTTTTCTGCCCTAAATCTGGTCATTTTTTGACCTTCATCTGATCATTCCCCTGACAAAGATCAGCAACAAGACCAAACAAACAATAAAATGCTTGTTGACTTGACAAATATTAACAACAAGACCAAACAAACAATAAAATGCTTGTTGACATGACAAAGATCAACCAGAATACCAGTCAAAAAATAAAATGCTTGTTAACATGACAAAGATCAACAACAAGACCAGTCAAAAAATAAATGCTTGTTTACATGACAAAGATCAACAACAACAGCAGTCAAAAAATAAAATGCTTGTTAACATGACAAAGATCAACAACAAGACCAGACAAAAAATAATACTTCTTAACATGACAATTGTCAACGACAATAGCAGTCAAAAAATAAATGCTTGTTGACATGACAAAGATCAACAAAAAGACCAGTCAAAAAATAAAATGCTTGTTGACATGACAAATATTAACAACAAGACCAAACAAACAATAAAATGCTTGTTAACATGACAAAGATCAACCAGAAGACCAGTCAAAAATAAAATGCTTGTTAACATGACAAAGATCAACAACAAGACCAGTCAAAAATAAATGCTTGTTTACATGACAAAGATCAGCAACAAGACCAAACAAACAATAAAATGCTTGTTGACATGACAAATATTAACAACAAGACCAACAAACAATAAAATGCTTGTTGACATGACAAAGATCAACCAGAATACCAGTCATAAAATAAAATGCTTGTTAACATGACAAAGATCAACAACAAGACCAGTCAAAAAATAAATGCTTGTTTACATGACAAAGATCAACAACAAGAGCAGTCAAAAAATAAAATGCTTGTTAACATGACAAAGATCAACAACAAGACCAGACAAAAAATAACACATCTTAACAATACAATTGTCAACGCCAAGAGCAGTCAAAAAATAAAATTATTGTTAACATGACAAAGATCAACCAGAAGACCTGTCAAAAAATAAAATGCTTGTTTACGTGACAAAGATCAACAACAAGACCAGTCAAAAAATAAATGCTTGTTTACATGACAAAGATAAGCAACAACACCAAACAAACAATAAAATGCTTGTTGACATGACAAATATTAACAACACGACAAGACAAAAAATAAAATGCTTGTTAACATGGCAAATATTAACCACACGACTAGACAAAGAATAAAATGCTTGTTAACATGGCAAAAATCAACAACAAGACCAAACAAAACAGTAAAATTCTTGTTTACATGACAAAGATCAACAGCAAGACCAGACAACAATAAAATGCTTGTTAACAAAACAAAGATCAACAGCAGAGTTCATTTAAGACATTGTTTTTACAAATTAAATATAAAGATGTATAATAAAGTTAACAAATACATCTCATATAAATCGCTTATATATAAATAATCGAGGAATTAAAACATATTTTTAAATATTTCAATCCAAAGACCACTGAGCAGAACTATTAAACATAAGTTAAACAAAAATCAAAGTCGCCGGCGACGGCGCTTGGTGCACAGAATTTTAAGTACTAAACGTTTCATCATCTTTATAGTTTTAGAGTTTTTCGTTTGGCGGGTTTTGATTGTTGGAATTAGCACAAGCTAGATTTTCTACGTGGTAATTTCAAATTCAAATTTAGGAATGTTTTTGTTAGACGTGTAGTACCTTTGGTCATATTGATTTGTTCTTCTTAGCATGTTCAGAAATGTTTTGTGATTCCTTTATTCTGTGGAATGAATTTAAAGTTTCAAGTTTTAATACACTTAAACGTGGATGGCACGAAAATACGTTTCCCCTACAATGTAGATTAAATTGTTCGTGGGCGGCTGTCATTCCTAAGACGGAATTACGATCAATTTTGTGAAAATACCATTTTTCATAAATTTGTTTGGAACATACTTGTTAATGTGATCTTTTACCCTGATATAATGTGAAGATAATAATGTTATCTGCCTATCAAATAATTCTATATAGTGAAAGATATAATACTACAGATTGATTGTTTAAATATCAGTATATTAGATATACGCTGAGGTAGTATGATAACAGACTATGTGTATTCCTCTCTGATGGTGGCAGTTTTTAGTAAGAATTGTTCGGACATATAGCGATCACAATTTGGCCGTAATAAGGTACATGTATTCTATGGGTTTGATGTTGGGATAAAATACCAACCAAGTTAATTTAGATAAACAATAATCTTTTAATCAAGTCTCAATTATGAATGTATTATGTTTATGAATGAACAGTTTATCAAATAATTTCTAAGTTAAGATTCCTATTTGAGATTAGTACAGCTCTATGAAATTATTAATTGATAGCAGTCGAATTATATTAACACTTGGAAGTGTTTTTCTTTAAGACCGAAGTCTTTATAAAAAGTCAAGGCTTGATCCTTGTTGTACTGACCTAGACGGTGCAGTACCAAACTAACAAACAAGTGTGTGTTTTTAGTTTTGTTTATACTGGGCGCCTGTTTCCCATATGTCCCATAATATCGACCTCTGTTACGTCGCTGGTTGTAGAGCCTGCAACGGAGGACTTAGACCTAGACGGTGCAGTACCAAACTAACAAACAAGTGTGTGTTTTTAGTTTTGTTTATACTGGGCGCCGGTTTCCCATATGTCACATAATATCGACCTCTGGTCGTAGAGCCTGCAACGGAGGACTTAGTTCGTCTGGAACGTCGCCGATCGTAGAGCCGCAACGGAGGTCTTCTCATGCCGTCTTTCGTCGTACATCTTCTCTAGGACCCAGTTCCTCGCTTCCTGAACGCAGTAGACAATATAGAGGCACCACTTCCGGGAGCAGTATAACTAAGTAGCATTCTTAATAGTGTACTCATGTCATTACCCACGTAATCGATACGGCCCCAGTAGGACTGGCACTACTTGAGGGCTCTCCAGAACATTTACCATTACTATTAAGACGCTAATAATTCATTTGATACATCAAATAAAAATGAATACACGCAGGATTCTCCCCGAAGAGACCCCTAACGAAGGCAGATGTAGTAATATTCATATACAAACAAATATTGCATAACTACAATTCCGTACGATCAAACACAAACTAGCCAAACATCGTTAAACTTCGGAGGTTGTTGTTATAATTTAAAAAACAAATATAAAATTATCTCTTTGAACAAATTAAATTTAATAACAAGCGAGGTTTTACGCACGTGAAAAATGGGTGCGAAAGAATGATAAGCTGTGCACTGCATACTGTGATGTCCTATAGACTAATGTTATAATGTATGTGAGACCACCATAGTATATATGTATGTTGTATGTTATATGATACGGGGACTTCCGGAAAAACATGGAACCTTAATAAACACGATTAAACCAGAAACATAGTTGTTATCAATTAATATCCACCATTAGGACTTATCATCTGGCGACGAGGATAAAAACAAACAAAACGGAATTACTTATATAATATTTGGATATATTTTTCATGTGTTAATTGATGGATTAAGACGTTAACCATGAACAATTTACCAGCATTTCCAAGTTTTGATCTTGAAACGGATAAATCCAATGCAGGCACGCGTTGGGAGAAATGGATTGGGCGCCTCGAAAATTTATTTGTAGGGATGAAAATATCAAACGCTGACCAGAGAAGAGCATTATTACTACATTACGCCGGAGAAAAAGTGTACGACATCTATGACGTAGAGAAAAAGGACAGCGCAGCGACTTATGATGCAACAAAAAAGGTACTTAGCGACTATTTTGCTCCCAGAAAGAACGTTCAAATTGAAATTTACAACTTTAGATCATACAAGCAATTAGAAGCACAAACGATTGATGAATATGTGACTGAGTTAAGAACTTTGGCAAAGAACTGTGCATTCGCAGACATTGACAATGAAATTTTACAACAAGTGATACAACATGGCCGCTCAAATCAACTCAGAAGAAGAGCGTTACGTGAACCAGATAAAAAACTCGATGACATTATTACAATGGGTGTTTGAACAATCAGATATGCAAGCATCCGCAATGGAAAATTCAGAAAATTCTAGATCTGTACACAAGGTTTCAAAGTTCAATAGTAGAACACGAGGACGAGCGCCGATGCCTCATGGCCGTGGGAACAGTAGAGGGTCGTATGCAAATTTTGGAGGTCGTGGGAAATATGGTCCGAAGAACCAATCGAATCAACGAAGTAGACCACGTGATGGTGCGTCAGCCAATACTTGCAGAAAATGTGGTTATGAATTCCCGCACAGAGATAAGCCGTCCCCAGCCACAGGTAAAACCTGCAATGTATGCAAGAAACCTAATCATTTCGCGCGCTGCTGTTTAGCGCCGAAATATCAGCATGTCAAAGAGGTCAGCGATAACGCCAACAGTTCGCTACAGTTCGATTCGGAAGAAGAGTACCTCTATAACATCACAGTGAAAAATGTCGGTAAACAAAAAGGATCAAAAACGCCCAAAACACAGATAAAAGTCAACGATAAAACGATTACGGCTACAATAGACACAGGATCAAGTGTGAATATACTAGATGAAACCACGTATAATTACTTAGGAAAAACTAAAATAAAAACAAAAGGGCTGCCAAATTTACTTCCATACGGAGGGGGAAGTGCATTAAACGTAAAGGGCTGTGTGAATTTAACGGTCGAAAAGAACAGAAAATACACAGTAACACCATTTTATATTGTGAAAGGAAACTATGGAGCTCTATTAGGGTGTGAAACATCATGTGAATTAGAAATAATAAAAATAAACCAAGGGATAACGGCCAATATGGAAGATAAATATCAAGGAATTTATGACGGTATTGGGAAATTAAAAGGACAAAAAGTCAAATTACACATAAACCGTGATGTAAAACCTGTAGCGCAGAGAAATCGACGTACGCCATTTCATTTAAGAAAGAAAGTTCAAAAGGAAATTGAAAAGCTACTTGAAAATGACATCATAGAAGAAGTTAAAAATGAATCAACACCATGGGTGTCACCGATTGTCACCCCACCGAAGAAAAATGGAGATGTAAGATTATGCATAGACATGAGAGAGGCAAACAAAGCTATTGAAAGAGAACGGCATCCAATGCCAACAATAGATGAACTTATACACGACATGAACGGTGCAAAAGTGTTCAGCAAACTAGATTTAAAAGCTGGATATAATCAGCTGGAATTAGATGAAGAATCGAGATCAATCACTACATTCTCTACACACATGGGCTTATACAGATATAAACGTTTGAATTTCGGTACTAACTCTGCAAGTGAAGTGTTTCAGAAAACAATCAGTTCTATCATTCAAGACATAGCTGGTGCCAAGAATATTTCGGATGATATAATAGTGTATGGAAACAGTCAAAAAGATCACGACAAGGCACTTGATCAAGTTTTTCATGCATTGCATCGTAACGGGCTGACATTAAATAGAGAAAAATGTGAATTTAACAAGCTTGAAATCACATTCTTTGGAGTTGTATTCAGAGGAGACGGCATTTCACCAGATCCAGTGAAGGTTCGAGCAGTGAGAGACATGCAACAGCCCACAAACGTATCTGAATTGAGGAGTTTTCTCGGAATGACATCGTATTGCTCGAGATTTATAAAGGATTATGCGACAATAACGGAACCATTGAGGCGTTTAACAAAAAAGGACACACCCTGGTCATGGGAAAATGATCAGCAAGTCGCGTTCGAGAAACTGAAAAGAGAATTAAGTAGTGATACGGTTATCACATACTTTAGTCCATTAAAAGAAATTGAGCTAATAGTAGATGCTTCACCAGTCGGTATATCTGGGATACTCACACAGGAAGGAAAAATTATCGCGTACGCGTCTCGTGCACTGACACAGACAGAATCACGTTACTCACAAACAGAAAGAGAGGCTCTGGCAGTAGTATGGTCGTGTGAGCACTATTCGATGTACTTAAGAGGTGCTCCAACTTTCACGTGCTTCACAGATCACATGCCACTGACGAAAATATGGCAGAAGAAACAGCCACCACTACGAATTGAACGATGGGGATTACGTCTACAACCATTTAATGTATGAATACAGGCTTGGAAAGGATAACCCGTCTGATTACATGTCTCGTCATCCGTTGAAATGTGACGAGCAGAGAAATATAGCGGAGGAATATGTAGCATTCGTTTCCGCACAGGCAGTGCCAAATGCAATGACACTAGATGAAGTAAAATTAGAATCAGTCAAAGATAAAACTATACAGAAAGCGATTGAATACGCAAAGAATGGAAAATGGCATGAAATGAAAACAGTGACAGATTTTAAAATCGACATGGAAGAGCTGGTGGTACTCAGAAGCGTAAAAGATGAATTGACGGTTCACAATGACACGGTCTTATTAAGAAATGACAAATTAGTGATACCGAAAACACTCCGAAATCGTGCGATAAAACTGGGACATGAAGGGCACCAGGGAATTGTTAAAACTAAAAGCTATATACGATCAAAGGTATGGTTTCCGAACATGAATGCAGAAATTGAAACAGCAATACAAAAATGTCTAGCCTGTCAAGCCAACTCAAGGGAACCAAGACCGCGAGAACCACTGAAAATGTCAGATTTGCCATCTGGACCTTGGAAAAATATAAGTGCAGATTTTTGTGGACCTCTAGAAAACGGTGATTACCTATTGGTTGCAGTAGATGAGTACTCGCGATATCCAATAGTGGAAATAGTAAAGAGTGTTTCAGCAAATATGGTCATACCGGTTATGGACAAAATAATTTCAATGTTTGGTGTCCCCAAAGTGATTAAAACAGATAATGGATCGCCATTTAATAGTACGGCATTTGCGGACTTTGCAAAATTTTACGGTTTTATACACAGAAAAATCACGCCTAGGTGGCCAAGGGCTAATGCTCAGGCAGAAGCATTCAACAAACCGTTGATGAAGAGTGTTAAATCGGCATTCATGGAGGGAAGGAATTACAAACAAGAACTGTTCAGATTTCTCCGCCAGTACAGAGCTACACCGCACGTGTCAACTGGATTTACGCCATTTCGGCTAATGTTCGGAAGGGAACCGGTAACGCGTATGCCAGACATTAATCAACACCAAAATGAGGACACGCGTGCAGACGAAATAGCACGAAGAAATGATGAGTTATCAAAAGCAAAATCAAAACAATACGAGGACCAGCGAATGAACGCACGAGAACGAAACATTAACGTCGGAGACAGAGTTTTACTTAGAAACGAAACACCAAGAAAGTCAAGTACAATGTATAATCCAGTCCCATATAAAGTTATAAACAAAAAGGGACCAATGATAAGTGTTCGAAATGATGAAGGACATTGTGTCACCAGGAACTCATCTGTTATGAAAACAGTAGATCCAGACTTAATGGGGAATACGCCTAAACAGCACGGGGAAAGCGATATTGAGGACTATCAGGGGGAGGAACTCGCTGAAAGACAAAACACGAGTTATGCGGCAAGGCCAGCACGAGATAGTCGTCCGCCCGCATATTTAAAAGATTTTGTAAGTTAGATTATTGGTTCCACAGTGAAAATGGGCATAATAAACCCAGTGGAACAAGCAGGTCACGCGATCTGCCATGCGAGTTTAATAAGTGTATACATCATGGATATATTTTATGTAATTAGATTCTCAATAGAAAAATTAATACGTAATAGCGCAATAGTAACATGACACCTTATATACGGCAACATGATTTAAATGACAATTTTTAAAGTACATTGAAGTTCTAATATAGTGTGGACATTTATAACAATGCATTTAACAACAAATATTTAAGAGAAAAATAAACAAATTATCAGATTTAGAACAAAATAAATATTCATGTTTGTATAGTGTAAATGTTCGATATTGCTCATGTAGTGGATATATTTAGATACTGCAGACTATAGTAAAACTGACATACAAACGATTGGAATGTGTTAACAGCCATGAGTGAACATTTCTAGAGAAAAAAGTTAGGATGAATTTTACAGTTAGATTCATTATATGTATTCCATCATAATCAAATAATTGTAAGAATAGTTTATCATGTTTAGTAATATCAGTTTACATAACTATAATATAATATTTTCATAATTCATATCTTAATGATTTAAGCATTTTGATTGTTCAATTTAAAACTGATGTTTTATATCTAACTTGAGGAGGGATGTGATGTCCTATAGACTAATGTTATAATGTATGTGAGACCACCATAGTATATATGTATGTTGTATGTTATATGATACGGGGACTTCCGGAAAAACATGGAACCTTAATAAACACGATTAAACCAGAAACATAGTTGTTATCAATTAATATCCACCATTAGGACTTATCACATACCTTTAGAAAGGCCGAATAAAATGCTACCTAGACGAATGTCTGTTTAGAAATGTGCAGTCAAATAAACTAAAGGGGAAGCGTTACGACACGAAAATTATTCCATTACCTCCGTACTTGTAGCACTGTTTCAAACTTTGACAGAACGGGTACGCTTCAGTCAATGTCGTAATGTGCCAGGAATCCAACACCATGCACCTATATATATACTGTGTTGCTCGTAATAGTTTATCAGAATGCCACGAGCATTACTTAATTATATTCCGATTGAACGATATATAGATATTTTATTAAGCAAATGACCAACCATTTAACGTAAAATTTGAGCGTAAACGACATAAAAGTGATCAGACTCATTACCAAATCCACGGATTTATATTATTGTAATGTAAATCCGTGCCAAATCTAACCAAAATAAAACAGCACACGTGTGACTTCGCTTTATTGTAAAAAGGACGACTATTTAAGTTTTTAAACCAGAACTTTGTCAGCACAGCAATATCCAAATGATCTAAAAAGAAAAGTACACAGAAGAAAATGTAAATACAAATGTACATGTAAAAATGTTTTGTAAAGAGTCAGAAATTTAAAATTGGTCATAAAGTGTAAAGCTGATGTATGTGAATGTTTTTATGGACTCATATTTTTATTGACGACTCGCAAAACAAATCGTGCCAAAAAGAAAAAGAAGAAGTAGTAGTAGTAGAAGAAGAAGAGATTATCTTGACAAGATTCAGGATGAAGCTGCAAGAATTGTCAGTGGCTGCACAAAACTTGGTTGTATTTTAGAGCTCTATCTCAAGATAGGTTGCGAAACTCAGGTTAAGGCGCGTCGTAGACATGAAATAATCCTCTTGTAGCCGATGGTCCACTCTAGTGGTATTCCACTCTTGTCCACTCTGACGAAATTGCAACTCACTTAACACCATCATCTTTTCTAAAAAATAAAATATTGTTCCAACATCCCTTTGTCATTGTTACATGTTTATATGATTATATATAGAGAGAAATGATATAAAAAAATACGGATAAATTACGGCGTGGGTTCCAGCAATTAGTAACGATTTACGCGAACGAAAGCAAAGTTTCTTCCCTTTGTTTCATTACTGCCATTTGTAGCCAACTAAAGAAATCTAGAAGATTGTGCTGTAAAGGTATAAATTGCAATTTAAAGATTAACTTTTTATACGAACAAGTATACATTTTAATTTAAGAAACATTCTTGTTGATTTTTGAAACAATGCTTCCAGGTAAAAAAATACATGAATGTTTTCCAAACAAAAAACACTGACTTTTATATAGTTTTAGTAACCTACGGCTGACGTAGGGCCTACTTACATTGATAATCACTGATAATGCAACTTTTAAGTAAGAGGGCTGTTGTTGAACATGGGGTATTCCTTGTCCTATAACATAAGACGTTTCCGTTAGTAGTACGTACACGCCAACATCTTATCGACACCTTCATAAGTTCTTTATAAATAGCAAAACGTGCAGTGATTTTAAAGTGCTATACACCTATACAACAAAGTTTTTTGTGCAAAATATTTTAAATCTCTAGATTTTTACGTAAAACAGAACAACGTTTTACAAATTTCTGCAAAAAGCAACAATAGTCCAATAAATTTTTGCTATGTCTGAAACAAAAATCATTTTCTAAATGTTCTTGTTTTTTGAAACAATAAATTTTGAGTAACAAAGTAAGGATTATTTTAATATCATAAATACAAGATACAAGAAACTTTATTTTAAGTCGGTTTACATATTACAAGAAACATTAGCTAATAAGCTATTTACCGACAATAACAAAGGCATAAAACATATTTTCTAACATATAACAGATCTGAAAATAAAAACTAGTAACAGCTTTAAGCATGAAATAAAAGTATCAAACAGGTTAAGAAGAACTTTACAATAAAATGGTAAATTAAGGCATAGTTTGATGACATGCACAGTACATATTATATTAAAAGTAATAACAGTTTATAAAAGTAATAGATGACTATAGTATAGAAATTTAAGTATAATACATGTAGCAATGTGAAATAAATGAAAATGATAATACATGTAATAAAAATAGAAATTAATAAAATAGAAATAGTTTTAAGTTAACATCTAGAATTTATAGGTAATTGAAGATTTCCTAAAAACTAAAATAAATAAATAGATTAATAAATTCACTTACTTATAATAAAAAAGTGCATAAAAAAAAAAAATCAAGCAAAATAACATGTAGAAATTTTAACTGAAACATGAAAAACTGAAATGTAGCACCATTACTGTGATTTAAATGATGACATTCAAAATGGCTGACATATGGTCTACGTTTGACCACTAAAATTGACTTTGACTGAATATATTGTTGTTTCCTTGGGCCATACAGCAGAAAATACCTATATGTTATAGCTTATATGACAATTTTTGTACCTTAAGTTTCATTTGTTGTTTTCTTTCTGGTTTCAAAGCGTTATGTACCATCATGTAAGAGGAGCAAAGTATACATAAACTGTTTTTACCCAATAATAATACAATATGTTTACTTAAAATACATGGAAACATTAATTGTAAACCTTTTTGCATACAGTAAATTTGCAACAAAAGAAATAAATGACTCACCTTGGATTGCAGAATATCCAATCCAAAACAATCTATCCCACTATTACCACTATAAACATTCAGCCACGTTACCTGTGTACATGTGGTAAATAGAAATCATGATATACTGTAGACAAAAATGATTTCCCTTAATTTTTATGTTGCACATTTATGCAAGAATATTAAAATTTACTGTCTGCATATCTTTTCACTCAAAATTAGATCTGTCATCGATAGAAACGATATCAATGTATGGTTGATATTTTTCTGTTGATCAATAATCAACACATATTTGAAAAAATTGATAATTTAATTTTTTTTTTTAAATATCTGTGAATAATGAAAATTCACATGACAGGTATACAAAAACAGGTGGCCATGCCGAACACTAAGCTGTTGTTACATAACCATTTCATAGCGGTGATGACAAATTATGGTTAGGAAAAATCATGCAAAGGACTTTTATAAACAGGAAACAACATATTTGTATGAACAGAACATATATTTTACTAAAATCATTTTTAACAGGTATGAAAGTGAATTATATACAATAAATTAGGAGTATATATTATTATATATATATCGATATATTGGTGTATCACTGATTTCTGTCATCTGATATCAATGTATCATCAATATGCTTTGCAATGAATAATTGACAGCTCTACTCAAAACATGTTTTTGTAGTATATTACGACGCTTTATGTAGCATTTCAAAATCTCTGCACATTTAAATGACTTGCCATTAAAGGAACTTAATTAAGCATGAACAGTTTGACTCATTTTTCTTACTGTCAAACTGTTATAGTTAATTTCAACTGTCATTTTTACGCATAGAAAAATTATGGGCAACACTGCTGCTAGTTTGAATAGATTTAAACAGTTAAAATCAGAAAACATATTTCAGTTCTTCAAAAAATCATTAGAACATATATTTTTTTACTCAGTGATTTAATTAGTGAAGCTCTCTGAACACATTCAAGGGATTTTAAATTTGCGTTGTAAACTATGCCTTTGGTAGACATGTTATATTGACGTCCTCGTAAAAAATAAATTCTGTAATAACTTTTAATAAAATCAAAATAGTTGATCTGGTCTTATCCGGTCTCTCAAGATCGGGGAATTAAACTGGAGATATGTATATGAGGACTTTAAACTTTATTTTTTACTGAAACAATTTAATTGATTGCTTTAAATCTGACAAAGTTATTCAAAGTTTACTTTTTATTTACAGATTTGATGATGACTATCCATCTATGTCAGTCTTCTGAGAAGTTAAACTGGAATCAGATCAAGCAATCTATTCTGGGTCGCCAGAGGCTTGCTGATAAGTTCACCTGTGCCGGATGTTCTCGTTCATTTGAAACAATCTGCTGCTTACATTTTCATTGTATGAAGCACAATGAAGGTGGTTCATACTATTTTGACCACGTGACCAGTACAGCATTTCCAAAATTGGATACAAGATGTAGCGCCACACAGTTTGAAGCTGATGACTTCAATGATGATGGAAGGCATAAACTGAAAGTACTCATAGGAAATGTTACATCTTTAAAGCCGCACAACTCCAGATGGTAAAGTGTAATATGTAATATAATGTGAAAAAAAGAGTAAAATTTTCAGTTAATGAGATACTGTATAAGTACTTATTTTGGCGGGGGTTTATATTTGGCTATATTGGCGGTCAGGGTCAGTAGCGCCAATTCAAAACACCGCCAATTTAAAGCACCGCCATTTTAGATCATCGCCATTATTCTTTGAAAGGTAGACAACTCATGGTAAAATAGCTTTGGTTTGTCCGAGTAATCTCCCTTGATTATTTGTAATAAAAATAAACATTACAAGAAAGCTGAAAAGAATTTGTTTATTTTTAAGTCTTGGTACGAAACTCATTTAATTATATATCTATATACTGTATTTATTACGAAGATGATCACACGACGAGAAACAAATCTAAATGTCATTTATTATCGAATTTAAGTAAACTAGTATTTGTTTTGTTTTCACTGTTATGTTTCATAATTTGAAATAAAACTAATGATAACTGTAATTATATAGCAATCAGTTGTGGTGACCGTGAACAATTTGTGACCGTGAACAATTTTTCACGCTTTAAAGACTGCAGGATAATAGGGCATACCTTTCTCTTCCATGGTCCAGTTACCACACGGTACCATATTTACACCTGTCTGATCCCAGTTAATTATAAGAATTAGCACGATGTAAAGATAAAGGTGACCAAGCATAGGTATACCGTATGCCGTAAAATAAACGAGGACAGTCAACTACTGCGTGACCGGTGTTATTTTTATTTATTTTTTTTATTCTTTATTTGTAATCGCCAATTCATGACCCCATATTTATGCCAACAAGTGTTTTAATTTGGCGGTCTAAAAGCGTTTGCGCCAATTTATGACCCCGCCAATTCAAAACACTTTAAAAAACGCCAACATTTGACACCGCAGATAAAATGCGCTATACAGTAAGCCTATCCTGGTCTAGTTACCGAGGGTTTAATGTGTAAATCTATTTTTACTGATCACTTAATTCAAGTAAGAAAGTTGACTAAATCATCAATAATAGTGGTTTCTTATTTGAATTATCCACTTCATAAACACAATTGCTGTTAAAAATAGAAGAGATAATTTATTTAACATGATCATGTGTTACAACAGTGGTTGGAAAAAAATTCTGGGATCTGGTATGCCTGTCGGGTATCAGAGATCACATGTATTTCAATGTTTATAGTAAATGTGTAAGCTGTTATAGGTCTTATCATATTTCAAGTTTAAGTTAAAATCAATATACTGGTTATTATGTAATATAATATAGATATATACATGTACATGTATGATGTTTATCATTAATTGTAATGTTTGAGTGCCATGAATAAAGGCAAATTTTAAACCAAAGTAGTTGTTTTGTTTCCCCATACCTGTTTGATAAAATCCAGGAATCTGTATGTTCTGGATCATGGGTCCTGATATTGACCTGAGGTATGCGTACTAATATAAAATAACCCAGATAAAAGTATTCTGTTGTGTAACAAAAAAGGTTTATCCCTATGGCTGAAAAGTGGAATTTTTGTTTTAAAAGCAAAAAATATCAAAGTATGAATATTTTAAGGGAAATTTTTTAATTCTTTCAGTAATTTTATGCTTTGGAAGAGAGATTTGACAATATTAATATGACAGTAGATTTTCTGTTATCTTCTGGAGGCAAGTAGCTTTGACTAAGACATATGAATCCTTTTTTTCAGCTTAAACAAGGAGAATAATACCAACATAGAAGAAAGTGATGACACAGTCAAAAATATCTCAAATGAAAATGGTACATGTGTGTCTGATGGAGATACTAGAACTTACCAAGAGGTTGAAGTTACCAGTGGAAATATTCTTGATGAAGGAACTAAAGAAGGTGAAACAGATGCTAGAATGGAAGAGGAAAAAAGAGAAGGATTTGCAAGGGTGAAAGTTAGGAACATAGAAAGGAGAGAGGATGGTTCAATTTCTTTTGAAATGAATGAGGCCGATGCTCACTTATTTCAAGCTACTGCCAATACTTTGATTGAACAAATTAGGAAAAAGGCTGGAGATTTACCTATACCTGCACAGGAATTGGAGGTAATTTTAAAATTCTAATAGTTTGTTATAAATTATCAGTGCAAGTGATTTTATCACTTTTTATCCCGATTTTGGAAAGTCCTATAGTTAAGTTGAATGAAGGAAGAACATGTTGCAGAAACAGCCAATTTGTGAAATGTGATGATTTTTGTGACGCCTCTATGACATATAGGAATCACTTCTCCATCATCTATTGTCCATCTGTCTGTCTGTTGCAAAACTTGTCTGGACTACCCCTCAAAAACTACATGGATAATTTCATTCAATTTTTACAGGAATGATCACTACCAAGACTTGTTCTGCATATCATCAGCATTTTCCAGTTCATCTATTTTTTGGTGTATGTGTGTCAGTCCATCTGTCCGGTTCTGTCTGGTCTATTTCTTTCTCATTCTTTGAAGGATTACAAAATAATTTGGTACAAGTGTGTACCATGATGGGGTGGTTTGTCGCATACAAAAGCCAGGTCCGCTGTACAAAGGTCAAGGTCACACTTGGGGGTCAGCACAAAACCAGTGTCCAGAACTTAACTTCCTCATGCATGGAGAGATTTTGATATAACTCGGGACAAATGTTTTCCATAGTGAGGCGGGGTGTAGCGCAAAAAGTCAGGTGTGTGAGGTAAAGGTCAAGGTCACACTTAGGGGTCAAAGTTCAAATAACAAAATGAGACATTCATTTTCGAATATAACTTCTACATACATGGATGGTTTTTAATATTACTTAACACAAATGTTCTCCATATTCAGTTGAGTTGCTTCGCGCAAAATGAAGGTCAAGAGGTCTAAGGTCAATAAAAATATCAAAATTTGATTGTTTGCGCTGTATCTTGCTCATTCTTTGAAAGATTACAAAGTAATTTGGTACAAATGTTCACAATGGTGGGGTGGTGTCACACACAAAACCCAAGTTCGCTGTTCAAATGTCAAAGTCACACTTGTAGGTCAGCACAAAATCTGTGTCCGGAGCGTAACTTCCACATGCATGGAGTGATTTTAATATTACTCAGGTAAAATGTTCTCCATAGTAAGTCGGAGTGTCTCTGGAAAATTTCAGGTGTTTGTGGTAAAGGTCAAGGCCACACTTTGGAGTCAAAAGGTCAAATAAAATAAAACATTCATTTGCAAGTATAACTTCTGTATACATAGATTGATTTTTATATAAATTAGCACAGATCTATGTTCCTCAAGTCTCACGCAAATTGTATTTCATGGTCATAAGAGGTCAAAGGTCGAATAGAAATATGAAAATTTGTTTGTTGGCTGTAACCTGCTTATGCTTTGAAGTTTTATGCTTTGTGGTCAGAGGATTTTTAAATTGAGCCGGTTTGTGATGTGGTCAACTTAATACACTGTAAGTTGCCACCTTTTCATTTTTAGCGGTACTGTATCTTGCTTATACTTTTAAGTATTATGCTTTAAGTGGTCAGAGGATATTTGTCACTGAGCTCCACATAGTTGTCAAAATGGCTGTTCAGTGTTTTTTTTGGGTGCTTGCGTCTAAACTTGTCCATGCCATAACTTCTTTGTGTATGGAGGAATTTTCCAAAAAATATAAAAAAAGTCATTTTGGACTTTCTCTAGGGATTTCTATTTTCTCAAATGTTCATCATGAGACTTTGTTTCATGCACATGACCAAAGTCACTGGGTCAGAGGTCAATGTCATCTAAGGTGAAGCAATGAAAAGAATTTGCCTTGGGTATAAAAAGGGTGTCTTGCGCACATCTCACCTGTGTATATAATCACTATATATCTTTCTCCTTGATCTGAAATTTATAGACTCGGGTTTGAATTAAGACAAATAGGATCAACATTCTGCCCGTTGGCATATCTTTTATTTTTAATGTTTGTCCAGGCTATTCCTCTAATACCATTAATGCAATTTCAGTGAAACTTTATATGATTAATTGGTAGCTCAAGTACTTAAGCATATTACAAGGGTTTTCAGCTTGAATAAATTTTTACTGTGCTTATTATGGTCCTTAAATACAAAGGTGTTTTGGCCTGTTAATGTTTTTTGTGTTGCCAGGTACATAGAAGCTGATTCATGCACAACTTATAGGGATAACTTTTTTATGGTCTGTCTGTCTGTCACAAAACTTGTCGGGTCTCCTCCTCATAAACTACTGGTGCAATTTCATCCATATGCTGTAAAGAATAGACAAGCTTTAAGCAGCATGCATCCAGTTTTATGCTAATCTTCATGAAAAAATAATTGAAAAGGTATTTAAAAGTAAGTGAGCAAAAAAAGTGATTTACTTAAGTTGCAATTGTCGCTTACAGTCCAGGGACGGTAAAATCACTTGTCTGTATTGCCCACAGACAAGTTCAGAAATGCTTTAAACAAATGTTTACAAGAGAGTTTCAATTCATAACTATAACTTTGAGACTTGGAATGAGAGGTTTGGATGCATGAACACATCTGCACATCTGTTTCTAAATTCAAAATTTTAACCATTACATGTTTAAATGTTGAACACTGCTTAAGCCGGTGCTAGGGGGTGTGGACGGTAGTTGGCAATTGACAGTGCCATCCATGAACATGCTCAAACAAATTGAGCCTGCAACATTTTCAATTTTGTCATTTTGGACTTTCTCTTGGGATTTCTATTTTCTCAATTTTATAAACTGGTCAGATCATTTTTATAAGACAGGCTAAACTATGCCCGGAATATTATATTGTATTTTACTATGTGCAGCAATTTACTAAATGCACAAATAAAGAAACAATTTCAATGGTTTCATGGTTGCTAGGAAATTGATGATACCATGTGTATCTCTTTATACACTGTACTCAATTTAATACTAGTACATGTAATATAAAGACAATCTTGAAATTCAATAATGCCCTTTTATATGCTGATTATATTTATTAATATTTTCAAGGTGATGGTGCCAGATGATTCACTCCAAGTTGAACATTCAAAGGTAAGTGAGGATCCTGAACTCACTGATAAACAAGCTGCTGTTGATCCAGTCAGTAATAATGAAAAGGAAAAATCCCCAACAGTTTCAGATGTACAAGAAGATCAAGACATTGATACTTTGGTGGAATATGAAATAAACCAAGATAAAGATGTAAAATCTAGGACAACTGTTGACATTGAGAAAGGTAAAGAGAAAGACAATCGCAGTGACATTGATAGAAGAAACAATGAAATTGTAAAGAGATCTTCTCAAAGAAAAATGCTGGATCAGGTCAATGAACTTGTTGAAATGAAAATGGATTCAACTGATGATATCAGGTTTAAAAGCAATAGAAAGTTATGTAGTAAGAAAAAGGAGCAAAATGTTGATGATGTTTCACCAGATAAAGATATTGAAAAGATTGGTGCTAAAACTAGTCGTAAAAATTCTGAACTTGTTGATAAGAAACAAAATAATAGTTTACCAGTCTATACACGTTCTCAGAGGAAAAGAAAATTAACCACTAAAATGAAGGAAAGTGAACTACCAGAAATGTTGAAACTTACAGGAAGGACACCGCAGTTGCAAGAAACCAAAAATGAGAAGCTTACATTAAAACGGAGAAAATCTCTAATTGGTGAAACTGATTTCAATGCTGGTGAAACTTTATTAGCTTTAAGAGAAACTAGGGATCTTAAATCAATGAAAAGTTCTAATAGGAAAACTGGTTTATCTACCTTTTCTAAAGATAAAGATAAATATTATAATGAAGAGATGGACTTCAATGCTGATAAAACAAGTGATCATGAAGTAACTTGTAATGAAGATTCTGATGCTGAGAAAATAGATGACGCAATTGTTAGAAATGATTCGAGGAAAGGTATTGGAAATGATGGGTCTGGTCTGTTAACAGAAAACAGTGTTTGTAATGAAGAGGAAGAAGAAGAGCTTGATGATGAACTATGTGATGGAGAGGAAGAAGATTTAGAGAAAACAATTAAAAGGGTATATCCAAAGAAACAACGGCGGAAAAGATTAAAAAAAGGTCAGATGCCGTTGAAGAGGCGTAATGACTTTAAGTGTAATGAATGTGGTAAAGTTGGATCATTGAGCATGATAAAATATCATGAACAGATGCATTCTGATAAAATGCCATACAAGTGTGAGGAGTGTGGAAAATGCTTCAAGACATCAGCCTGTAAAAGGGTTAGAATTATGAGTTTGTTTTTTTATACACTCCCAAAAAATTTGACTGATTGTTATGCACCTGGCAGTCTATTTGTCCATCTGCACTACTGGGTGCCATGTATCTGTAAAGAGAATAAAAGGGAATAATAGAGTTCAGAGGTCAATGCCTTTCTATTAAAAAAGGAAAAAATAACAAAAGAACAGTTACCAAAGAGCTAGATATGTTTTTATTGGCAGCTCAGGTATTTGATCCTTTTTCTTGCATACAGCATATTATTCATAATTGTGAAAGAAATTGCGACTATTAATAATTTAAATTAGCCCTTTTTTCTTATAGTAGCTTATGAATTTACAACTTCATTCATAACAGCAAAATGATGCACCTTTTATTAACCCATTACTTCATGAGCATTTTGTGAAAAATGGCTGTTTTCATTGAAAAGTCTCCCGTTACAAGTTCTAATTACTATAATACTATAAAAACTGCTTCAACACTAATCAAACTTGGCACAAATGTTGACTGGACCATTGCCCTTGCAACAACATGCTCAGGCTTAAATTTTCTGTTACCATGGCAAAGAGGGGACATCTCAAAATTGCCAAAAATCACTATTTTGCGTTGATTTTTTTCCATCATAATTGATTTCAAAGTGCTGCAACTTTTCAATGGATTGAGGTAGAGTCAAATGCTTTCCAGCGTTGGTTACACGTTACCTTATGATCAATCTGAGGTCATTTATAGCCTCTCACAAGTCCAAAATTTTCTTGGCGATGAGGGGGACTCCGCCCCCCTTCAAACCCCCCAAACAGAAGAGGGCACTTCCCCCTTGTGGCAACCCCCTGATGTATCTTTTGGTTGGGGGGCCGCGCCGAAAAAGTGGTCACTTTTTTTAACAACATTTCTCAAACAAAAACAAGTGTTGGGGGCCTAAATAAGGCATTTTTTCACCATCTGAGACAACAAAAAGGGGGGGGGGGTGAAAAAGGCGTTAAAAGGCGTGTATATGAAGTAATGGGTTAATGAACTGCGTTCTCAGGATGGTGTCATTTTGCCGTTATGAATGAAGTTGTAAATTCATACACTACTATAAAAAAAGTGCTAAATGAAACTTTAAGTTTTCGTAATTGCTTTCCGAAATACAATGTATCATTAATTTGTAATATGCAAGAAAAAGAATCAAACACAGGCTGTCATCACAGACAGGAATATCTAGCCCAAATGTTCTCTTTTCAGTTACATGGCACCCAGTAGTGCAGATGGACAAACAGACTGCCAGGTACATAACAATATACGCCAAACTCAAGTAACTGTTAAGCTGTCTGTACTGGCAGCTGGTGTGAGATCCAAATATTGTACTGTTAAGGATTAAGGTCAATGGTTCACATTTTGCTAATTATACCCCTGAAACGATGTTTGGGGGGGTATATAGGAGTCACCCGGTGGTCGGTCCAGCGGTCCGTTGCATTTTCCTTGTCTGGAGCATAACTTGAAAACTAATGGTTGGAAGTCAATATAACTTCATACAATGGTCCCGGACAAGGAAAAGTAACAAAGGGAATTGAGAGGAAGTGCAGTGCACAAGAACCGTAACTCCATATTGACTAATTACAGAGTTATTGCCCTTTGTTACTTTTCCTTGTCCGGAGCATAACTTGAAAACTACTGATTGGAATTCAAAACAACTTCATACAATTGTCAAGCACAATAAGGGGGAGGTGCAGTGCCCAAGAACCATAACTCCATATTGACTAATTACAGAGTTATTGCCCTTTGTTACTTTAGTTGTCCGGAGCATAACTTGAAAACTACTGATTGGAATTCAAAACAACGTCATACAATTGTCAAGCACAATAAGGGGGAGGTGCAGTGCACAAGAACCATAACTCTATCTAAAGTAATTACAGAGTTATTGCCCTTTGTTACTTTTCCATTGCTTTCTTTTGTCCGGACCATAACTTGAGGACTAATGGTTGGAATTCAATATAACTTCATACAATGGTCAAGCACATTGAGAGGAAGTGCAGTGCACAAGAACCATAACTCTATCTAAAGTAATTACAGAGTTATTGCCTTTGTTACTTTTCCTTGTCCGGAGCATAACTTGAAAACTACTGATTGGAATTCAAAACAACTTCATACAATTGTCAAGCACAATAAGGGGAAGTGCAGTGCGCAAGAACCATAACTCTATCTAAAGTAATTACAGAGTTATTTCCCTTGTTACTTTTCCATTGCTTTTTTCTTGTCCAGACCATAACTTGAAAACTACTAGTTGGAATTCAATACTATTTCATACAATGTTCAAGTATATTTAGAGGAAGCACAGTGTACAGAAATCATAAATCTTTCTAGACTCATTTAAAAGTTTTTGTCCTTTGTTACTTTTTATTGTCCAGTGCATAACTTAAAAATTAATGGTTGGAATTCAATGAAACTTTATACAATGGTCAAGGACAGTGAGATGAAGTGTAGTGCACAAGAACCATAACTCTATTTGGACTAATTACAGTTATTGCCCTTTGTTCCTTTTCTTTGTCTTTCTAGACTTATTGCAGAGTAATTCAATAAAACTGGCCAACCACATTGAAAGGAAATTCAACATACAAGAACCACAACTATCTTTAATTGCCCACAACCATAACAGTATTTCAATTGTTTTACTAGGTATTCTGTTACAAGTAACATCCTCATTTCAGAAGCAGTCTTGTGGGAGTATTAATCACATTTAGTGATAGTTCTAGTTTTCATGTGTTAAACATCTATATACATATGTACATATATTATACATCATTTACTTGAAACATTACATATAAATTAACCCTATCATATGTACGATATCATTATTTGTGCAAATTCTGACATAAATTTTGCTGTTACATTTATCTTTAGCCTCATTGCTACCATAAATTCTATCTATGCAACCAGGGCAGACCAAGATCGGTCAGCAAAATCTGGCTGTTCTGATCATGGTGTGCACTGTTCGCTATTCTGTCAGTTATTTTCTTTTGAATTTTTCCTAAAAATTATGAATGGTTTTGTCCAGATTGAAAGATGGACAAGTCCATTTTAAGATATAAGGAGTGGAAAGGGTTCACACATGTATGAAAAGCTTCATATTTATTTTGATGTTTTCCAGAGTCATATGTTGCAACATGGAGAGAAAAAATGGAAATGTGAGCAGTGTCCAGCAGCATTTTATAGGAAACAGTATCTTGATGTACATATGACCAATCATACCGGAGAGTATCCATATGTGTGTGAGCTCTGCGGAATGAAGTTTAAGTAAGTTATCTTTACTTGATAGGGTTCATTAAATCAATGTATGTTATGGTACATTGATATGGTTCTTTAAAAGAAAGTAAGTAATTTTTTGCCAAGTACATTAAAGCAAAATGTCATTAAATCAAAGTAATTCCCCAGGAAGATAAAGTCATGACTTTTGGAAATTTTATTTATTATACGAGTACGAGTTATAAAAAGCTGCCAAGAGAAAAAAAACTGATGTACATGATGTAGATTGGCATTTGAAATATGTAAAAATCAAGAAAATTGTATTGGAAAAAACACATGTTATCTTTTTTGGTAAATGTTCTTTGTATTATTTTTCATTTATGAATATCTACAGATTACAGTTTGTAAAGAATAAATGTGTATAGTATCTAGATACATGTATAAATCAACTTGTTTTTCATTACAGAATGGCATATATAGTAAGGCGACATGTGAATAATGTGCACAAGAATATCCGGAACTACAAATGTGACATTTGCGATAAAGAATTTTTCCGTGTCGCCACAAGAGACCAGCATCGAAACCGACATTTTGACCCATTCCTACAGTGCTCATATTGTCCAAAAAAGTTTAAAGGGGACTTGGACTTACGAAAACATGAATTAACACATACTGGTGAAAAAATGTATTTCTGCCCCATTTGTAATCAGGGATTCACTCAAATTTGGCCGTATTATAAACACATGTGGAAAATTCACAATATTGAGAAAGAAGAAGCCAAGAAAATGAAAATAAGAAATCCTGACATAGTTAACATGCGAAATGTAAATAAGGATTCTGTTAACAAAGAACAAGCATACGTGCATGAATTTATAGGGAAGCCAGGGTGCACTTTTGATATGCGAAAAAGCTTTAATCAAAATGTCAATCAGTTAAAATTCATTGAAAATAAACTTGGAAGTCATCAAAGTGGAAACAATGAAGATGGGAAGCGAATTTGTGAGACTAGTCTACAAAATGAAGGTAACGCTGTTTATACAGCAACAGAAGCTGATGTGGCTGATACTATTGTTATGAATATAGGAGATGACTTAGATAACCGGGAAACTATAGTGATACAAACTGAAGAGTTACAGTCTATTGGTGACCAACAGACTGGTTATATTGTTGTGGAAAACAGTCATGGGGAGGATAATATTGTCATCTATTCTGGTATGCCGCAAAATGAAGCAGCAGACGTTCATCAGTTTATTGGCAACTGCTGATTATCATAACAAATGGTAACAAATAAGACTAACATTGATCAAATAAATGAAGAACAGTTATTGAATATGTGAAAAAACAGTGATTAAATACATGAAGAACAGTGATTAAATATATGTAGACAGTGATAAAATATGTGAAGAATAGTGATCAAGTATATGAAGTACAGTGATCAAATATATGAAGAACATTAATCAAATAAATGTAGACAATGATTAAATATGTGAAGAACAGTGATCAAATATATGAAGAACAGTGATTAAATATATGAAGAACAGTAATTAGATATATGAAGAACAGTAATCAAATATATGTAGACAGTGATTAAATATGTGAAGAACAGTGATCAAATATATGAAGAACAGTGATTAAATATATGAAGAACAGTAATTAGATATATGAAGAACAGTAATCAAATATATGTAGACAGTGATTAAATATGTGAAGAACAGTGATCAAATATATGAAGAACAGTGATTGGATATATGAAGAACAGTGATTGGATATATGAAGAATAGTGATTGGATATATTGAGAATAGTGATTAAATGTAGGAAGAACAGTGATTAGATATATGAAAAACAGTGTTTAAATAAATGAAGAACAATGTTTAAATAAATAAAGAACAGTGATTAAATACATGTATGTGAAGAACAGTGATTAAATATATGAAGAGCAGTGATTAAATTTAGTAAGAACAGTGATCAAATATATGGAGAACAGTGATAAAATATATGAAGAAGAACACATTTAAGTTCACTTTATAGTGAAATTAAAACTGAACTTTGAAAACAAATATTAATACTATCACAATGATATTAATTTACTGGTATAGTACTTAAATGTCATTCGACATGATATACATCATTTAGACGAAATTTTGATGACACTAAAATTATTAAAAATTAAGATTAGTTTATAAATTACTTGTGTACTTATTTCAAAGATATTGTTACCGTGATACTGACAGATGTTTGATGGTTAAATGTCGCAAATATGAAAAGTGTTGCAACGCTTTTCACTCAAAGTAGACTAAGAATCACACAAAAAATCAATATTAAATTTAATTTTGTGTAAATTTCTTTATTTTCCTTTTCAGATTTTTTCAGTAAAGTGCTCTACTTGAGTTTCAAATTTTATGTTTTTATGCTTTTTGACCTCAATGGAGTTCCTTTAATTAAACCTGGTCTAATCTCATGAAAAAACTGCTTTGTATAGAAAGGAAAACTGTTTAGTGTATACAGCACAGCATTATAAGAGATGTTACAAATTATGATATACTTACACAACTTTCTGCAGCAAATTTTTTTATTTTGGAAAAAACAAACAAAAAACAAACAAACAAAAACACTAAGAAGAACTTATCAGCATGTCATAGACCTTTGTGTATCTCATTATTCATTGTTAATTGTGGATTGTGGTCAGTTGTGACTTTTGTTAAAAGTTGATGAATAATTTATTTCAATATTATAGGTTTTGGGTTGTTGATCTTTAGGAATGCGTTTATAAGTTACTTTGTTATTTGTTAGGACTGTAGGAAGTCATTAAATTTAAGTTCTTATAAAGAAAATTGTAAAAATGAAATGAGTTTTAAATATTGTTGGAAATTAAACTTTTTATTGAATAAGTATTGAAGTTTTTTTGCCCTCATTTGAAACAAAGTGACTTTTAATGCCCCCAACATATAGTCATTGAACTGTCTAGCCTAGGTTAACCTAAAATTCCAAGTTGGATTTTTCCTAAGTTCTACCTGTACCAATGGCTTCATAATTTACACACTTATTAATCAATACAAAGTACATTTACATAATCTGGGCAAGTAACAAAACTATGGCTTTCATTTTTACCAAGTTTTTGCCCTTTTCAGCACTTTGAACATGAAAATTGTTGACCTAAACCGGCAAGTTGGATAATCTTATGTTCTATCTATACTAATGGCTTCATAATTTCCACACTTCCTAATTAATACAGTACATGATATTGCCAAGTCATATAAATGTGCCATCCATTTTTAGCACACCTGTCACAAAGTGACAAGGTGAGCTTTTGTGATCACTTTTAGCTTTTTAAAAAACCCAACGAGCTAGACCTTAGATGTTTAGCATGAAACATCTTCTAATGGGTGCCTACCAAGTTTGTTCAAATAAAAGCCCTGGGGTTTAAACTGGCCCTGCTCCGGGGGCCTATATACAGGTGAGCGACTTCAGGGCCATTATTGGCCTCTTGTTTTAAGTTATTACCCTTTTTTTAAATCCCATTCTGCATAGCGGAAAGAAAATTATAGGAGTGGTCTCCATCTGTCAGTCCATCCGTCCCTCAGTCTGTCCATCTGTCCGTCCGTAACACTTTTGTGTCCGCTCCAGGGTCAAGATCACCCTTACTAAAAATAGAAAATTGGATTCCGGACAATAACCAGAAATAGGAATGAAATAGAGATATCAAACTTGTTGTATATCAAGCTTATATATGAAGACCCTGGTTGGTTTTGCATTTGGATCCGTGGGGTCAAGGTAAGGGTCACCGTTACTAAAAAATAGAAAAATGGTTTCCGAACAATAACTAGAGTTAGGAATGAGGTATTGTCATTAAACTTGGTGTATAACAAGCTTAAATGAAGACCACGGTTGGTATTTGGAATCAGTGGAAGAATATACTAGACATGAATTTCCAACAAGTTTGGTGCTGTTCTTTTATTCTTTGAATAATTTTCTAAGTTGATTTTTTTCATATCCTCTAGTAAAACACAACAATTATTAAAGCACAAAACTAAATTACGCAATTACGCAAGGTTACACTAAATTTCTTTATCACTCAACCATAACCTTCACATTTATGCATATTGCACGTTTATAACGATCTTTATACACCGATGCAGTCGATTTATAATTTTTTTCTCTGATAAAGTTTGCAGTATTATAAATTAATTAACAAGTTATATGGTCGTACGGCTTTGGTTATATATAAAAACAACCGTTTATATTAAGTCATAAAACCTGTCAATTTTATTTGTTTATTTATCTTTTTATTTATTTATGTGTTTTTTCTGTTATTTCACATAGAAATAAATAACCAATAATGAATGAAGATACAGCGATGTTTCAATAGAAAACATGATCGGATCCAATCTTATCAATTTTGCATAGTTTTCCTTTCCTGTCCAAATACTAGTACCCAAATCAAACGCATCTCGTACCCTATATAGCCTCTTTTCCAGAGTCCAAAATATACATACCAAATGCACATTGCATCCCGTAAAGCCTCGTTTTTATATATTTATTTTTCAGAGCACAAAATATCTATATATCAAATGCATATCGTAAAATCAGATGAATTCCTTGTTATACTATTAAAGATCTGTTAAAATGTTACAAATGTGAAATAAAGAGGTCAGTATATATACATTGTTAAGAACAATAATGATTCTATTGGACTCTTACACAGCACAAAACCTATATCAGAGTCGGCTAGTGCCTCGTCCAACTACAATATCTGACAACTGTGTAATCGTCCAGCAGAATTTAACAACAATTTATAATTACCTCATATAATATATATAGCATGAACCCAATCCTAACATACGACAAGTGACACGATTTATAAACATTTATTTATAAACATTTATCAATAGTTAATGTTTGGCCAATGCCTATAAATTCATTATCGCATTTTATAGGGTCCTTAAGCCGATTTATAACGTCCTATGGAGTTCTTCAAGCTCACGATTTATACCTCAAATCACGTGACATTATTTGCTTTTCTGTGAGTAACACCGTATGACATCACGGAATTCGGAATACGGTAAATTATTCAAGTTTTTAAAAAATATATTGTGCCCTGAAATCCTCTAATGTGATACAGTTTTATTCAAATTTTCATACTCAAGTTTTTGTGTTATTACAAAAAAGGATTTAATTTTTTTATTGGAGCAACATAATGTAAATATGTGTAGCATTGCAGTAAAATGTTTCGCAACAACAACATTTATGTTCTTCGCTCATGGTAAGTGAAATAATAGTTCTTAACTGCCTTTTGTGCTTGGTTTATATTATAAACAGCATGTAAATTTGTAACAGATTTTGGAAATTTTGGCCTGAGACGTTTAGAAATCTAAAAAATGTGTGATAATTTCTTAGACATTGTCAAAGCTAGTATGGCAAACAATATAGCTATGTATTGCTAAAATGCCAAGAGAACGTTCCACGCAGTCAGGGCTGGTGGTAGTGGGAGCCCTTCTTATTAACTTTTTGTATTAACGCCACGTTAATACGAAGAGTTAGATAAAATTCACATTAATCTTCATAAATAAACACATTTCGTTTTCTTAAGAAAGGGCAAATAAGTGTGTTACAATGTTTTAGTAATGGATAAAGAACACGTTGGATGCTTAATGCCATTAAAAAGAAACGCTGAATATATGAAATAATTTGTCATCAACCTAATCACAAAATCTGTTCTTATTGCAAAAAAAGTGTTAAAAAATATAATAATCACAAAATTGTAATAATTGCAAAAGAATTAAAAGAATTAGAAAAAAAAAAAAAAAACGGATGTATCAAAGCTGTAATTAAAATTAACAGGTCAACAAAATTCAAAATGTTTAAACAAAAAAAAAAAAAAAAAAAAAAAAAAAAAAACACACACACACACACACACATTTGTGGGCCATAATGGGCCTTTTTAGTTGTAATCAGTGAAAGAAATGTTCATGCGTAAGAACAAAGAACAACAACTTACAATGCAAGTTGATCAATACATTGTTTAACTATAAACTGAAATAAAGCTGCTATTTTTATACAGAGAGTTTGTTCTTTTCAGACGTATGGACATTATTTGTTTCAAACTGAATACAAAATTTATTAAGACTATTATGTATATGAGCCGTGCAATGACAAAAACAAACATAATGGGTTTGCGACCAGCATGGATCCAGACCAGCCTGCGCATCCGCGCAGTCTGATCAGGATCCATGCTTTTCGCTATCAGTTTCTCTACTTGTAATAGGGTTGGTAAGCGAACAGTATGGATCCTGATCAGACTGCGCGGATGCGCAGGCTGGTCTGGATCCATGCTGGTCGCAAACCCATTATGTTGGTTTTGTCATGGCACGGCTCATATATAGTATTGAGGAGCTTCACATAAAATAATTATGTATATGTCCATTTCTAACGGGTGACCAAGATTTTTGAGTTTCCGTATCGGTCATTCAAACAATGACCTTTTTATATGGCAGTTAAACTATCGTACGACTATATAAGTATCATAAAAGCCTGACTATCATTTTTTTCACACTTATTGAACTCTTCGTGTTTGAACCACGTGATCACCCAAACGAAATCAATATCAGATCAAATCTTATAATTTTGCCTCGTTTTCCTCGCCGGAGTCCAAAAATCTATATCAGCTGCATACCTTGTCCAATATGGCCTCGTTTTCATTTTTAGTGTCCCAAACATCTAATAAAATACATATCGTACTCCATTACAATTTTGAAACTATGAGGTGATTATACATTGCCGATTCCAATAGAATCAGTATTGTACAATGACCTCTATTTTTTACACAACCACTTTTTTTACAAAACGTTGTTACTTCACTAACAATATGAATTTGATATAAATGTTTGGACTATGAAATTTATCATTTCTTCGTTATATTATTAGTTATAAAGATTTTGACATGTTATATGTATATAAACGGTTATATTGCAAACAACTGTATATATAAGTCAAGAATATTTATAACGAATTTATAATACAGCAATTTTCCCTTTTCTCTTAGAGAAAAAAGTAAGATTCAGCAGCCGTGTATATAAAACCATAAAATCATCACGACCAAATGAAAAGCGACGTTACAGCGCGTAGTATTATATTGTATATACCATTATCGTATGTCCTTATTGGATTCAAATCCTTATTGAAATAAAGTGAAAAATCTATGTTAACATATGTGAACGTGTTTATTAATGTGATATACTGTACCTTTGTTTGGTTAGTAGACATTCTGACTGTACTGAAATATGTACTGAAATATGTCACCTGTTGCACGTCGGATCGGAATATTCTTCCCAAGGGAGCCGCATTACCACAAATGGACAAATGGACACGCGGGTCATCTCCACCCATATACCCCTCCCTTGATACAGAATTTAAATCATGTAATAATTAAGTATTCTTGTAACACCATGATATATATCATCATGCAAGGTTTGAAGGAATCATGTTTACCCCAGCCATTTTTCTGTGAAATCTTTTTGTAATTTGGTGGAATATCTCATAGGTATTTGAAATAAAATGTATAAGCCGCCTCATATACATATGTCATTATTTTGCAGTTTTGCTAAAAGGTATTAAGTTGTATCTCGATTCACAAAATATGCTATGCTCGGTTACCATACATGTTGTATATAGTTTCAGCGCAGACGATGACATTACAGCCAAGTTCGATATCTGTGGGTGGAGGCGTCGCTCCAACGGATGTTGTTGTAATGGAATGTAAATCAGAAAGACTGATCTCTCCTCAATCAGTATATTCAATGTACATCAGACGTGAATCCATCTCATTTGCTGAAATAGAATTAGGAAAATCAGCGGTAGTGAGCCAGAATGCACCAAGTGATATTAAAGCTAAGACTCCTACGTTGGAAGGAAGAATTGACGCAAACAATTTATATAACAGCCATTTGAAAGCAACATTTCTGGTTTCAAAAATGAACTGTAACGATGCCAAGTCGTACCAATGTGTTATTACTTACAAACCAGTTGGTATGGATACGACCACACGTAGTGCTGAAATGGAACTACGCGTTAATGGTTAGTAAAAGATAAGAATAGATGATAATGAATTAGTGTAGTTTTAATACTTAATTATAGGTAGGACATATGTATAGCGCTAACATTTGTGTGCTTGTATATAAAGGGTTTTATTATACACTCCTGGCCTTAGTTATGTGATAAATTATATCTTCAAATTACACTCCTAGATAGCAAGAGAATTTTAAGTTTGTAGAACAGGGTTCAAGAAATTGTGACTCGCCTTTTACCGCGCTCGGATAAAATCGCGCTCGGAGATTCACGTTCGGCGTTTGGACAAAAAAATCAAACAAAAATCTGACATGATATAGTCCAATATGAACTTACAAGCTCGCGTATACTTGTTTTTTTTTTCATTCTCCATTTTGGCAACTTTATCAACAGTTTAGCCTGATTCATATAATGGTCTCATTGGCCCCCCTTGCATTACTAAGTCATATGAATATTATATATCAAAAAGAAAAGGAAAAACAAATATTAGTCGCATTTAGTGAATTACTGGATTCAAAATTAGTAGGTCACCATTTAGCAACTTCAATACTATTTAAGGACATGTCCTTAATCCGTACTCTCAGCTCCTGAAAGGGCGGATGACCCCTTATTAAAGTTAAAACATACACACAGTACAATAGCTGATTGAGACAACCAGATATCAATCGTGCGGTTGGATTTCACTCTATGTACAGTGCTGGAGCAGTACCTATATAGACTCTTGCAGAAATCATGATCAAAAAGTAGAAAGATATCGCTTTTTCACCGATTGTTTTACATTTTCCATTCATTTTCGGATATAAATAGTTGTGAAAAGATTATTTAGATGTTTAAAGCTCATTCTGTTGAGTGAAAGGCGAGATTTTACATTTAAGCAATCAAACGACTTATCCGGTATATGCTGGAAAACGGTATTTTGTGTGGTCTTCGTATTGAGGTTATCAGTAAAATGTACCACAAAGAATTTTGTCTGTCCTACTTGTCTTTGTTTAAATCAGTGATTATGACAAGAAAAAAAATAATTATATTAATGTTACTTGTGTCTATAGTATTTCGAACTTAACACGCACTCAAACGTTAAACAGTTAAATGAATAATGATAAAGTTATAACTTTTCAAAGAAACAAAATATATTTGAGCTTAAAACGCACTCAAAAGCTTGATAGTTTATTGAATAATGATATTAAATTTCTATTTGAAAGACCCTGTTCTATCTTAATTTTATGGAGCAAAACTGATAATTTATAATAAATTCATGTGTATGTGTGTGTGTGTGCGTGTGTGTGTGCGTGTGTGCATGTGCTTGCGGGTTTTTTCTCACTTACACTGACATTCCAATTACTTGTAACTATTCTTATGAAAGTATCCGGAAAATATGTATTATAAAATTAGACTTTGTGGGAAAGGCTGTTGCTAATGTTGTTATAATTTGTAGCCCAACCATTTGTACTATACTTATACATGTTATATGTACATTTGTTTTTGTGTTATTCATATCTGACATGTATTGTATAGTTCAAATATTATTAAACTAACTAATGATAAAATAATTACTTATCAAAGAAACAAAATATATTTGAGCTTAAGACACACTCAAACGCTAAATAGTTTGATGAATAATGATAAAAATTTAATACTTGTCAATTAAACAAACTTGTAAACAAAACTACTGAATTTATATACACTTAATTCTTTTTAAGTGCTGACTGTAAATATACTATATACATTACTATTTATGTAGCATTTATTTATTGTTGGCTTTGTTTTTTAAACTTAATGTCTATTTGAATATATTGAATATAAATCACAATCATTTATTGTGTAACAGTGTAAGCTATAGCAATACGTGTACTAATGTGGGACAAAAAAGGTGTAATGTCTTATGTACCATACATGTACCATATAGCCTGGATATGAAAAGTATTATTTTTATGAACAATTTAATTTTTTGAAAACACGCTAATTAGCTAACACGGTATATGAAACTTTGCCCCAACCCCCTGCTAATTAGCGTGTTTTCGCCGTTTTATTTCTTAAATCTCGCTCTGCGTGGCGAGGTAATATTTATTAAATCGCCATTTTAACTTTTTAATTCTTTACTTTTCGTTTGGTGGGGTCGCGATGCGAAAACACGAATGGCACCAATCAGCCACCATAAGATTTTTTTTCTACTTATTTACTCCCCTGCATTACTTAACCTTTTCCCTGATAAAAGCGTGTTTTGACGGCTTTTTGCCCCCCCCCCCTTTTGAGGACTCAAACAGTGAAAAAATGCCCTATTTAAGCCCAAAACACTGTTTTTCGTTTAAGAAATGTTGTTGAAAAGTGACCACTTTCTCGGCGCGGCCCCAATCAAAATGATACATCAGGGGGTTGCCAGAAGGGGATGTGCTCCCTTCTGTTTAGGGGGTGGGGCGGTAGTCCCCTCATCGTAAAGAAAATTTTGGACTTGTGACAGACTAAAATGGCCAGGTCGATCTGAAGGTGACGTGAAACCAACGCTGAAAAGCCTTTTACTCTATATCATTGCCTTGAGAAGTTGCATCACTTAAAAATCAGTTTTGATGGAAAAAACAATGCAAAATAGTGAGTTTTTGTAATTTTGAGACGTCCCCCGTTGCCACGGTAACAGGAAATTTAAACTTGAGCAAATTGTTACAGAGGTTATGGTTCAGTCAACATATGTGCCAAGTTCCATCAGTATTGAAGCATTTTTCATAGTTTTATAGCAGTTGGAACTTGTAACAGGAGACTTTTTAGTGAAACGTCCATTTTTCATAATATGCTCATGGGGTAAAATTTTAACGCAAATCGAACAAGGAGTCGCACTATATATTTAATTTCAATTTTATCCCATGTTTACATTATACTTTATTGCCTTTTCCACATTTTTTCCGTTTACAAGTGCCACGATTTATTTATATAAGAATTTCAAATATTATGTTGTAATTACAGGCTTCTAGACCTTAGGCAATATAAGTTCCTTTAAAATACTTTATAAAAAAAAAAAAAAACAATGTATTAGATGTCCTCCTTTATAACAAAAGATACGCCATAAATGTGTGCATGGTCGGGACCCATATTTTAATTTTCTAATCATTTGTTTGCTTTAAGTACTTAACATATTTAAAAATTTAAAATAGGATTTATCTTCCCATGTATGATTCACGAGCACATGACTTGAACAAACAATGTTTTAAGGCCCATTATGCCTCAGAAATGCTTTTATTTTTATTCCTCAAAAGTATTATGAAATTAATGTTGGTGTTCTATTATTGTATCCAAAAAATACTCATGGCTAATTACATGAACCATGTTTTTTTTTTTTGTTTTTTTTTTGCTATAAGTTATTATAGTGATTTTGTATGGAAGTCAGGATACTACTTTGTTTACATTTGGCTACTTTTATGAAATATTATTTCGCATTTATCGCTATTTTAATCAGGTTACAAATATCTAACATTTCATAAACCATCATTTAATCATTAGGAAATTCATGTTCGTCCGTTCTAAAGAAGTAAAAAAGTTATTTGTTTCTGATGCATAATGTGCCTTTAACCATTCTCTTGTAAACATACACTGATCTCACCATACCTTCCTTTTTCAAACTTGACGACCAACAATTTGGAACGCCATATCCTGGGGGGGGGGGGGGGGAATGTGGGGATGAATAAGAGTTTGATAAGCTACTTTTGTGTCAAATTGTCAAAGATGTCTTTCTAATCCCCAAAACAGTTATGAAAAGTGGGGCTTATCTTTTTTCTTTTTTTTATTACCGAAAATAATTGAACAACTGAACAATCATTTGTACGTCTGATTATTTTATTTAAATTGGACTAATGACTCAGCTAAATGAGATCATGCGTTGCTAATCAACAACATTGATTTCCTGTTGAAAATTCTTTACACCTTGTATAATGTAAAAAATGCCTATATATTCAATTGATTCATTAATAGTTTGGAATTTCGAATATCTTTCACCTTTTAACAGCGTTAATTCCTTCCGCCTTGCACACAAACGCACGCACACAAACACGCGCGCGCGAGCACTCACGCCCTTTTATTACTCGAATCCCTAAAGTACTTTCTTGTCCTAAAGACACGTCCCCTATTCAATGAATTCTTTTCTATATTGCCTTGCTTAATGAAACGCCATATGTTGTAAATGGCCCTAAAGTATTGCACACATGAGAAAACAACAGCAGCAGCAACAACAACAACACAACACCAAAAGGATAAACAAAGCACTACAAGAAATAAATACAGTTTATTTATGTAACACATAAAGACATAGCATATGACATTGTATTAATTTACATTTACAAAGGAGTTTAATAGTAAACGAAATCAGCATGCATTTTGTCCCCTAGTCGCTTCCGTTATCGATAACGGCCCCTGGATCAGAGGGAACTAATTTTTTTTGAATACATATTTCATCGTTCAATGCGAAAGAGCGTCAATATCATATGGACTTTTCTATCTTGGTCTTTTGGAAATTTGACTCCTTTATAATTAAAGGGAGCTGGACAACTACATATATTCGGCCATACAAAGATATTAATTATATGATGTACATTTTTAGTGCTACCGAGAGACCTACAAATCAGTGCTGCACTGTCTGAAGACTATGGTGTTGTGCCGATTCAGAACCAGTCAATTATTGACAGAGGGGAGCAGGTAGAATTCTCCTGCACTGGTTACATTGGTAGCTCCCAGTCTACTATCATAGAATGGTTCAAGAAAACGCCTCCTAGCACGTTCTTTCAGGTAGGTGTATTCTTCTTTTTACGAGCTATATCTACAAGTAATAGAAATAAGAGCATAGAAACACGAAGCTATCTGATTTGTACGAGTATTAATCAGATTGCCGATTGTTTTGATGTTCTTTCTCCTTTGTATCATAGTCAAACATAAAAAACGTTCCCTCTGTTACAATATGAATGCCCAGAAAAAAAGTAACCAATGAACGAGCATCTGAATATAATATTTCTGTCGCTTTCTCTCTATTTACCGTCACAATAAGTAAACACGAGCAAAAATGAGCCAATCAACGGGCACTCTCTGGCGTGCGGGTACCTAATACCTGCACTCTAGTTAACGCACTGTGCATGTATATGTATACGATTTAACTCTGATACATTTTCAACAGAAAGGTCCCCAAACAATGATACAATAAAAAGTTATACACTGGCCTCTTCAGAAAATTGATAGTTGTACAGCATCAGCGTCACTGTTTTGGTTATTTTTTTGTATCAATCACTTGAAAAGCGTTTCTTTGAGACACAGACTACTTAAATTTGTTATATTCATTCATATATTTCGGCTACGGTATTAGAATTTGTCACAACACTATTATTATGCATCCTTTTGAGTAATTGGGTTTAACGTATACATGAAGGTCATATGGCGACTTTCCAGCTTTACTGGTGGAGGAAGACCTCAGATGCCCCTCTGTATATTATTACAGACACAAGCGGTCAGCTGAATAGAACCACCGACTTTCTGTACCTAAAGATGTGAAAGGCAAGAGGTTTGAAACCACTCGGGCACGGGTACCTTTTTGACTCTAAGCCACTTTGTGAACTTCTATAATTAAATTTTTATTTCCACATCCGTTGCAAAATGACCTCTTGACTCCAAAAAACAAATGCCAAAGGTAAACTTAAGGTTGTTGGTCGCTCCCCAAGAGGTTTAAGTCTTAAACGAACGTAAATTGTAACAACTTGTGAACATGGAAATCCATGTGCTAAACTACATCCATTAAGTGTATTCATTAGAAACTTCACACTTTCCTTTATGTATTTGGCCATCTAGAACGAATATTTTCTAAATTGAAACCCTGTGTGACCGTACATGGTTCCTGGTTTTGCTATTTATGTTAAGATTGCGCTGATAACTAATTATGGAAGAGATTTATTCGCAATTATGTATCTTTTTCTTTGTGAAAAAAACTCCTTTATTTAGCATCGAACTCTGATAAAAATATTGCACACAATTGAAAATATTTCGATAAACACAACAAAATTGTACACATAGCCTTTATTAATCAACATAAGTTAGTTGCACATGTATTTGATGTTTTTGTTACATCTAGAGACACTTCCCTACACAAGCAGACGACATTATAGATGACGGGTTACCTGTTTCTACACAATGTGAATACATGCGCACCTCGAAATTACGCTTCACTATGACGTCATCGGAAACAGCAAGACCAGCGTTCCGGTGTGAGGTGGCGACACAGCTCTCTTCCGGTGGAGAAGTACGGGTACTCTCCGAGGAGTTTCATTTAACACCAGGTAAAACTTTATATACGGCTGAACAAGCTATTCACGTGTTTTTATATGAGATATAAATCAAAGAATTATGCACATGGATAGCTCGACTTTCAGCAGAAAAGAAGGACTCTACTACTCGCAAGGCGTCGGAATCAGAAACACCGTCGGCGTGATAATTTGTGTAAAGTTTTGAGCATCTTGTCAAGGGGCAGGACGTGAATTGGTTGCAAACTTGACAAAATGGCGAACACGGCATGATTTTTTGAAACGGGTGAACGAAATTTTGCCAGGCAAGTAGGTTTCTTTGTTATTTTGAAATTCATTAGTATGTCTATTCCATAATGCAATATATATGCCACACTCGCATAAAGGTTTCAGCATCCTAGATTCTGTTTTAACGAAGTTATTGAAGATATAAACTGATCATGTAAATATTTTGAAATTTGGCATGTGACTGTTTTGGTCGGTTTTTCTCCTAATTTATATGTCTTTGTAAGTTTTTGACTGCATTTAACAATAACAAAATATGTTTCTGTCAATGCTGTACAAATGGTTTAGTTCGCAAGTCCGAAGATAACGTTCAATACACAAAAATATCTTGTTCAAGCACATTTTGGTTGCACATTTATACTTCAAGCATTTTTGGTTGCAAACTTGTGTGTCAATAATGTGGCATGCATATTTTTAGCGAAGAATAACTAATCATTTTTTTTTAAATAATAAGCAATATTAAGGCAAGTATACCCGTTCATCTAATAAGAAATATATATACAAATTGTGCATGCGTGCAGATATATCCTAACACAGGGTCTTTCAAATAGATATATAACAATATATGCTAAATTGAAGTTCAGTTGTGTTTATCTTCATCATTTTTTTCTCCTCGATATACTTCTTTTCTTTTTACAAAGTCTTAGGACTTTTTTATTCCTTGGCATGACTAACTGTAAAGGAAAAGAAAAAGAAAATAGCAACAAACAGCTTTCATTATTGTTCTTTTTTGAGATTTGATATGAATTTGATTATATAGTTGAAAAAAACATGTGTATTTAAATTGTTCCTTATTATTGACCAAAAATTCCCTATCTCGAACAATGACTTTAGGTAGTTTTGTCACGTATCAGTCAAGGTAAATAACCAATCGTATTTCATTTATATTATGATCTGATTATCAAAATCATCTTTAGAATACTAATTGACATATTATGTACAAATCCAAAATATTGTAAACAAGCATGTCATTTTAACCTTTTGGTTTGTAAAAATATTTTAAGTACATTTACATACTTTATGTCTAAAGCAACTGCTGATCTTTTCTCAGAAACAAACAAATTAACATTTCTTGTTGTTTTAATAAACTTTGGAAATTTTGCCGAGTAACATCGTATGTGTGCACATGTCCTTAAGTTTATAAATGATGAAAATAATTCACTTACATACAACAGTACTCTCACATACGTTTGTTTTGTATGTAGTTTTCATTTGCATTTTACATATGATGACATATTTTAGAATTGAAGTATCAATAAATATTTTTCTATATGCTATTATTTTGTTTGCAGGCTTTTACTGATGATTATAGTATTGAATTGAGAACCATGTACAATTGTTGTAAAAGAAGAAAGTATAAATAACATTAATTTATAACAAAAACAAGTAACAGAACATAAATGTCAATAATTGCCATTCAAAATAGGTTAATAAATATAACCTTAAGGCTTCTACACTCCTTTTGCAAAGTTTTACTATGGATTTCAATAGAATAAGAATAAGTTTGCAACAAAAAATGATTGAAGTCTGCATCCAAAATGTGCTTGAACAAGATATTTTTGTGTATTGAACGTTTTCTTCGGACTTGCGAACTAAACCATTTGTACAGCATTGACAGAAACATATTTTGTTATTGTTAAATGCAGTTCAAAACTTACAAAGTCGAATATATTAGGAGAAAAACCGACCAGAACAGTCACATGCTGAAATCTTTAACCGAGTTCGGCATATATATTGCATTCTGGAATAGACATACTAATGAATTTCAAAATAACAAAGAAATCCACTTGCCTGGCAAAAATTCGTTAACCCGTTACAAAAATCCACGCCGTGTTCGCCATTTTGTCACGTTTGCAACCAATTCGCTCGCTTGAACCAAGTGTGCAACCACTTCACGTCCTGCCCCTTGCTTGTACAACTTCGTATCTAATTTAAAATCACTAAAGATGTTTGCTTTTTTCTTCACAATTGTCTTTTCAATTCGTAATTTGAGGGGAGGGGCATTATTTTCCACGGCCCATAAATTTAGCATGCATTTGGATTTTTGTGAAATTTGTAAGTGACATCAATTTTATAAACTACCGAAGGTAAAAATTCATAAAGTTTATGCATATCCAGGTACATAAATGGAGGTCACTTTCCATGGCCAATAACTCTGACATGAATTTTGGCAGATTGATGACCTATGTGAACATACACAAATTCCTGGGTATATTATTGGCATGTAGATATTTATGGTATTCTTCAATCGTTGAATATCTAACATGCTCTTCGTTCATTATTAAAACATTATGTAACACATAAAGAATTTACAAAATATGGATTTCTGAGACATAATGCTAATAAGTCAACTTCATAAATTGATCTTTTGACATACAATACATAATAATCAAGTATATGCATAATAAAGCGACATACATGGAATAAGTTACGAAATCAAAATTCTTTGCAGTTATTTTGACTTTGATTCTCCTTTATATTTGCAGGTTTCAGCCCTTCAAATGGAGCGGACAAATTAAATGCGTGGGGGAATGTCTTAGTTTGGACTTTAATTTACCTTTCTTTAAAAACAATTTTCTGTAACTGATACTAACCTTATTAAATTTTGTATTAGTTTTTTTACTGTACCAAAAACGGTGGACACTTATTACACTTAAAGGTTTTACTATTTATAGTAACAATATTCTTACGTCATCATTGGAGGCGAGGCACACGAATCACACGAGGCACACGCATTGATACAGAGGGTGACTGAACTAAATACACACTGTGGCAGATATTCCTAACAACGAATAAATGGAATGTTAAGATCCACATGATTTATGAAATTCAACTTAAATGCACAAAAAATCTGTGTAGTCGTGTTTAAGGACATTTAAGTTAAGGAAAAACAATAAATTGTATAACATGCTTAAGGAGCTCTTCTATGGTCCAAAAGCCAATAAACATAAAATATCAATTTCTGATGTAGACCAGCTAAAGCGTTTGAAATAAATAGATATGCAAAATTCAATAAAGAAATATACATGTATCCAGAAATAAATCAATTTTGGAATGATCTGAAAAGTTGGTGTAGAACTACATCATATGGAACATTAATCTCGAAAAAATTATTTCTAGTTCCACCATGGCAAGAAACCTCAGTGGAGTCCGTTTAAATTCAGCTTGTTTTTATTCTGACATTGAAGACAAGTACCCTATACGTCTTCAATTTTAAGATTTCATTGGATGTATTAAAGATATAACTCAACTATAAAGTATAATATCATTTCTTGTTTGTATACATATGCGATGTTTAAGTTAAAAGTACATGTATTGCACATTTGAGCAATTTTGTTTGCATTTCTTTTTTACATGAACAGGTAACTCCGTCATTACAAAATCTCTTGTCTGAATATCATTTCATTGTACAACTGTGAAAGTTCAAAGTATTGCTATTTTGAACAATATTGTTAACATCTTATTTATAATATAAGTAGATAACTCTGTTAATACAATACTGTGTCTGAATAAATGTCCAATGTGTTAAACAAATTGTCTATTTGAACAAAACCGGGAGCATTTCTTTATTACATGAATAGATACATGATTATATCTGATATTAAAATATGTTTCTCATTTGAGCAATATCTTCAGCATTTTTAGTTGAATAGATACATAATATATATGTTATTAAAATATCTATTGTCTTAATTATGTTCACGTATATGTTCACTTTATTGCCCATTTGAACATCTGTTATTACAACCGCTTCTGTGTGAATATATGACCAATGTACATGTCAATGTTTGTCGGTTTGAACAATCTTTTTTTAACACGAAAATATATCACTTTTATACAAGCTTCATAAGGTGCTTTTTGTCAAACTGTAAAATGAATATATTCAAAGTATTTTACATAGGAACAATTGCGTTGAATATCTTTATAACATAAATAGATAACTCTGTTAATATACATAATTAAATGGATGCTGTATTTGTATAAATAGATAAATCTACTATAAAATATATCTGTTCTGTCTAAATGTGAAATGAATACAGTAAACTTCACTTATAGCGAACACGGTTATAGTTTGTTTGTTTGATTGTTTCATTTTACGCCTTTTCCTAACAGTATTACAGTCATATATTACAGTATTACAGTCATATAGGCGGGACGTTTCCTATCTATCGTTCCTGGAGAGAAACTACCTTCATCCTCCGGTTATAAGGAACAATTAATTTTGGCACGAATTTTGCCTTTCTTTATTTAATTTAAAATATACGGTTATAGCAAACACGTTTATAAGGAATTATCGCTTATAAGGAATTCATTTCGTAGTCCCAATTTAGTTAAAAGTACAGAAAAATACACTTTTATAACGAAGTCGAAAACATCGGCTATTCGTAAATAGATCCCGCATGTACTTCAAAACATGAATTTGTATACCAGTACGTTATAGTTTTCAATTTAGAATATTTAGCATGAGTTCTAAGATAATTTATTCATCACTAAGATAAAACGTTTATTACTTTGATTCTAGTATTTCTTTTCTTTAATAACTTTGCTCGAACAAAATAATGCATTGATCCCTTACCTGTCCAAGAAAATGTATTAAAAATAGAATATTGTAAAGTGAACAAAAATGTAGTTTACACATTGCATATTGCATACACATTGTTCACTAAATTAATAATAAAGGTAAAAACATTTTGCTATATAGCCCTTATTACGTTAGCCACGCAGTAAAAATATGGCGATAAATTCTGCACTGCAAATAACATGTAAATTACTTGAATTGTCAATATTTTACTTTTCTTAAAATCTTAGTTCATTTTTCTCAAAGTAGAATTCCTGACTCCCTGAGAAATTTGCAGGAAAGAAATGAATAAAAGAAGGATTTTCATTGGCTACTTTAAACTTGTCACATTTTGAATTATTACATTATTGTAAATGTCGAGTACATTGATAAGAATGCGTGCTTCCCCATCCTTGTACGTCATGAATGAAATAATCATAAGTAATGTTTTTGTTTTGAATATCATTTTACTCGACACTATAGTCGAAAAGTGTGCCATAGTACTAAAATGTTTTTGAACTGTCAATCAAACACCAGTTTATGCTAATGACGACTAAGATATGTTTAAGATTCCTAATAAGAAAGTAGGCAAAGTCGATAAACGAGAAGTCAGAATAATTAAATAATTATGTCCGTTCATTTTTTATAATTGTTTAAAAAAATATTTATAGCATGTCAAAGCCCTTGACTTCCCCATATTATGATGAGAACTTCAACTTTTATTTAATGATTTAGAAACCGAAAGCAGGGAACGGTAATCACTGACTGCGGTTTCCTCGTCACGTAGGTTTTCATTTTTATTAAGTATTAATTACGACACGTTTTTTTTTAGCTGAAATGAACAAGTTCTTACATAGTTGATTGAACTTAGGCAACCAAACAGAAAAATGTTCCAAGTTTAACGATGCTACATTGTATATCATTAAGATCAGATTTGAATTGTAATATTTCTTGACGATTTTTAGCCCGTTTTGAGACGCTTTTTATTTCTGTGTCATTCAGCACATTTTCCTCCGAAAAAACGAAATGAGCAAATGATCTGAAATTTTGCACGCAAGATGAGACTTAAGCAAACGCAATATTGTATATAAATATTGATGAAATAAAGGGAAGTAAATGCAAATAAAACACTCTTAATAAATTTCGCGAAGTTATTTCTATGTACAGATTTTTTTCATTTGCTGTAATAGGTTGTCATGTCCTGGTTTGAAAGTGAACCACTAGTATTGCCTTATACTGGCACATAATAAAAAGACTTCATTGCATTAAATATAATGTCCAGTTATCAGCAAAACTATATAGTCAATCTTTTTTATGAATCTATCTGGGGAAAGCATTGTTGTGCATGTACCCTACCTATTTTTGTTGCTACGGGCGACTCCAACGAACTGTAGCTCCTAAAAGCATCTAAGTGATGCTAGATTGTTTTCTAAATTACTTTTGTGGTCTAATAAATGGAATAAAACCTTATTTAAAATATAATCTTATTATCTTGTGTGCGATGTAAGTGAATATAAGATATTACGATGTTTCGATTCAAACTCACCATATGCCATTTTCAGTATAAATAGTCTTTATAGAGAAAAAAAAACATATGTATATAAATGGTTGATATATTAAACTGAATTATCAATAATTGACATTTTGGTTTAAAAACTAAGAAACCGTAGTTAATGGTGGCTGATTTGGCGAAAACACGACAGAGTGGTGACTTTGTCGTATTAATCATCGGAGAGAAAATAGAACATGGCACAAAACAGCTACCATAGCACACTTTAGCTGCCACCATGCCGACTTAATTATGCTATTGGAGGGGATTTAGCTACCCCTTTGACAACCTAACGTGGATGTTTAAGGACCTCCACTGTAGACAAAAAGTCTAAAACATAAAATTTAAATTCCTACATCAAATGAAGCATTTGAAATGGAAAAGTCTGCAATAGGTTATTAAGAAATATACTCAGACTTGAATTAAATATTGATTTTTGTGCGATCCTTAATCCGATATGAGTGAAAAGCGTCGAAACGTTTTTTCCTTCATTTCTGGGTTACTTTGCACCATAAAATGATAAATCGAAAAAAAAAAAAAAAACACAACAACACAAAAAAACAACACAAAAACAACGGATTGTAGAAATAATCTATGATTTTGCACACAAGTCATTGGTCCAGACTTTCATCGAATGATAACGAAATCTTGAGGAATTATTTCAATTTCTGTCATGCGTAAACAAATCTCATTTGAGTACCTTTAAAAAATCAGCAACTAAACTTATTATTTATACAAAATGTCGTATAAAATATCTTCAAGCTACATACAGCACACGTTGAATATGGATAGTCAAATTTTTTATATCGAGTTTATATTGACCTTTTACAAAGAAGTATATTAATATACATTTACACAGAATGATCGGAAAAAAATGATAATATATCTCACCTCAGTACAATATGGTACATTAATTGTATGAATCATGTCAAGGAAAAATAAGATCAAAAGTATGAGGTGTTTTAAGGGTGTTTTAAGACAGAGTCTGATTTGTCTAATGCATCGTCGGAACCCACGGTAAACATTCCGTATACGGTAAATAACCTGGATTACCGATACGGTAAATAGCCTGGGTTACCGAGAATGGGTCTAATGATGCGTGGTATAAAATTATGTAGGATGTGACGTACATGTATGAGGGAAAATAAAAAAGTATGAGGGACACTGCAAGATGTATGAGGTGTAAGAAAAATACAAAAAGGGAGATAATAAAGAATGAAAAGTAATTAGATGAGGGGTGTGCCATGAAGGGTATGCGGGTAAACTTGAGCATAAGTTTCTAGGTACAAGCTTGAAGTATGAAAGGTGCATACATACATATTAGGTGTATTGCAAGCAGTGTGAGTGGTATGGTAACAATTTGAGAGTTAAGATAAGGGGAATGAGCAAGAAGAATGAGGGCTGAGACAAGAGGTATAAAAGGTAAAACAATATTTAAGAGTAATGTTACAAGAATATGAGTTAATATACCAGATGTATGAGGGTTAGAACAAGAAATAAGAGTGAAGATAACAAAAGTATGAGGAATGAGCAAGAAATATGAGTGAAGATACCGGAAGTATGAGGAATGAGCAAGAAATATGAGTGAAGATACCGGAAGTATGAGGAATGAGCAAGAAATATGAGTGAAGATACCAGAGGTATGAGGGATGAGACAAGAAATATGAGTGAAGATACCGAAGTATGAGGAATGAGCAAGAAATATGAGTGAAGATACCAGAAGTATGAGGGATGATACCAGATGCATGAGGGATGAGACAAGAAATATGAGTGAAGAGATCAAAAGTATGAGGGAAAATACAAGAAAAATGAGTGAAGAGACCAGAAATATGAGGAATGAGACAATAAATATGAGTGAAGAGACCAGATATATGAGAGATGAGACAAGTAATATAAGTGAAGAGATCAGATATATGAGGAATGAGACAAGAAATATGAGCGAAGATACCAGAAGTATGAGGGATGATACCAGCTGTTTGAGTGATGAGACATGAAATATGAGTGAAGAGACCAAATGTATGAGGGATCTGAAAAAAAGTATGAGTGAAGATACCAGCTGTATGAGGGATGAGACTAGAAGTATGAGAGGAGAGACCAGCATTATGAAATAAGAGTTGTAAGGGAGAGGCGTGAAGTTTGAGGATACAACTATTTATATTGATGAGATGAAAAATATGAGAGCTTGTTAAATACTTTGTTTTGTCGAGCTATAAAAACTTATCTTCATTCTGAGGGTGTTGACAGAGGACAATAAACTCGAGTTATAGGACAATAAACTCGAGTTATAGGTCGTGATGTATTTTTTCAAAGCCATACCAGATGTTAGCTTAATACACGTGTGTATGTTCTGACTGTCCTCTATAAAATTTGAAATATAGTTATGAGGAAAAATGCCAATGGTATAAAAAAGTATGAGTAGCCAGACAAAGTACTAGGAGTATGAAGAAAAAGTTATGAGTTATAAGACAAAAAGTACAAGGGATATTAAAAAAGTTCAGAGTTTTGAGACAGATAAAGTTTGAGTATGATAAAAAAAGTTATGATTAATTAAGCAGAATGTACCGGAGATATGAATAAAGTAAAGTTATGAGATAGATAGTACAAGGAGTGTGAAAAAAAATATGAGTAATAAGGCAGAAAGAGAAGAGGTATAGAAGAAGATATGAGTAATGAGGCAGAAAGTTTTAGGGTATGAAAAAAGTTATGAGTAATGAGGGAGTAAGAAGAAAAGGATGAAAAAAGTATAAGTAATGAGGCGGAAAGTACGAGGGGTAAAATATGTATAGGGTAATGAGTCTAAAAGTAGAAACTGGAGGTAAATAGTATGAGTATCGATGCAGGAGTAGTTGGGATTTATAAAACATGAAGAAAAGGTAAAAAGGTAGAAAGTAATAGGGATGTAAAAACATGAATATTGAGGCAGAACGAAAAAGGGGTAAAATGTGTGGGTAATGTGGCAGAAAGTAGTAAGGGTATGATAAAAAAGTTATGACTAACGAGGTAGTAATATGAAGAAGTATACAAAGTTATGAGTAATGAGGAAGAAAGAAGAATAGGTATAGACATGTTATGAGTAATGAGGCAGAAAGTAGTGAGGATATGAAAAAGGTATGAGTCAAAAAGCAGAAAGTAGAAAAGGTTATACAGAGGTTATGAGTAATGAGACAGAAAGAAGTTAGGATATGAAAAAGTAATGAGTAATGAGGCAGAAAGTAGAAAAGGTGTAAAACGGTTATGAGCAATAAGGCAGAAAGTAGTTAAGGATATGAAAAAAAGTAATGAGTAACGAGGTAGTAATAAGACGGAGTCTACAAAGTCATGAGAAATGAGAAAGGTATAGAAAGGTTATGAGTTATGAGGCAGAAAGTAATGAGGATATGAAAAAAGTGATGAGTAATGGGTCAGTAATAAGGAAGCAGGAGTATATAAAGTGATAAGTAATGAGGCAGAAAGTGTGAGAAGTATGATGAGAGGTTATGAGGCAGATAATTCTCTGGGTATGAGACCAAAATTATGAGTATTGAAACAAGATTGAATACTTACAAGGCATACAAAAGTATATTACTGTAAATGCGGATTTACAATATTTGATTAAACAATTATACTCTCATAACTGTTTTGTTCATGAAGGTTATTGTTTGATTTTTTTAATGACTTATCGATTTTATCCCAGCGGACACATAATATCTTGATAGTGGGGCATATAGATAGCGTGATACTTTGAACACCTTGACCTTCACTGTAAAAAAGTTTATGATTTATGTCCTCTTAACATACTTTGTTATTAATTTAACATTTTGCTCTCACGTGAAGACCTCATGCTAGCAGCATGTGTTCTAATTCAAACCGTTTTTATGAAAAATAAATGAATGATTTACATCAAACAACTTGAGTCATAGGCAATATTAAACACGTTAGTTATAGAAAATTGGTAAAAGTATTCAAACGTAGCCCTAATAGTTAGAAAGTGGTAACAAAATAAGTAGATATTGTCAAATTAGCTTATTTATAAAGAGTAAATGAATTTACAATACGTGTATGTAAAAATTCTAAATTCTTGATGCATTTTCTATGAAGCTTGATATGTCTTAAAATGCCATCATTTTCATATACAAGTTATATAATGTCAGAACAAAATCAGATAACTCCCCCCCCCCCAATATCAAATAAAAAATTCGTTATTGCTTTGGTACAACCCTAAGTCAGTCCGGTTTATCTCAGATTAGGAGTTGCCGCATGTTAAGCCGGTGCGACATCATAACCGGAAGTGACATACCTTAATCCAAGTAAAATATTATGGTTACTCTAGGCATAGAGAGTCGTTTTCCATAGAATAAAAATACTGTCAGCAAAAACAACAACAACAACAAAAAAAAAAAAAGAACAAGAAAACCCCCAAAAAACAACAACAACAAAATACCCCCCCCCCCAAAAAAAAAAAACCCCAAAAGCAAAACGACAACAACAACAAAAATAACAGCACAAACAAATAAAAAAAATTAAAAAAAGCAACAACACATTTTTGGACCCAAACCTTATAATAAGAGGCTTATCGAAGAGCGATGTACTCCGGCTGCATTTTCCTGTGCATCCGACATTTAATATGAACTGAAACTAAGTCAGCTTGAGGACATGAACATTACATGCGATGCATTAATTGTTTAATAAGAGATACGTACACCAATATTATTGGCCTGTAAAATTCAATTTTTTTTTTTTGAGAAATCTGAAGAATGAAAACCGGTGTATCAAGGTGTCCTCATTTAGCGGTGTGAAAGCTTTGAAATGTCGTCCAGAATTTACAGGCCAACCGTGCAGTGAGTGTTTTATACACTTATATATTATAAATATATCCTGTCACATTTGTTGATGTCTTTGTAGAAGTACTTGGTTCCATTTATTGTGTGGGCAGTGTGGTTTTGTCATAGCGAAGCTTGTTCAAAACATTTTACTTTAAAAAAGAATTGGTGTTGTTCATACGAATCAAAAGCTGACATTTTCCCCAAAGTATTTTACTTTAAGATTGCTTAAGCTTGACAACTCAGGAGAGCAACACAAAACTTATAAAATTGCCCCCTTGTAATGACATAGAAATTATACGTCAGGTAACAGGTGTGCGGGTCAAACATATGTGCGTTTATAATTTAAAAAATAATGTGTGGGCTTTACATTTATCTATATAACGCCTTTTTGAAACGGGATAATAACAGTGTTTCTTCAAGTTTGTTGCTGCTACAACTTGTGTGTGAACATTCTATTTCTAAAATGGCACGGAAACTTATTCTCCAGAAAGTGGTGAGTTGAAAATGTTAATACATTGTATATTTATTGCATTTCTTTCTATAGTTTGTGATAATTAATGTGTTTCTTTTGAATTATTTTTAAATATCTCTTATTCATGCAAACATATTAAGTGGAAAGAGCTGTTACACATTAGATATAATTCTTTTGTATCATAGTTTCTGAACTTTTCTGTTGAAAATTGTCAGAGTTAAATCGTATACACATACATGTACAGAGCGTTAACTGGTTTGCAGATATTATGTTACCCACACTTCAGATATATCATACTCAGATGCTCGTTAATTGTTTTTTTTTTTTTTTTTTTTTTTTTTTTTTTTTTTTTTTTTGGGGGGGGGGGTCATATTGCGACAACAGGGGAACGTGTTTTCATTTTTTGCCTATGATGCAAAAGGAAGAGATATCCTCTCAACCTCATATATTTTTACGGGTTTTTGTGATATAATTTATAGAAGTTTGAAGTTATAAAAAGTTATTATTCTGATATCGTATTGAAAGAAAAAAATGAAGATCATTGAATTAATATCTTTGAATTTTTAAACCTGAGAATGGGTGCACGATTTTCAAAATCAAGGCATTTTAAGATTTTAAGTACATTATCAACATGTGTAGCTCATTCATAAATAGTTTCCTGTTAACTTTTTTCTTTCTTAAAATATAATGTAGGTTTTTTTAAACTTAAAAAACGTTAAAAAATCTAGTTTATACAAATGTATTTTTTTTAAATGTCTCGGATGATAGCTAAAAGTCACTGGAGACATTGTATTGTGTGAAGGTAAAAAAAAAACAAACAAAAAAAAAAACCCAACAAAACAACATAAATTATGTCGTGTATCGGTTTTTACCATGTGTGAATTAGGGGTGTTGCGTTTTTTCTTTGTCGTTTTTGAAAAACCAATAACCGGTAACTGAGGTTAGCTGAAAACTTTACACATTTTAGTCTGATTATAAACATTATATTTGTTTCCTTTATGTCAAGATATGAAGTTTTTTTTTTAAATCTATTATTCCCCGATTGCCTGCTATCTTAATATTCTGTATGGCACGGTATTACAGGCAACATTAGAATATGTTATAGCTTTTGATTACAACAAAATACACAGAAAATGTGCTATTTTTATCTAATTAGAAAATAGTTAATGTTAAAAATTAAAGAATTATTTTTAGTGCGGACGGTTTTAAATGTTATACACGGTTATTAGGACGCCGTTTAAACTCTTATCATTTTTGTTAATCGTTTCACCCCCAGTGGTAGATGCAAAGATAAGTAAGTATGTGAATCAATTGATATTAGATCTGAGATCGATATTTGATCGGAGATCGATATTAAACACTCAGCAGGACATTGGCACTTTGTCACATTTCATGCCAGAAGTAAGTTACAATTGCAATATCCTACCGAATGCACTGCATTGTCCTAGTCTGTCTTCGTGCCAAAGTCATCCACTTAATATAAGTCACATAGATGGTCATAGCCTACGTTTTAAATATATGCGATTTTTTTCGAAATTCTGGTAACATACCGTTTTCACTTGATTATTTAAAACCTCATTTTTCTGCTGCCGTTTGGATGTTAATGCCTGATGATAAACTTTTCTGTTGCAGATACTGGTGATTGTGATTTTGGGTTCGGCTAAAGCAACGCATAATTGCAGAAAGAATTTTCCAGATGTATGATTTTTTCTATAAACTTTATCTTTTTTTTTCAGTAAATAAGACCAAAATATTCTTTAGTTTATCTTATAATGTTTGAATTTAATCCAATTTCCACAGATTTGAAACGAATTTAGGATATATATAACAAATTTTCTTGGTTCTTGAATAAAAGTGATAATAAGAAAACACACAAGCATAGTTCTAGGTCTTTTGTGCATTGTCTGTTCGAATAAAATCATGGCTAACAATAGTATATCACTTACAGACTTTAATTTATGTATTAAATTCTTTATTGCATTTTTAAAACAGGATTGTCCGGCTGGCGAGTTTTGTGCTGCTCCCGGCAGTTCTTCCAATCCAAGTCAATTCAAATGCTACGACTGTAAGTTCACTCATATTGTCACCATAGTCCAGTAATGGGTTAACTAATTTATATAAAATAGTTGTAAATCTGTTACTTCACTAAGGTGACGCTATGATATTTATTTATTTACTTTTGAATCAATTTCTGTTTTGGTATTGCACAGATAATAAAAATCGTACATTCTATCTTGATTTAACGTTTCTTAATATATGAAGAGTTAAACCAAGTTATCGATCATTGTTGTACAAAATATGCTCTCTTTTAAAGCAGCACGCCTCCAGATTCCTGCTAATATTCATGAAAATTTGAAAATGTATTCAAAAGTAAAATATTGTTAAGCTGACAGAAAATGATATGCACATTTCAAGCGGCACTTGCATCCAATGTTTATTACAAAAAAGAGGTCAAAATATGCAAAATTAACCCTTACTGCGTTAGTAACGCAGTAAAAATATGGTGAAGTTTTCTGAAAAATTAGCCATTAATCGCAAATAAAATGGAAATTTTTACTTTTATCTTGAGTCTTTATACTTTTCATACATTTTTCTCAAGTTTTATTTTCTTGAAATACTTTTGCTCATCTGGAGGTATGCAGCTTTAAAGTCAAATACACGTTAAACGAACTCCACTGAAGTCCCAACCCCTTTAATATAAAATTTGAATTTCTTACATAAAACAGCTTGGGCAAATACAACAACAACAACAAAAAAAAAAACCCAAAGAAACAACAAAATGAAATGATACATTAATCTCGAAATCCCGTCATGTCAAAAAACCTCAGTGGAGTCCCTTTAATGCTGAACATTATTTTTTTGTAAAGAAAGTATTCAGATCTTCAGGTCAACAATGTTTAGTATTTAAGTTTTAAAGAATGTTTTATTTATATCTCTAGGCCCATGCAGCATGACAAGTCAGTGTAGGTTAGAGGGTGGTAATGTCGTATGCAACTGTACTGGGTCGGGATATACAGGATCAACATGCACCACTGGTAAGATACTACCTTCGAGCATGCCTATACACCTGTATGTCCGTTGGTTTGTCCGACTTTCTTGATTTTTATTTTGACTCTCATTATGTTATTTGCATTTTCAACAAACTACTAGTATACTGTGTGTTTAATTTAGCTTTTAACATACTCATCATCTAGTTTCTATATTGTTTGTTGTCTATATAAACTTCAATAATTCTCTTCCCTAATGATTGCTTTTACATATTGGTCTTATGTGATACTCAACAATTACAATGGCGTTTCAAATAATGGTTTCTAAAGTATTGCACATTCAAGTGCACGTCTGCATTGTGTTTCAGTAATACAATTACAAGTTATTGCAGATCTCGTGTCCAGTTAGTTTCACCACATGAAATAACATGCTAATTGTATTCATTTCTGATAAAAATGAAATACTTCAAGTGTATTAGACACAATGAATATACTTTTGTCCGTACTTTTTACATGTATCAGATATAGACGAATGTGCAACTGGTGCGGACAACTGTGATGAAAACGCCCAATGTACAAACACAAATGGAACCTTCACGTGCGCCTGTAACGCAGGATACTCTGGTAATGGCGTTTCGTGCGTAGGTAAGTAATTATTAATGTTATAAACTCAAAACGCGTTTCGGCCTTGACTAGATGGACCTCTTTGATTATTTCTGTCAAAAACTTAGATTTATAACTATAAATATTTATTTACCTATTACTTGCTGTAATTAAAAGTGGTTTACACAGTCAACAACCAGCCTGTATATCCGTTCAGTATTGCTATGGTTTTAATAATTATGATAGTAGGTCATGTTTTGTATATTAACATTGAACTTCTTTAGTTAAGAAAAAGAAAGGAATTATCGGATTTCAAGGCAGGGCAAATTAATTTGACAAATTCAGAAGGGTAAACATTGTCGTGATTTAATCACTTAGTAAAAGTAAAATTTTGGCATTGGTTTGTGATAACACATTCTCTAGAAAATTTACACTTAAAAATATCTTCAAGTTTTTATCAAAGTCAACGTATTTTGAAGGTAGACAAATGGTAGAAGGAACAACAAGGCAATCCTAGCTTTTGTTAAAAATAATTTGCATATTGTATGAAGTTCTTCATTCGAACCCTGAACATGCTTGAACCGAAACGGATTATGATTAACATATTATTGAACAGTTCAATAGTTTAATACTGAAGTCACACTTACTTCAAATTTTCGTCAAAAATTTAAAATTGAAAATAAAATAATGAATGAGAGCTATATGAAAGTTCAGCCAAGAAATTCGGATTGTTGAAAGCTTAAACGTTACACGTGGAGTAAAATATTTCCAAATAGCAGGAGTCCGTGTATATTGTCTTTCAGTGTTTTTTATCAATTGTACACACGAACTAAAAATTAATGCGGAAATATTTGAATATCCTTAGATACTGTGAAAATATCATTGCTCTTTTACTTATCTCAGATATTAACGAATGTACCACTAATACGGACAATTGTGATGGTAACGCCCAATGTACAAACACCGTAGGAAGCTTCACGTGCGCCTGTAACGCAGGATACTCTGGTGATGGCGTTTCGTGCGTAGGTAAGTTATAATTGATGCTATAAACTGTCAACACATTTCGGCCTTATATATTTTATTTAGTGATTAAATCACGACAATGTTTACCCTTCTTAATTACGCACCTAAAAGTCCGTGACTAGATGTATGATATGACCTAAATGGACCTATTTGTAAATGTCTGTCAAAATCTTATAATTATCAGTTTAAATATTTATTTACCCTAACCTGCTATAACAAAAAGTGGTTTGCCATTGCCACTTTTACCGGCCAACAACCAGCCAGTATATCCGTTCAGTATTGCTATGGTTTTAATAATTATGATAGTAGGTTATGTTTTGTATATTCACATTGAACTTCTTTAGTCAAGAAAAAGAAAGGAATTATCGGATTACAAGGCAGGGCAAATTAATTTGACAAATTCAGAAGGGTAAACATTGTCGTGATTTAATCACTAAGTAAAGTTTTGCATTGGTTTGTGATAATACATTCTTTAGAAAATTTACAATATCTTCAATTTTTTATCAAAGTCAATCTATTTTGAAGGTAGAAGGAACAGAAATATTTAAAAATTCATTAGAATACTGTTTTCAGTGGATTATGTAAAAGAACGTTGAGACCTTTTCATTAATTTTAAGTATTCTCTCGTACATATTCTGAATTAACAAGGCAAACCTAGCTTTTGTTAAAAATAATTTGCATATTGTATGAAGTACTTCATTCGAACCCTGAACATGCTTGAACCGAAACGGATTATGATTAACATATTATTGAACAGTTCAATAGTTCAATACTGAAGTCACACTTACTTCAAATTTTCGTCAAAAATTTAAAATTGAAAATAAAATAATGAATGAGAGCTATGAAAGTTCAGCCAAAAAATTCGGATTGTTGAAAGCTTAAACGTTACACGTGGAGTAAAATATTTCCAAATAGCAGGAGTCCGTGTATATTGTATTTCAGGCGTTTTTTGATCAATTGTACACACGAACTGCAAATTAATGCGGAAATATTTGAATTTCCTTAGATACTGTGAAAAGATCATTGTATTTTTACTTAACTCAGATATTAACGAATGTACCACTAATACGGACAATTGTGATGGTAACGCCCAATGTACAAACACCGTAGGAAGCTTCACGTGCGCCTGTAACGTAGGATACTCTGGTGATGGCGTTTCGTGCGTAGGTAAGTTATTATTGATGCTATAAACTCTCAACTCATTTCGGCCTTGACTAAATTACGCACCTAAAAGTCCGTGACTAGATGTATGATATGACTAAAATGGACCTCTTTGTAAATGTCTGTCGAAATCTTATAATTATCAGTATAAATATTTATTTACCCTAACCTGCTATAACAAAAAGTGGTTTGCCATTGCCATCTTTACCGGCCAAAAACCAGCCTGTATATCCGTTCAGTATTGCTATGGTTTTAATAATTATGATAGTAGGTTATGTTTTGTCTATTCACATTGAACTTATTTAGTCAAGAAAAAGAAAGGAATTATCGGATCCCAAGGCAGGGCAAATTAATTTGACAAATTCAGAAGGGTAAACATTGTCGTGATTTAATCACTAAGTAAAATTTTGGCATATGTTTTTGATAATACATTCTTTAGAAAATTTATACTTAAGAATATTTTCAAGTTTTTATCAAAGTCAATCTATTTTGAAAGTAGAAGGAACAGAAATATTTCAAAATTCATTAAAATACTGTTTTCCGTGGATTATGTAAAAGAACGTTGAGACCTTTTCATAAATTTTAAGTATTCTCTCGTACATATTCTGAATTAACAAGGGAATCCTAGCTTTTGTTAAAAATAATTTGCATATTGAATGAGGTACTTCATTCGAACCCTTAACTTGATTGAACCGAAACGGATTATCCTTAACATATTATTGAACAGTTCAATACTGTGGTCATATTTACTTCAAATGTTCGTTCAAAATTTAGAATTGAAAATAAAATAATAAATGAGAGCTATGAAAGTTCAGTTAAGAAATTCGGATTGTTGAAAGCTTAAACGTTATACGTGGAGTAAAATATTTCCAAATAGCAGGAGTCCGTGCATATTGTATTTCAGTGTTTTAATCAACTGTACATACGAACTGCAAATTATTGCAGAAATATTTGAATTTCCTTAGATACTATGAAAATATCATTGCTTTTTTACTTATCTCAGATATTGACGAATGTACCACTAATACGGACAATTGTGATGAGAACGCCGAATGTACAAACACCGTAGGAAGCTTCACGTGCGCCTGTAACGCAGGATACTCTGGTGATGGCGTTTCATGCGTAGGTAAGTAATTAATGATGTTATAAACTCATAACACATTTCGGCCTTGACTAAATTACGCACCTAAAAGTCCGTGACTAGATGTATTATAAGACCTAAATGGACCTCTTTGTAAATGTCTGTCAAAATCTTATAATTATCAGTATAAATATTTATTTACCCTAACCTGCTATAACAAAAAGTGGTTTGCCATTGCCACCTTTACCGGCCAACAACCAGCCTGTATATCCGTTCAGTATTGCTATGGTTTTAATAATTATGATAGTAGGTCATGTTTTGTATATTCACATTGAACTTCTTTAGTCAAGAAAAAAGAAAGGAATTATCGGATTTCAAGGCAGGGCAAATTAATTTGACAAATTCAGAAGGGTTAACATTGTCGTAATTTAATCGCTAAATAAAATTTGGGTATTGGTTTGTGATAATATATTCTTTAGAAAATTTACACTTAAGAATATCTTCAATTTTTTATCAAAGTCAATCTATTTTGAAGGTAGAAGTAACAGAAATATTTAAAAATTCATTAGAATACTGTTTTCCGTGGATTATGTAAAAGAACTTTGAGACCTTTTCATAAATTTTAAGTATTCTCTCGTACATATTCTGAATTAACAAGGGAATCCTAGCTTTTGTTAAAAATAATTTGCATATTGAATGAGGTACTTCATTCGAACCCTGAACTTGCTTGAACCGAAACGGATTATCCTAAACATATTATTGAACAGTTCAATACTGAAGTCACACTTACTTCAAATTTTGTTCAAAATTTAAAATTGAAAATAAAATAATAAATGAGAGCTATGAGTGTTCAGCCAAGAAATTCGGATTGTTAAAAGCTTGAACGTTACACGTGGAGTAAAATATATCCAAATATCAGGTGTCCGTGCATATTGTATTTCAGGGTTGTAATCAATCGTACACACGAACTGCAAATTATTGCAGAAATATTTGAATTTCCTTAGACACTGTGAAAATATCATTGCTTTTTACTTAACTCAGATATCGACGAATGTACCACTAATACGGACAATTGTGATGAGAACGCCCAATGTACAAACACCGTAGGAAGCTTCACGTGCGCCTGTAACGCCGGATACTCTGGTGATGGCGTTTCGTGTGTAGGTAAGATATTAATGATGCTATAAACTCTCAACACATTTCGGCCTTGACTAGATTACGCACATAAAAGTCCGTGACTAGATGTATGATATGACCTAAATGGACCTCTTTGTAAATGTCTGTCAAAATCTTATAATTATCAGTATAACTATTTATTTACGCTAACCTGCTATAACAAAAAGTGGTTTGGCATTGCCACTTTTCCCGGCAAACAACCAGCCTGTATATCCGTTCAGTATTGCTATGGTTTTAATAATTATGATAGTAGGTCATGTTTTGTATATTCACATTGAACTTCTGTAGTCAAGAAAAAGAAAGGAATTGTCAGATTTCAAGGCAGGGCAAATTAATTTGACAAATTCAGAAGGGTAAACATTGTCGCGATTTAATCACTAAATAAAATTTGGGCATTGGTTTGTGATAATACATTCTTTAGAAAATTAACACTTAAGAATATCTTCAAGTTTTTATCAAAGTCAATCTATTTTGAAGGTAGAAGTAACAGAAATATTTAAAAATTCATTAAAATACTGTTTTCCGTGGATTTTGTAAAAGAACGTTGAGACCTTTTCATAAATTTTAAATATTCTTTCGTACATATTCTGAATTAACAAGGGAATCCTAGCTTTTGTTAAAAATAATTTGCATATTGAATGAGGTACTTCATTCGAACCCTGAACTTGATTGAACTGAAACGGATTATCCTAAACATATTATTGAACAGTTCAATACTGAAGTCACACTTACTTTCAATTTTTGTTCAAAATTTAAAATTGAAAATAAAATAATAAATGAGAGCTATGAAAGCTCAGCCAAGAAATTCGGATTGTTGAAAGCTTAAACGTTACACGTGGAGTAAAATATTTCCAAATAGCAGGAGTCCGTGCATATTGTATTTCGGTGTTTTAATCAATTGTACACACGAACTGCAAATTGATGCGGAAATATTTGATTTTCCTTAGATTCTGTGAAAATATCATTGCTTTTTTACTTAACTCAGATATTGACGAATGTACCACTAATACGGACAATTGTGATGGTAACGCCCAATGTACAAACACCGTAGGAAGCTTCACGTGCGCCTGTAACGCAGGATACTCTGGTGATGGCGTTTCGTGCGTAGGTAAGTTATTATTGATGCTATAAACTGTCAACACATTTCGGCATTGACTAAATTACGCACCTTAAAGTCCATGACTAGATGTATGATATGACCTAAATGGACCTCTTTGTAAATGTTTGTCAAAATCTTATAATTATCAGTATAAAAATTTATTTACCCTAACCTGCTATAACAAAAAGTGATTTGCCATTGCCACCTTTACCGCAACAACCAGCCCGTATATCTGTTCAGTATTGCTATGGTTTTAATAATTATGATAGTAGGTCATGTTTTGTATATTCACATTGAACTTCTTTAGTCAAGAAAAAGAAAGAAATTTTCGGATTTCAAGGCAGGGCAAATTAATTTGAGAAATTCAGAAGAGTAAACATTGTCGTGATTTAATCACTAAATAAAATTTTGGCATTGTTTGTCCTTGTAGATCGTTCAGCACGACATTATTGTTGTGATTGTGGTATTTTTTGTTTCAACTTTTCGGCATTTTCTAGTTTGGTGGTTCCAATATTCCTACTTGAATAATGTTGAATCACCCTTAGGATATGTTGTCTGCCTTTTAAATTTGTCTTTTAACGTCTTATCTATGATACGCAGGCTTCATAACCTCTGATCCCCTTTCAAAATTCCATTTTATTTAGTTCCGCCCATTGTTTTCTCGTTAAGGGCACACGCTTTTTATTACTTGGGGACCATACACCGCTTTTCATGGAATGGCACTTGCGTGTCACATTGAAGGTTCCATGATAACCGCCGTATGAACACATCTGCTGATGTTTCTAAATTCAAAATTTTACTATTTCACGTTTAAATGTTGAATTCTGCTTAAGCCGATGATAGGGGCGTGGACGGTAACTTGCACTTTCCAGTACTGTCCATGAACAGGCTCAATCAAACCGACCCTGCAACATTTTCAATTTTGCCGTGTTGGGCTTTCTTTAGGGATTCTGTATCTATCTATTTGTGATAATACATTCTTTAGAAAATTTACACTTAAGAATATCTTCAAGTTTTTATCAAAGTCAATCTATTTTGAAGGTAGAAGGAACAGAAATATTTAAAAATTCATTAAAATACTGTTTTCCGTGGATTATGTAAAAGAACTTTGAGACCTTTTCATAAATTTTAAGTATTGTCTCGTACATATTCTGAATTAACAAGGCAATCCTAGCTTTTGTTAAAAATAATTTGCACATTGAATGAAGTACTTCATTCGAACCCTGAACTTGCTTGAACCGAAACGGATTATCCTTAACATATTATTGAACAGTTCAATAGTTCAATACTGAAGTCACACTTACTTCAAATTTTCGTCAAAATTTTAAAATTGAAAATAAAATAATGAATGAGAGCTATATGAAAGTTCAGCCAAGAAATTCGGATTGTTGAAAGCTTAAACGTTACACGTGGAGTAAAATATTTCCAAATAGCAGGAGTCCGTGTATATTGTCTTTCAGTGTTTTTTTATCAATTGTACACACGAACTGCAAATTAATGCGGAAATATTTGAATTTCCTTAGATACTGTGAAAATATCATTGCTCTTTTACTTATCTCAGATATTAACGAATGTACCACTAATACGGACAATTGTGATGTTAACGCCCAATGTACAAACACCGTAGGAAGCTTCACGTGCGCCTGTAACGCAGGATACTCTGGTGATGGCGTTTCGTGCGTAGGTAAGTTATTATTGATGCTACAAACTCTCAACACATTTCGGCCTTGACTAAATTACGCTACTTAAAGTCCATGACTAGATGTATGATATGACCTAAATGTACCTCTTTGTAAATGTCTGTCAAAATCTTATAATTATCAGTATAAATATTTATTTACCCTAACCTGCTATAACAAAAAGTGGTTTGCCATTGCCACCTTTACCGGCCAACAACCAGCCTGTACATCCGTTCAGTATTGCTATGGTTTTAATAATTATGATAGTAGGTCATGTTTTGTATATTCACATTGAACTTTTTTAGTCAAGAAAAAGAAAGGAATTATCGGATCTCAAGGCAAGGCAAATTAATTTGACAAATTCAGAAGAGTAAACATTGTCGTGATTTAATCACTAAGTGAAATTTTTGCATTGGTTTGTGATAATACATTCTTTAGAAAATTTACAATTAAGAATATCTTCAATTTTTTATCAAAGTCAATCTATTTTGAAGATAGAAGGAACAGAAATATTTCAAAATTCATTAAAATACTGTTTTCCGTGGATTATGTAAAAGAACGTTGAGACCTTTTCATCAATTCTAAGTATTCTCTCGTACAAATTCTGAATTAACAAGGCAATCCTAGCTTTTGTTAAAAATAATTTGCATATTGAATGAGGTACTTCATTCGAACCCTGAACTTGCTTGAACCGAAACGGATTATCCTTAACATATTATTGAACAGTTGAATACTGAAGTCACACTTACTTCCAATTTTTGTTCAAAATTTAATATTGAAAATAAAATAATGAATGAGAGTTATGAAAGTTCAGCCAAGAAATTCGGATTGTTGAAAGCTTAAACGTTATACGTGGAGTAAAATATTTCCAAATAGCAGGAGTCCGTGCATATTGTATTTCAGTGTTTTAATCAACTGTACACACGAACTGCAAATTATTGCAGAAATATTTGAATTTCCTTAGATACTATGAAAATATCATTGCTTTTTTACTTAACTCAGATATTAACGAATGTACCACTAATACGGACAATTGTGATGGTAACGCCCAATGTACAAACACCGTAGGAAGCTTCACGTGCGCCTGTAACGCAGGATACTCTGGTGATGGCGTTTCGTGCGTAGGTAAGTTATTATTGATGCTATAAACTCTCAACACATTTCGGCCTTGACTAAATTACGCACATAAAAGTCCGTGACTAGATGTATGATATGACCTAAATGGACCTCTTTGTAAATGTCTGTCAAAATCTAATAATTATCAGTATAAATATTTATTTACCCTAACCTGCTATATCAAAAAGTGCTTTGCCATTGCCACCTTTACCGGCAAACAACCAGCCTGTATATCCGTTCAGTATTGCTATGGTTTTAATAATTATGATAGTAGGTCATGTTTTGTATATTCACATTGAACTTCTTTAGTCAAGAAAAAGAAAGGAATTATCGGATTTCAAGGCAGGGCAAATTAATTTGAGAAATTCAGAATGATAAACATTGTCGTGATTTAATCACTAAGTAAAATTTTGGCATTGGTTTGTGATAATACATTCTTTAGAAAATTTACACTTAAGAATATCTTCAAGTTTTTGTCAAAGTCAATCTATTTTGAAGGTAGAAGTAACAAAAATATTTAAAAATTCATTAAAATACTGTTTTCCGTGGATTATGTAAAAGAATTTGAGACCTTTTCATAAATTTTAAATATTCTTTCGTACATATTCTGAATTAACAAGGGAATCCTAGTTTTTGTTAAAAATAATTTGCATATTGAATGAAATACTTCATTCGAACCCTGAACTTGCTTGAACCGAAACGGATTATCCTTAACATGTTATTGAACAGTTCAATACTGAAGTCACACTTACTTTCAATTTTTGTTTAAAATTTAAAATTGAAAATAAAATAATTAATGAGAGCTATGAAAGTTCAGCCAAGAAATTCGGATTGTTGAAAGCTTAAACGTTACACGTGGAGTAAAATATTTCAGAATAGCAGGAGTCCGTGCATATTGTTTTTCAGTGTTTTAATCAATTGTACACACGAACTGCAAATTAATGCGGAAATATTTGATTTTCCTTAGATTCTCTGAAAATATCATTGCTTTTTTACTTAACTCAGATATTGACGAATGTACCATTAATACGGACAATTGTAATGGTAACGCCCAATGTACAAACACCGTAGGAAGCTTCACGTGCGCCTGTAACGCAGGATACTCTGGTGATGGCGTTTCGTGCGTAGGTAAGTTATTATTGATGTATAAACTATCAATTCATTTAGGCCTTGACTAAATTACGCACCAAAAAGTCTGTGACTAGATGTATGATATGACCTAAATGGACCTCTTTGTTAAATGTTTGTCAAAATCTTATAATTATCAGTATAAATATTTATTTACCCTAACATGCTATAAAAAAGTGGTTTGCCATTGCAACCTTTACTGCAACAACCAGCCTGTATATCCGTTCAGTATTGCTATGGTTTTAATAATTATGATAGTAGGTCATGTTTTGTATATTCCCTTTGAACTTCTTTAGTCAAGAAAAAGAAAGGAATTATCGGATTTCAAGGCAGGGCAAATTAATATGAGAAATTCAGAATGGTAGACATTGTCGAGATTTAATCACTAAATAAAATTTTGGCATTGGTTGTCCTTGTAGATCGTTCAGCACGACATTATTGTTGTGATTGTGGTATTTTTTGTTTCGACTTTTCGGCATTTTCTAGTTGGGTGGTTCCAATATTCCTACTTGAATAATGTTGAATCACCCTTAGGATATGTTGTCTGCTTTTTAAATTTGTCTTTTGACTTCTTATCTGTGATACGCAGGCTTCATAACCTCTGATCCACTTTCAAAGTTCCATTTTATTTAGTTCCGCCCATTGTTTTCTCGTTTAGGGCACACTCTTTTTATTACTTGGGGACCATACTATGCTTTTCATGGAATGGCACTTACGTGTCACATTGAAGGTTCCATGATAACCGCCGTATGAACACATCTGCTGATGTTTTTAAATTCAAAATTTTACTATTTCACGTTTAAATGTTGAATTCTGCTTAAGCCGATGCTAGGGGCGTGGACGGTAACTTGCACTTTCCAGTACCGTCCATGAACAGGCTCAATCAAACCGAGCCTGCAACATTTTCAATTTTGCCGTGTTGGGCTTACTTTAGGGATTCTGTATCTATCTATTTGTGATAATACATTCTTTAGAAAATTTACACTATAGAATATCTTCAAGTTTTTATCAAAGTCAATCTATTTTGAAGGTAGAAGGAACAGAAATATTTCAAAATTCATTAAAATACTGTTTTCCGGGGATCGTGTAAAAGAACGTTGAGACCATTTCATTAATTTTAAGTATTCTCTCGTACATATTCTGAATTAACAAGGCAATCCTAGCTTTTATTAAAAATAATTTGCATATTGAATGAAGTATTTCATTCGAACCCTGAACTTGCTTGAACCGAAACGGATTATCCTAAACATATTATTGAACAGTTCAATAGTTCAATACTGAAATCAAACTTACTTCAAATTTTCGTCAAAATTTAAAATTGAAAATGAAATAATGAATGAGAGCTATGAAAGTTCAGCCAAAAAATTCGGATTGTTGAAAGCTTAAACGTTACACGTGGAGTAAAATATTTCCAAATAGCAGGAGTCCGTGTATATTGTATTTCAGTGTTTTTTGATCAATTGTACACACGAACTGCAAATTAATGCGGAAATATTTGAATTTCCTTAGATACTGTGAAAATATCATTGCTTTTTTACTTAACTCAGATATTAACGAATGTACCACTAATACGGACAATTGTGATGGTAACGCCCAATGTACAAACACCGTAGGAAGCTTCACGTGCGCCTGTAACGCAGGATACTCTGGTGATGGCGTTTCGTGCGTAGGTAAGTTATTATTGATGCTATAAACTCTCAACACATTTCGGCCTTATATATTTTATTTAGTGATTAAATCACGAAAATGTTTACCCTTCTAAATTACGCACTTAAAGGTCCGTGACTAGATGTATGATATGACCTAAATGGACCTCTTTGTAAATGTCTGTGAAAATCTTATAATTATCAGTATAAATATTTATTTACCCTAACCTGCTATAACAAAAAGTGGTTTGCCATTGCTACCTTTACCGGCCAACAACCAGCCTGTATATCCGTTCAGTATTGCTATGGTTTTAATAATTATGATAGTAGGTCATGTTTTGTAAAAGAAAAAGAAAGGAATTATCGGATCCCAAGGCAGGGCAAATTAATTTGACAAATTCAGAAGGGTAAACATTGTCGTGATTTAATCACTAAATAAATTTTTTGCTTTGGTTTGTGATAAAACATTCTTAAGAAAATTGACATTTAAGAATATCTTGAAGTTTTTATCAAAGTCAATCTATTTTGAAGGTAGAAGGGACAGTAGTATTTAAAAATTCATTAAAATACCGTTTTCTGTGGATTATGTTAAAGAACGTTGAGACCTTTTCATAAATTTTTAAGTATTCTCTCGTACATATTCTGAATTAACAAGGGAATCCTAGCTTTTGTTAAAAATAATTTGCATATTGAATGAGGTACTTCATTCGAACCCTGATCTTGCTTGAACCGAAACGGATTATCCTTAACATATTATTGAACAGTTCAATACTGAAGTCACGCTTACTTCAAATTTCGATCAAAATTTAAAATTGAAAATAAAATAATAAATGAGAGCTATGAAAGTTCAGCCAAGAAATTCGGATTGTTGAAAGCTTAAACGTTACACGTGGAGTAAAATATTTCCAAATAGCAGGAGTCCGAAATCTAAAATTGAAAATAAAATAATAAATGAGAGCTATGAAAGTTCAGCCAAGAAATTCGGATTGTTGAAAGCTTAAACGTTACACGTGGAGTAAAATATTTCCAAATAGCAGGAGTCCGTCAATATTGTATTTCAGTGTTTTTTTATTAGGCCACTAAAGTTATGAGTATATGTAGCTTGACATCAAACAAATTGCAACACAAGCTTTCTTCAGTATTTTACAATCAATATATATGCATGGACCTTGTAGTAAAATCCTTAAACAAATATACCTTCGGAAACTTTAGTTTACGAGTACCTGTCCAGACATAAAAATCGTAATATAATATCGTAATATGTTAAATATGTGGCGACTGTCTTGTCTTTCTCTGTCATAGATTTGTATTTTTTTAGCCAGCATGTATTGGTGTTAATAAAATAGAATTTGCAATGAATAATAACAGGTTTGGCCTCTTTTGTATTATTTATTGACATGTGACACACAAGATTATTACCCCACCCACTCATAATAATAAAGCAAAACGTTCAAATTGCATTATCTTAAAAGTACCTAATATTTACAATTGAAAAGAGGTTCATATTATATTTATATCACATAAGCTTATATAAATAAAGAAACATAATCACTTAAGACATTTTAAAAGCAAAATGTAACATACGTTACATCAATTACATTGACATTATTCTAGCATTTTTAACTATTTTTGAAAAATTTATGAAAATAAAGAAAACAAACTTAGTTACAACAAACAATGCATATGGTTATATACTCAATATCTGAAAGTAACATGTTATTTAGTCTTTGGTGTGTCATTTAACATATTTGTACGTTACCTAAGTCTCATCCATCCAAATATTACCCATAAATGTTATGCAAACTATCACTTTTAACATGATTTGGTAGAAATAACTTCATTTATCATCGCCAGGATTTGTCCAACTATCTATAATGCACAACACTTAAGTTAGTGAAGAATAAATGCTGAAAATAAGCTGTAGTTATTTCTTTAGTAATGGTTCAAAATTAGAATTTTTTATGTACAAAATGCCAATTTTATGTCATGTATCATTTAGGTTGCTTTAAAAAAATATTTCACCTTTGAAATTGAATGCCATCACATCTTGTTTAACCTATTTATGTTTTCTTCCATATTATATAAAGAGATATTTAAAAGTGATCTCCACATCTCTATGTCTCTCATAATGCTCATTAGTTCGACTACACATAGTCAAATTTAAAAAAAGTTATCCTTTCAATAACTTTCAAAGTGTTGCATAGTGGTTAAAAAGCTTTTTCCTGCTGTTTTCCATGGTCGTTTCACTGGATTTGCAAGTTGTGTATGAAAAGAACGTCTTGGAATGACTGTTACTGTTACAACAATGGTGGTAACGTATTTTAGCTGCCAGGAGGCCATTTACGCCTTTAATTCTTCCTAGGACCTTACTTCACGCTTAAATTGTCTTGTTTTACACAAAGACTTGATTTAAACATGAAAGTCGAAGGTTTCAGCTTGACTGACTCATCGCCACAAAATTTATGTTCTTTCTGCAACTTACACAGATATTGTCTTAAATAAATATACTTTCAACATTTTTCTTGTTTCTGAGCTTCTAATCATAATTTATGTTTTCTCTTCTCGCTGTAATGATAACAATACTTCTTTTTCTATCATTTCGGCTTTACATCCAGTCATCTAAAATGGAATTAAAAAGATATTACAAAAACATTGTCTGGTCTTAAAAAATAATACTATTCATCAAATAAATTTTACCAAAAAAGTGGAGTCCTCTTCAGAGAAATGCATAAATTTGGGTGCACTATAGTTGCCCCGTATATTCATTTCAGTATTGTAATATTTTTCTGGTCTTTCAGGATCATTGAATCCAGCACTTTAAGTGTTGAGAATTTAGTACCGCTCAATCCGGTGCTAGGGGGCATGAGGGGTGTTGCACTTTACATTATCCGTCGTATACAGACTCAATCAAACCGGCTCTGCAATTTTCATGTAAATTGATTTTTAATGCATCTGAGGGATCACTTTTTTACCAGATATTTAAATAACATCTGTTACTGTTATTGACGAGAGGAACAGAATTAAATAAAAGGAGGCCTGTGGTCACATGATTTTAGGTATGGCAGGGCTTTCATTAGTGGCTTATCAAAAAAAGCACCCGAACTTTTTATCAATCACTTCATATAAATGAGTTATCTGTTCCTTTACGCCAATACTTTCAATATGATTCATAGACTATATTCTGTAGTTTTCATAAATATAGGACGAACAGCATAAGGTAAGGAAAGCAAACAGATAGCCAAACCCTATTAAAGATAAGCAGATGTTTACAGTATCTCAGAATCAAGTTTTACAACTATCAAATTTTATTCTTTGGTAAAATATGATAAACAAGATCAACAAGGAGAGGCGGCGTTCAATGAACGCAGCCCCCATATAATCCAGCAAGACAAAAAACTGAGAGCCAGACGAACAGAAAGGCAGATGTTTTTAAACAGAAAGACAGACGGTATAGATTGACATAAAGATATCCACATTAGCACAGACATCTGTGATTCATTACGTTTGTATTGAAACTATCTTATCTCATGTGTTTGTCAAATTGTACAACGAATTTAACACTCAAAATAGGGATCTATTACCACTGGCAAAGCAGCAGTTAACTCCGAATATAGCTCCTCATCAATATTCGTAGCACAATTTAGTTAAACCAGAGACACAGATAGTATTTTATCTATGTCTCTGGTTAAACCATGGAGCTGAACAACAATTTGAACTGCTTACTGTGACTGTAAAATAAGTTTTCTCCCTTAGTGGAATCACAATTTTGAATTTACATAATCATTGTAAATTCTGCATCTGTTTTGACTCCCCTGAAATCTGATATATCACTAGTAGGTAAAAAAGATAATATACTCGTATCAAGCTCAGTATTACCTTTCAATTCTTATCTTCCAAATGTTATTAAAATGAAAACATAGTAGCTATCATGCACAATGACATTTTTTTATCAAAAACTAATGATATGTTAATAAATATCATGCATTTTTGATATTAAAATCAATAACAATTTATTCAAGATTTCGAGCATTATTTACCCAAACACGCTTCCCTAGTTACATTTTGAAGCTACCCAGGATAAACTTACATTTGTTTATTTTTATTTTTCCTACTTCATAAACATCTTATTATCAAAAGGAATGTTAATATATATCCTAATGATTATTTTTATCTCATGAAAACTGCAAAATCTTTACTGTTTTTAAACGACAAACACTGATTTATATACACTCGAAAACCCATTACAATTCATTCATTGTATTTGATTTGGGGCATGTACAAGGCTAAAACATGTAAAAACAAGTAAATATAATATGAAAATGTATAGTATTACATACTTTGTACAACAGCTTCTAAATCCAACTCTAAGTAGTAAATGTGTAAATTTTGATACATTTAAATCGCGCGGCCTCATAACTTGTGTTTACCTCGATACCGGTAACAGTATAATACTCTGGGTATGGTGTACATGCAGAACCATATAAAAACTCGAAACAAATGCAAAATTTGAATTGCTTTTTTTACTGGTTTGCCATGGTTAGATTTTTTTAGGGTTTTTACCTGTTTTATATGATGTGTATAACAAACTAAAAATGTAAAAAAAGCTTGTGTTGCAATTTGTTTGACGTTAAATTTTACTTTAATCGGACTATATCAATTGTACACACGTACTGCAAATTAATGCGGAAATATTTGATTTTCCTTAGATACTGTGAAAATATCATTGCTTTTTTACTTAACTCAGATATTAACGAATGTACCACTAATACGGATAATTGTGATGGTAACGCCCAATGTACAAACACCGTAGGAAGTTTCACGTGCGCCTGTAACGCAGGATACTCTGGTGATGGCGTTTCGTGCGTAGGTAAGTTATTATTGTTGCTATAAACTATCAACACATTTCGGCCTTGACTAAATTACGCACCAAAAAGTCTGTGACTAGATGTATGATATGACCCAAATGGACTTCATTGCAAATATCTGTCAAAATATAATAATTATCAGTATAAATATCTATTTACCCTAACCTACTATAACAAAAAGTGGTTTGCCATTGCCACCTTTACCGGCAAACAACCAGCCTGTATATCCGTTCAGTATTGCTTTGGTTTTAATAATTATGATAGTAGGTCATGTTTTGTATATTCACATTGAACTTCTTTAGTCAAGAAAAAGAAAGGAATTATCGGATTTCAAGGCAGGGCAAATTAATTTGACAAATTCAGAAGGGTAAACATTGTCGTGATTTAATCACTAAGTAAAATTTTGGCATTGGTTTGTGATAATACATTCTTTAGAAAATTTACACTTAAAAATATCTTCAAGTTTTTATCAAAGTCAACCAATTTTGAAGGTATAAGGAACAGAAATATTTCAAAATTGATTAAAATACTGTTTTCCGTAGATTATGTAAAAGAACGTTGAGACCTTTTCATAAATTTTAAGTATTCTCTCGTACATATTCTGAATTAACAAGGGAATCCTAGCTTTTGTTAAAAATAGTTTGCATATTGAATGAGGTACTTCATTCGAACCCTGAACTTGCTTGAACCGAAACGGATTATCCTTAACATATTATTGAACAGTTCAATACTGAAGTCACACTTACTTCAAATTTTCGTTCAAAATTTAAATTGAAAATAAAATAATAAATGAGAGCTATAAAAGGTCAGCCAAATATTTGGATTGTTGAAAGCTTAAACGTAACACGCGGAGTAAAATATTTCCAAATAGCAGGAGTCCGTGCATATTGTATTTCAGTGTTTTAATAAATTGTACACACGAACTGCAAATTAATGCGGAGATATTTTATTTTCCTTAGATACTATGAAAATATCATTGCTTTTTTACTTAACTCAGATATTGACGAATGTACCACTAATACTGACAATTGTGATGGTAACGCCCAATGTACAAACACCGTAGGAAGCTTCACGTGCGCCTGTAACGCAGGATACTCTGGTGATGGCGTTTCGTGCGTAGGTAAGTTATTATTGATGCTATAAACTATCAACACATCTCGGCCTTTCTAAATTACGCACCAAAAAGTCTGTGACTAGATGTATGATATGACCCAAATGGACTTCTATGTAAATGTCTGTCAAATCTAATAATTATCAGTATGAATATCTATTTACCCTAACTTGCTATAACAAAAAGTGGTTTGCCATTGCCATCTTTACCGGCAAACAACCAGCCTGTATATCCGTTCAGTATTGCTATGGTTTTAATAATTATGATAGTAGGTCATGTTTTGTATATTCACATTGAACTTCTTTAGTCAAGAAAAAGAAAGGAATTATCGGATTTCAAGGCAGGGCAAATTAATTTGACAAATTCAGAAGGGTAAACATTGTCGTGATTTAATCACTTAATAAAATTTTGGCATTGGTTTGTGATAATACATTCTTTAGAAAATTTACACTTAAGAATATCTTCAAGTTTTTATCAAAGTCAATCTATTTTGAAGATAGAAGGAACAGAAATATTTCAAAATTCATTAAAATACTGTTTTCCGTGGATTATGTAAAAGAACGTTGAGACCTTTTCATAAATTTTAAGTATTCTCTCGTACATATTCTGAATTAACAAGGCAATCCTAGCTTTTGTTAAAAATAATTTGCATATTGAATGAAGTACTTCATTCGAACCCTGAACTTGCTTGAACCGAAACGGATTATCCTTAACATATTATTGAACAGTTCAATACTGAAGTCACGCTTACTTCAAATTTCGATCAAAATTTAAAATTGAAAATAAAATAATAAATGAGAGCTATGAATGTTCAGCCAAGAAATTCGGATTGTTGAAAGCTTAAACGTTACACGTGGAGTAAAATATTTCCAAATAGCAGGAGTCCGAAATCTAAAATTGAAAATAAAATAATAAATGAGAGCTATGAAAGTTCAGCCAAGAAATTCGGATTGTTGAAAGCTTAAACGTTACACGTGGAGTAAAATATTTCCAAATAGCAGGAGTCCGTCAATATTGTATTTCAGTGTTTTTTTATTAGGCCACTAAAGTTATGAGTATATGTAGCTTGACATCAAACAAATTGCAACACAAGCTTTCTTTAGTATTTTACAATCAATATATATGCATGGACCTTGTAGTAAAATCCTTAAAAAAATATACCTTCGGAAACTTTAGTTTACTAGTACCTGTCCAGACATAAAAATCGTAATATAATATCGTAATATGTTGAATATGTGGCGACTGTCTTGTCTTTCTCTGTCATAGATTTGTATTTTTTTAGCCAGCATGTATTGGTGTTAATAAAATAGAATTTGCAATGAATAATAACAGGTTTGGCCTCTTTTGTATTATTTATTGACATGTGACACACAAGATTATTACCCCACCCACTCATAATAATAAAGCAAAACGTTCAAATTGCATTATCTTAAAAATACCTAATATTTACAATTGAAAAGAGGTTCATATTATATTTATATCACATAAGCTTATATAAATAAAGAAACATAATCACTTAAGACATTTTAAAAGCAAAATGTAACATACGTTACATCAATTACATTGACATTATTCTAGCATTTTTAACTATTTTTGAAAAATTTATGAAAATAAAGAAAACAAACTTAGTTACAACAAACAATGCATATGGTTATATACTCAATATCTGAAAGTAACATGTTATTTAGTCTTTGGTGTGTCATTTAACATATTTGTACGTTACCTAAGTCTCATCCATCCAAATATTACCCATAAATGTTATGCAAACTATCACTTTTAACATAATTTGGTAGAAATAACTTCATTTATCATCGCCAGGATTTGTCCAACTATCTATAATGCACAACACTTAAGTTAGTGAAGAATAAATGCTGAAAATAAGCTGTAGTTATTTCTTTAGTAATGGTTCAAAATTAGAATTTTTTATGTACAAAATGCCAATTTTATGTCATGTATCATTTAGGTTGCTTTAAAAAAATATTTCACCTTTGAAATTGAATGCCATCACATCTTGTTTAACCTATTTATGTTTTCTTCCATATTATATAAAGAGATATTTAAAAGTGATCTCCACATCTCTATGTCTCTCATAATGCTCATTAGTTCGACTACACATAGTCAAATTTAAAAAAAGTTATCCTTTCAATAACTTTCAAAGTGTTGCATAGTGGTTAAAAAGCTTTTTCCTGCTGTTTTCCATGGTCGTTTCACTGGATTTGCAAGTTGTGTATGAAAAGAACGTCTTGGAATGACTGTTACTGTTACAACAATGGTGGTAACGTATTTTAGCTGCCAGGAGGCCATTTACGCCTTTAATTCTTCCTAGGACCTTACTTCACGCTTAAAGTGTCTTGTTTTACACAAAGACTTGATTTAAACATGAAAGTCGAAGGTTTCAGCTTGACTGACTCATCGCCACAAAATTTATGTTCTTTCTGCAACTTACACAGATATTGTCTTAAATAAATATACTTTCAACATTTTTCTTGTTTCTGAACTTCTAATCATAATTTATGTTTTCTCTTCTCGCTGTAATGATAACAATACTTCTTTTTCTATCATTTCGGCTTTACATCCAGTCATCTAAAATGGAATTAAAAAGATATTACAAAAACATTGTCTGGTCTTAAAAAATAATACTATTCATCAAATAAATTTTACCAAAAAAGTGGAGTCCTCTTCAGAGAAATGCATAAATTTGGATGCACTATAGTTGCCCCGTATATTCATTTCAGTATTGTAATATTTTTCTGGTCTTTCAGGATCATTGAATCCAGCACTTTAAGTGTTGAGAATTTAGTACCGCTCAATCCGGTGCTAGGGGGCATGAGGGGTGTTGCACTTTACATTATCCGTCGTATACAGACTCAATCAAACCGGCTCTGCAATTTTCATATAAATTGATTTTTAATGCATCTGAGGGATCACTTTTTTACCAGATATTTAAATAACATCTGTTACTGTTATTGACGAGAGGAACAGAATTAAATAAAAGGAGGCCTGTGGTCACATGATTTTAGGTATGGCAGGGCTTTCATTAGTGGCTTATCAAAAAAAGCACCCGAATTTTTTATCAATCACTTCATATAAATGAGTTATCTGTTCCTTTACGCCAATACTTTCAATATGATTCACAGACTATATTCTGTAGTTTTAATAAATATAGGACGAACAGCATAAGGTAAGGAAAGCAAACAGATAGCCAAACCCTATTAAAGATAAGCAGATGTTTACAGTATCTCAGAATCAAGTTTTACAACTATCAAATTTTATTCTTTGGTAAAATATGATAAACAAGATCAACAAGGAGAGGCGGCGTTCAATGAACGCAGCCCCCATATAACCCAGCAAGACAAAAAACTGAGAGCCAGACGAACAGGAAGGCAGATATTTTTAAACAGAAAGACAGACGGTATAGATTGACATAAAGATATCCACATTAGCACAGACATCTGTGATTCATTACGTTTGTATTGAAACTATCTTATCTCATGTGTTTGTCAAATTGTACAACGAATTTAACACTAAAAATAGGGATCTATTACCACTGGCAAAGCAGCAGTTAACTCCGAATATAGCTCCTCATCAATATTCGTAGCACAATTTAGTTAAACCAGAGACACAGATAGCATTTTATCTATGTCTCTGGTTAAACCATGGAGCTGAACAACAATTTGAACTGCTTACTGTGACTGTAAAATAAGTTTTCTCCCTTAGTGGAATCACAATTTTGAATTTACATAATCATTGCAAATTCTGCATCTGTTTAGACTCCCCTGAAATCTGATATATCACTAGTAGGTAAAAAAGATAATATACTCGTATCAAGCTCAGTATTACCTTTCAATTCTTATCTTCCAAATGTTATTAAAATGAAAACATAGTAGCTATCATGCACAATGACATTTTTTTTATCAAAAACTAATGATATGTTAATAAATATCATGCATTTTTGATATTAAAATCAATAACAATTTATTCAAGATTTCGAGCATTATTTACCCAAACACGCTTCCCTAGTTACATTTTGAAGCTACCCAGGATAAACTTACATTTGTTTATTTTTATTTTTCCTACTTCATAAACATCTTATTATCAAAAGGAATGTTAATATATATCCTAATGATTATTTTTATCTCATGAAAACTGCAAAAATCTTTACTGTTTTTAAACGACAAACACTGATTTATATACACGCGAAAACCCATTACAATTCATTCATTGTATTTGATTTGGGGCATGTACAAGGCTAAAACATGTAAAAACAAGTAAATATAATATGAAAATGTATAGTATTACATACTTTGTACAACAGCTTCTAAATCCAACTCTAAGTAGTAAATGTGTAAATTTTGATACATTTAAATCGCACGGCCTCATAACTTTTGTTTACCTCGATACCGGTTACAGTATAATACTCTGGGTATGGTGTACATGCAGAACCATATAAAAACTCGAAACAAATGCAAAATTTGAATTGCTTATTTTACTGGTTTGCCATGGTTAAATTTTTGTAGGGTTTTTACCTGTTTTATATGATGTGTATAACAAACTAAAAATGTAAAAAAAGCTTGTGTTGCAATTTGTTTGACGTTAAATTTTACTTTAATCGGACTATATCAATTGTACACACGTACTGCAAATTAATGCGGAAATATTTGATTTTCCTTAGATACTGTGAAAATATCATTGCTTTTTTACTTAACTCAGATATTAACGAATGTACCACTAATACGGATAATTGTGATGGTAACGCCCAATGTACAAACACCGTAGGAAGTTTCACGTGCGCCTGTAACGCAGGATACTCTGGTGATGGCGTTTCGTGCGTAGGTAAGTTATTATTGTTGCTATAAAACTATCAACACATTTCGGCCTTGACTAAATTACGCACCAAAAAGTCTGTGACTAGATGTATGATATGACCCAAATGGACTTCATTGCAAATATCTGTCAAAATATAATAATTATCAGTATAAATATCTATTTACCCTAACCTACTATAACAAAAAGTGGTTTGCCATTGCCACCTTTACCGGCAAACAACCAGCCTGTATATCCGTTCAGTATTGCTATGGTTTTAATAATTATGATAGTAGGTCATGTTTTGTAAATTCACATTGAACTTCTTTAGTCAAGAAAAAGAAAGGAATTATCGGATTTCAAGGCAGGGCAAATTAATTTGACAAATTCAGAAGGGTAAACATTGTCGTGATTTTATCACTAAGTGAAATTTTGGCATTGGTTTGTGATAATACATTCTTTAGAAAATTTACACTTAAGAATATCTTCAAGTTTTTATCAAAGTCAATCTATTTTGAAGGTAGAAGGAACAGAAATATTTCAAAATTCATTAAAATACCGTTTTTTTTCGTGGATTATGTAAAAGAACGTTGAGACCTTTTCATAAATTTTAAGTATTCTCTCGTACATATTCTGAATTAACAAGGCAATCCTAGCTTTTGTTAAAAATAATTTGCATATTGAATGAAGTACTTCATTCGAACCCTGAACTTGCTTGAACCGAAACGGATTATCCTTAACATATTATTGAACAGTTCAATACTGAAGTCACACTTACTTCAAATTTCTGTTCAAAATTTAAATTGAAAATAAAATAATAAATGAGAGCTATGAAAATTCAGCCAAAAAATTCGGATTGTTGAAAGCTTAAACGTTAGACGCGGAGTAAAATATTTCCAAATAGCAAGAGTCCGTGCATATTGTATTTCAGTGTTTTAATCAATTGTACATACGAACTGCAAATTAATGCGGAGATATTTGATTTTCCTTAGATACTGTGAAAATATCATTGCTTTTTTATTTAACTCAGATGTTGACGAATGTACCACTAATACGGACAATTGTGATGGTAACGCCCAATGTACAAACACCGTAGGAAGCTTCACGTGCGCCTGTAACGCAGGATACTCTGGTGATGGCGTTTCGTGCGTCGGTAAGTTATTATTGATGCTATAAACACTCAACACATTTCGGCCTTGACGTAATTACTCACCTAAAAGTCCGTGACTAGATGTATAATATGACCTAAATTGACCTTTTTGTAAATGTCTGTCAAAATCTTATAATTATCAGTATAAATATTTATTTACCCTAACCTGCTATAACAAAAAGTGGTTTGCCATTGCTACCTTTACCGGCCAACAACCAGTCTGTATATCCGTTCAGTATTGCTATGGTTTTAATAATTATGATAGTAGGTCATGTTTTGTATATTCACATTGAACTTCTTTAGTCAAGAAAAAGAAAGGAATTATCGGATTTCAAGGCAGGGCAAATTAATTTGACAAATTCAGAAGGGTAAACATTGTCGTGATTTAATCACTAAGTAAAATTTTGGCATTGTTTTGTGATAATACATTCTTTAGGAAATTTACACTTAAGAATATTTTCAAGTTTTTATCAAAGTCAACCAATTTTGAAGGTATAAGGAACAGAAATATTTCAAAATTGATTAAAATACTGTTTTCCGTGGATTATGTAAAAGAACGTTGAGACCTTTTCATAAATTTTAAGTATTCTCTCGTACATATTCTGAATTAACAAGGCAATCCTAGCTTTTGTTAAAAATAATTTGCATATTGAATGAAGTACTTCATTCGAACCCTGAACTTGCTTGAACCGAAACGGATTATTCTTAACATATTATTGAACAGTTCAATACCGAAGTCACACTTACTTCAAATTTCTGTTCAAAATTTAAAATTGAAAATAAAATAATAATTGAGAGCTATGAAAGTTCAGCAAAGAAATTCGGATTGTTGAAAGCTTAAACGTTACACGTGGAGTAAAATATTTCCAAATAGCAGGAGTCCGTGCATATGGTATTTCAGTGTTTTAATCAATTGTACACACGAACTGCAAATTTTTGCAGAAATATTTGAATTTCCTTAGATACTGTGAAAATATCATTGTTTTTTATTCAACTCAGATATTGACGAATGTACCACTAATACGGACAATTGTGATGATGACGCCCAATGTACAAACATCGCAGGAAGCTTCACGTGCGCCTGTAACGCAGGATACTCTGGTGATGGCGTTTCGTGCGTAGGTAAGTTATTATTGATGCTATAAACTGTCAACACATTTCGGCCTTTCTAAATTACGCACTTAAAAGTCCATGACTAGATGTATGATCAGACCTAAATGGACCTCTTTGTAAATGTCTGTCAAAATCATATAATTATCAGTATAAGTATTTATTTACCCTAACCTGCTATAACAAAAAGTGGTTTGCCATTGCCTCTTTTACCGGCCAACAACCAGCCTGTATATCCGTTCAGTATTGCTTTGGTTTTGATAATTATGTTAGTAGGCCATCATTTTTATATTCACATTGAACTTATTTAGTGAAATAAAAAAGAAAGGAATGAGCGGATTTTAAGATATGGCAAATTAATTTAAAAAATTCAGAAGGGTAAACTTTGGCGTGATTAAATCACTAAGTAAAGTTTGGCATTGGCATATGATAATAAATTCTTTTTGAAAAATTACACTTACGATTACCTTGAAGTTATTATCAAATTCATCCTTATTTGAAGGTAGCAACAGAAATATTTCAAATTTCTTTAAATAAAACATGTTTTCAGTGGATTATGTAAAAAGTACTTTGAGACCTTTTCATAACTTTTAAGTATTCTCTCATACATACTTTGAACTATTAGCACAATCCTAGCTTTTGTTAAAGATAATTTGAATATTGAACGAATTTTTTCATTTATTTGAACCCTGAACTTGCTAGAACCGAAACGGATTAAACTTTACATATCATTGTAGTGGTCGATCAATACGTTAGTCTTACTGACGTCAAACTTTCTTTTTAAATTGAAAATAAAAAAATAAATGAGATATATTATAGTTCAGCCACGAACTTGGGTAATGGCGTTTCGTATGTAGGTAACTTGTTATTAATGCTATAAAATCACATCACGTTTCGACCTTGGCTTAATGAGGTATAGAACATTTATGGACCTTCAAGTTTCTGTCATTATCAACTTAAACTTGTGAAAGCAGGGACAGAAATATTCATGCATTTGAACAATGAACTTGCATGAAACGAAACGGATTTACCTTTACATATCATTGCAGTGGTTCTATATTATCGGATAATTAAATAAAATTGACATTAGGAAATACCAAATTATTGGACACTAGTTGGCAAGTTCTTGTACGAAATCTGGGAGGTTTAGTGAACTTCTTAAGATATTTAATGAAGGCCCCAATCCCAAATGAGAGCAAATGCATTTCAGAAATCGGGTATGTTATAATGTTATAATTTTAGCCCTAAATATCATTTTGAAAATTAACTTGTGACAATATATTCTTTTTAAAAATGTTATTTTATGGATTCCTACAAGTTATTATTATTGTAGAAAGCAGAAGTCTATTTTAAGAAAAACTGTTTTGTGTGGATCATATGGAAATTCTATGTTGTACATTTACAGACATCAACGAATGCGATGCCTCACCCTCACCTTGTGACACTAATGCTTCATGCGCGAATAGCGTTGGAAGCTTCTCTTGTACATGTAACACTGGATATTCTGGGGATGGATCACCTGGCAACTGCGAAAGTAAGAAATAGTATATTACCTTTTTTATTGTCATAACTGTGTTTCCTAACATAAAATCTAAAAAGTTTTAGAATGAAACATTAGATAAGGCGTATGCTTTATGCTATCCGTTCAAAGTTAAAATGCGATTGCTAACAAGTTTTGCTGTCACCACATTAAGTTTAAATAACAGTTTTTTCCATACTCTTCTACAATATTTTCAAGACTAATGTACAACTGGTAATGGACAATGCAACATCTACATACTCATGTCTAATGTGGCAAGGATATTTAACTATTTTATTTAACTATACGTTTTAACCAATCTGTCATATCATCTTATGTTTTACTAATTACGTCAAAATAGCTTTACATTATTATAAACATCGAGGGCGATTCCGCCCAAATTAGTATTAGCTTTAAATGTTTCTTGGTATCGTATTCTTACAACATGCAAATAAAAATCTACAGTATGAAAGTTCAAAATAACTTTTTTTGTCAACAGATATCAACGAATGCCAAACACTTCCCCAACCCTGTCCAACTGGGTTCGACTGTAATGACGAAACACCCGGGTTTTGCTGTATACCTTCTTAATATCCTGTAACAGTAATAGAACAACGCTCCGGACAGACGATTCAAGCCGAAATATCGACCTTATAAAATTATGATGATGGACATGAACTCTGTTTTATTCCTTTTTTTCTTACATATACATAAAGAACTCTTACATATACATATAGAACTTCATTAAAATGCGTTTCTTAACATCGATTTAAATTTCAATGTTGAAATAATGTTATATGTATGATGATGATCTTTCTTTCTATCTCTCCTTTCTCTTTTCTATCAATTCTGACTTGGCATCCACAAATAAATTTCAAATCAATGCAGATGAGTTTATTGTATTTTATATGCATGTCTATGACATTGCCGATATTTTGTTGCGAATTCACAAGATTTTTATTCTATGTCACTCAGGTTTAAATTATGTGTAAAATTATGTTTTCTTTTGGTGTTATATCTCGAACACATTTCCATTAAAATAATTTTACCTACTACGTATATTTTAAACAGTCAATGACTGTAGATATTAAAAAAGTAAAAATAAATGCTTATCTACATGAGACTTCTATGGCTGCGTGATTAGGCTTCACGTGCTATAATAACACTTACCCTATTTTGGTTCGAAACCGCGCAAGGACAACAAAATTTAAATTTCGATCACTCTGTAATTAAGAGATGTGTTAAGTACACTTACTATAGAAAGGAAGTTCTAGCAAAAGGTAATTTTACTCTTACGAATTCGTCACGTGTGTAAATAAAGAGTACAGTTTCCTTCCTACGTGTGCGATAAAAACATACGAAAATTTCACAAACACGAACAATGGAATTCCGAACCTCTTTTTTAGTAATCTCACAAAGTATCAACAAAATTTTGGCACACATTTCACAAGGCATTGCTTGGTAAAAGAAGATGTACGTTTAGCCGACTTTATAATGAAAATGTAGACCTTACCTGAGCACAACTAGTCCGTAGATACGTGCATCCGAACATGTTATAGATTTTACAAATGAAATGTTTGAAATGATCTTTCAGTACAGTACAAGTGATTAGGAGATGGAACATAAAAAACAACTATTAGTTTATTAGTTTAGGCAATATTTTAGACATGACATTATAAGGTCATTAAGTACTATTCGCTACACTCGGAAGAAGTACAGGAATAAATAATACTAATACAACTACTAATAACTATGAAACAACAAACTAATACACATGCACATATTCGAACGCACACGCACGCACACACACACACACACACCAACACACACACGCACGCACACGCACGCACACACGCACTCACATACATGTCTTAAAAACATCGGCAAAAATTCAGTACTAATTAACCACAGTTAGATTAATCAAATTATGAAATCAATAACTTTTTTTTAATTAATGCTTGTGAGTGAATTGATCCGTGGGGAAAATTATTTGATATTCAAGTTCATATTGAGGAAGTTTCATTTTAACTTGTATTTAAGCATAGAATAAAACATAACTTTTTTGTTTGGCTTTGTTTTGTATAAAAAGTTATTTTATTTTATCTTGCACAAAAACAAACAATTGTCCTCTAAATTTCAAACATAAAAGCGTCAATGTTATAGGTTACTTAAAGAAATATTTGCCAACTTAATAACAAATTGAACTTAAACTGATCTGCAACTGATTAAGCCAGATTAAAATTTTAGAAAAAATTAAAAAAACAAAACAAAAAAAAAACAAAACAAAAAAACAACAACAACAGAACAAAACAACGTAGTCAACAGCAGCAACCTAATTATTGATCGCATCTTGTGATTTGAATTAGTCGCATATTAGAAAAGGATCAGGTAAACTAATTTTGTAGTTGTTGCAATTCTCTTGTACGCACACGGATTAGGTCTGGAAAAGGATTACGATTTAAACATAAATTGTGGTTTGAGAAAACCTATTTTATTTACATGATTTTGTTCTTTTGAAGTAAATGAGATATTTTGACATTCAATTCAAAGTTGTATTTTAATTACAAGTTTATTCGAGGAGACTTTTAACTGAATATTACAAGTATTATCTTTAAAGTTCAAAACTGTTGCTCCTTATATACTGTGCGTTTAGGATAACTATTTAGTGACGGGGTGGTGAAGTCGACTATAATGGTATAAACAGTTATCGTATTGTGTTTAATATCTTAAGTCAAGCAGGCTTGCCATATAAATTAAAATATCGACAAATTTACCAACTATCGGCGTAACACAGTAGGTAAAGATGTCTGGTAAATAGTTAAATATCAATGCAAGACAGTCGGGTTCGGTCCCAAACAAACCTGTATAATTATCAATCGAGTAAGAATATGCTTTATTTTCTTGTAAAGATTATTAGTGCTGTGTTATTGCCTATTAACTTCTCATTTCACTTTTGTTTTTAAATGTTGCTATATTTAGCAAGTTGATGCAGCCTGATACGGAATGCATACATGTACATAAATTCTTTCAATTATATTTAAGTTGGCACGAAAAACTTGTGCACTGCAAAAGTACTATGACTACTATATATTACACACTACACAGGATAAAAAATCATTATTTCCAGTATATCTAAATTATTCGACATCATAACAAAACTGCCAATTCTTTGCATCTTTTGTAAAAATGGGGAAAAAAAATTAGGGAAAGAAAAAAGGTTAGACATCTTGTGAGGCTCGAACTCATGATAAAATTTAATTTGTATGGCATCCTATTGACTTTGTAAACTTTTGTGTACATAAAAAATGTAACGTCACCCTCACAGTAGCAGAAGGTTTTGTTACTTTACAAATTTAGGGAAAAAATAGTTTAATACAATAACGCCGAAAGACAATTGGTTTTGTTTGACTTTTTTCTTAATTGACTCTTAATACATGTATGTTCTTTATTATTTATATATTTCACAAATTTTACTTCTGAAGTATCGAATCGTTTCCATACTTTAAGTTTGAATTTGTCATCATAAGAATTCATAAATACATGACCGTAAATCGAAAGATGCCTTATTGAAATGATTTTAGAAACCATTGGAAACCCAAAATTGATTGTTTTCTTAACTTGGTTTAGCCATTTTGTGTACATATAAGCATAATTATCCATCTGACATTTCATAGTTTTAAAAAACCATGTTGGAACTCGGAAATGATATCTTTATATGTCATTTCTTAATTTGGATTGCTGCAAAGATTCACAAGAAGGGTGTTCAACCTACAACGACTGTCCGCATGCGTTCTTTGGGCGGTCCTTTTTAGTGCCGTAAATGAACTTTTTACAAAAAACCTATTTGTTTCATCTTCGCTGTAAGTAAAAGTAATAAAACAAATATTCTTACAGGATATTTCATTTCTGATCAAGAAATTGAACACAAATGTCATATTCACTTATCAGGTTGTATGTTTTGAATATTCAAAAAAGTTATAATATCAAAGTATGAATAGGCAATTACACTTTTTACACTTACTTACACTCATCAGTCAATTCAATCATAAAAGCATCTTGGTTGAGTTTTTAACACACATAGTTAATTATTTCTATTTCTGTCTGATTCTTTATTTTTCACTTAAATATCAATGAAATAATAATTTTCTTAATTTTAAAACGCTCGAATATCGATTTAAATTTCTTTTGCTTTTTATTAACAAACGGTTCTCAAATGAATTTTTGATTACGACTACCACCACCCCTTCTTATAATGCATGCTGACTTTGACAGGAAAATATTAAAAAAAGAACATTTATATCATGATTTGAGACAAGCGAAGGTTTCACTTCTTCATTATGAAAAAATTGATGTAAGTTCATTATTCTTTTCAATTTCGGCTCGGCCACATAAGCAGAACTAAATTTTGAATATATGCACTAGAGAACAATCTTCGAAATGGCATCCTCTCAGGAGTTTCAATGGTTGTTTGTATAAATATATTTATAAGACAAAATGCATTCGATCAGAGCGATATGAAGTGTAGGTTGGTGAATTAACATAAGGGAATGTTTCCCATATATAAGGACACAAACCACTCTTGGTGGTGAGCTAGCTTTTTACTGACATGAATTATGTGCGTTACAACGTAAGATTTGGTGGCCAGTGTGAGGGATGTAGTCAACTGCCGGCCTTGAGTTGACGTACCCAATGATTTCCAGACCAAGTCTTGGGACAACACTTCTCGAAGGGGGGGGGATGGGGTAATGTCACGACGTTGGTAGAATGTCATAATAATGATAATGAGCATAGAATATGCAAAAACTAAAGTTGGAGAATTAAGATAAGGTAATGTTTCCCATATATAAGGACACAAATCACTCTTGGTGGTGAGCTAGCCGTTCACCGACAGGGTTTGTGTGTTTAAAAACAGTCATATCAGATATTTAGTTACAGCCAGTTCCTATCTCATTAGACATACTTGACTATGCCATCTATCGACTTTTGTTGAGTCGCTACGGAGGACTTCTCAAGCTGTCTGTCTTCGTAGAGACCAAATTTTTCACATCGTTGAACAACGAAAGACAATTGTGTGACCTATGCACTCCGTGCGACATGCACATCACGAATGAATGTCGGAGTATAATAGCAAACATTGTCTAAGTACATGGTTTTATATACATGCTACCAACTTAATGTTTGTCTATTGTTATACATACATAATGTCAGAATACTTTTTTGAAAGACAAGCGGAAAAAGATCAGACAATAAAATTTGCAGAATTAATTTCCGTTTATATCGAAATTTTCAAGATGATTTTTAAGAGCAAAAATGTTTAAAAAAAAGACCCATTCATATTTCAAGTGTGGTCAAATTTGACAATGGACTCCTTGTTGTTTTAAATAATGTTAATTGAAATCGATTTCTTGCTTATATCTAGATACTTTTCATAATTACCATTAACGTCCTTAATTTTATTTTCGATCATTTTAAAAACATATGATATAGACTTCGTTAATATTCAGTATTTGTGCGTTATTTTTAAAACATCTTTACAAATCAGAATGAAATATTTAATGGCCGCATCTTTATGTGTTTTCTTTATGATTATAGGGATAAGGCCCTCATGTGAGTAACACTCAGTTTAGTTGATTATTTAAAAATAATGTGATTATTTTACTTAACAAACATTTCATCTCAGCTTATACAAAATGTAAAAGAGAACAAAAAAGAAGATTTTAGTACACGTATATTAAAATCAGTTGGAATAAGTTAAAAATGAGATCACTGGCCTGTAGGTATCAAATGCCTAATACAAGTTTAAAAATCGTATATTAAATACATGTATGTTTTTTTCATATTTCTTTGTGTTTAAAGGGTCTTTAAGTGAGGTTATATATTGTAACAAGAATAAAAACTATTTCATAAAAGAATTTCATTATAAACAAATATTGTATGAAAAATCAAATAATATCAAACTTCTAGAAGGTTTTACGATAAAATGTATTATTTTCTTTAAGTATATGTACATGTAAGGCTAACTTAACTTTAACAAATTATTTTCTATTTTTATGTGAGTTGTGACCTTTTCCTATTTCCGAGGCTTAATAAACACCTTGCTGGAAGAAAATATCAAACGAGACAAACTAGGTTCGGCTTTTTTCCAATGTCTGAACAGTATACTTTAAAATTTTATCAGCAATCATTAAAATGGATATGAATAAAAGACTAAAACCTTGTATATTAAATGATGATAAGTATTTTGAAGGATTGAGATATCTATTTCGGTACTCTTTTTTAAGCACTTCTGAAAATTGACCCAGTTGCATTCATATTTAAACACCCCTCGTTTTATTCTCAATTATTATTCTTTTTGTTCTACAATTTGACTTGATCTAGGGACTTGTAGTTTTAAATTTATCATAATATTAAGAAGTTTTGTAGCATATATGTAAGTCAGTGATTGTTGCTTTGAATCAAATTCCATTTTCGTTTTTTATTTGTAATAAATTTGTATAAAACTTTTATCTAAAACGATATACTACAAAGTATTTTATCCACGTGGTTGCATTCGTGAAACAATCATTTTTATTCGGGTATTTAGTTTCAAATATTTAATGAAAGACCTTTAGCAATCCATTAAGTATTTCGAGTGTACATGTATATGTATATCATTAATGATTTCATTTTATTCTAATCTTTTAAATTACTTCTTCCTTTATTCTCTTTTTTATAAAACCTTTTTTTGCGAAAAGGCTGCATTATAACTTTGAGATGTTAATCAAGATTGATACTAGTAACTTTAAAAGATTCCCAGTCTTTGTGCTGAACCTTTTAAAGGGCTCCAACGGGTAATAATATATCGTTTAATAAAAATAATACCAGTACAAATAATGATAATCATAACATTCAAATAAAAACAATATTTTCTTGAATACAATATAACTTTCATCATAAATTTCAGCGCATTGTTTTGCAGAAGAAAATGAAAACCCCAATTATTTCCATTTGAAAAGTGGCTCAGTAATGTAGAAAATTAAAAACCCTATTCTTTCCATATTATAAGTGACTCTCTTATATCTTTATAGAAAACTTCCCTGGCTATTGTCTTTGAACAATGCATATCTAACATTTGACAAGTATCAAATTTTTTATACTTAATAACTAAGTTCTGTACTAATGACCTATTTCCGATCCGTTTAGATCATACTCTTAGTAATTACGTGCGTCCCTAATTTATGTTCCTGAAGAACAAATTCAATGATAATAAACAGCAACAACAACAAAAATAACAACAACAACAACAATAGCAATAGCAACAACAACAATAACAGTAATAATAATATTAAAAATTAATAATGGTACAACATTAACAACAACAACAACAACTACAAGAACACCACCACCACCAACAATAATAATGACAGTTTTAATTACCATTATCATCATAATTATAATGATAATGATAAAATAAAATAAAAGTGGTAGTAATGGTGGTGGTGGTGGTGGAAATGGTAGTAGTAGTAGTAGTGGTAGTAGTGGTGGTGGTGGTGGAAATGGTAGTAGTAGCAGTAGTAGTAGTAGAAGTAGTAGAAGTAGTGGCAGGATGGGAAGAAGGAGAAGAAGTAGTAGAAGTAGTAGTTGTAGAAGTAGTAGTAGAAGTAGTAGGATGGGAAGTAGGAGAAGTAGTAGTAGAAGTAGTAGTAGTAGAAGTGGTAGTAGTAGTAGTGGGATTGGAAGTAGGAGAAGTAGTAGTAGAGGTAGTAGAAGTAGTAGTAGTAGAAGTAGTAGTTGTAGAAGTAGTAGTAGAAGTAGTAGGATGGGAAGTAGGAGAAGTAGTAGTAGAAGTAGTAGAAGTAGAAGTAGTAGGATTGGAAGTAGGATAAGTAGTAGTAGAGGTATTAGAAGTAGTAGTAGTAGAAGTAGTAGAAGAAGTAGTAGTAGTAGTAGTAGTAGTAGTAGTAGTAGGATGGGTAGTAAGAGAAGAAGTCGTAGAAGTAGTCGTAGTAGTAGTCGTAGTAGTAGTAGTAGTCGTAGTAGTAGTCGTAGTCGTCGTCGTCGTCGTAGTCGTAGTCGTAGTATAGTAGTAGTCGTAGTAGTCGTAGTCGAAGTCGTAGTCGTAGTAGTCGTAGTAGTAGTAGTCGTCGTCGTCGTCGTAGTAGTAGTAGTAGTAGTAGTAGTAGTAGTAGTAGTAGTAGTAGTAGTAGTAGTAGTGGTAGTAGTGGTAGTAGTAGTAGTAGAAGTAGTAGTAGTAGTAGTAGTAGTAGGCGTAGTAGTCGTCGTCGTCGTCGTCGTAGTCGTAGTCGTAGTCGTAGAGGTAGAGGTCGTGGTCGTGGTCGTGGTCGTAGTCGTAGTCGTAGTCGTAGTAGTAGTAGTAGTAGTAGTAGTAGCATAATATATTAATACTAACAATAGAAGCAAAAGAGGCCACAGCAGAAACAAGAACATACACAATTTTAACAAGCTTTAGATATAAGACATAATAAATTATCATAATACTCGGCATTGGAGGGTCATTCTGATGCAAAATTTATTGACTTTCTTGTTAAAGTGAATTACTATTTTTTGTATTATTATCTATTAAATATTTTTTTAAATGCTCATAAATAAAACTGAGTGGTATGTGGATAATACAGTCTTAAACGCACCTTTCTGAGGTATGGTTTTCGACTGCGGATCTTCCTCCATCGTCAGCTTGGTGCCCGCCAGATGTTTCGGCCCTTATCCAAGTACATCTGTAATGGCGGGTGGGCCCACCGTCTTACGGTGTGGAGGTTGATCGCATCCAGCTTGTCTCCTCGCGTCGTAGCCACAGCCAGCTAGACGCCCGCTCTGCAGCCTGGCTCAGCTTCTTGATTGCCCGGCGCCTGTCTCTGCCAGTGGTGCCAACAGCTGTCATCAGTCTACATACAGATTGCGCACAGAACCCTCTAGCGCCTACTTCGATGGGGAATAGCCAAGTCCGCCAACCTCGGTGTCGGCACTGCTCAAGTAGTTCAGTGTACTTGGCCTTCTTCCTCTCATTGGCCTCTTCACATCTCGTCTCCCAAGGTACTGTCAACTCGATGACAACGAGCTTCTTCCCTGTCTCGGACCACAGTACAATGTCTGGTCTCAAGTTGGTCTGGACGATACCCGGGAACACAGGCTTCATTCCTAGATCGACTGACATATTCCATCCTGTAGCGCCGTCAAGGATCGATTTCTTCTGTGAAGCTTCTGTCTTCGCAGTTTCACCCGGTCTCACAAAGTTGATGTGGCCTGCCTGTGAGTTACTTCTGCTTGGCTTCTTCTTCTCCCCTTCCAGCCAATCGGCAACCTCTCTGAGGACGTTGTCGTGTCGCCAGCGATATCTGCCCTGCGTCAGTGCTGTGGAGCAGGAAGATAAAACATGTTCCAGAGTGCCTGGTTTCTTGCTCAGACTGCATGTTGGGTCTGTGATTAGTCCCCATCGGCAGAGGTTAGCTGGAGATGGCAGGAGGTCATGAACTGACCTGAGGAGGAAGGATAGACGAAGTGGTTCATACTTCCAGATGTCTTCCCAGGTCAGCTTCCTTTCCATGGTTTCCCACGTTGTCCATGCACCCTGCGCACCCATCTCTACCTCTCTGGCCTGTCTCTTGTTTTGCTCTTCCTTCCGTACTTCTGACTGTATCAGGGCTCGCCTCTCAGTCTGGTTGGCTTGACTCCATAGGAGTGTTTTGGTTGCACCAATACCTTGTCGTCCGACAGCCGTTACACCGACGATGTCCTTGTGCATGAGAGAGCTCTCCGCCTGGCTGACAGTCTCTGTCGCTGACCACTTACTACCAGTACGGGTAACGATCCCTGCTTCCCGGATCTGCTCATCTGGGGAGTCTCTTAGGGTAAGCACCAGTCTTTTCTTCGCCGTCTTGAATTCTTCTACCAGTGAAAATAGTGGGAGTTGCAGTTTGTTGGTTTTCCCATACAGTCCAACACTGGGTGGGATTCCAAGCCACTTGCAAAGATGTCGGCTGGTGATTCTCTCTAAGGCTTCTATTGTTGAGCTGGGTACCTCGTACAGCATCATTGGCCAGATCAGCCTTGGTAGTAAGGCATGCTGGTACAGCCAGGCCTTGAACGTCCCAGGTAGGTTGCTCCGGTCTATCTTCTTCAGCCCGTCTTCTACCTGGTTCTCTAGCTTCTTGACGTTGTCCTTGTCTACTAGGCTGGCATCAAACCACTTCCCAAGGCACTTGATTGGGTGCTTCGTGATGGATGGGATCTCCTCGTTCTGTACTCGGAGCACGAATCTGTCTGTCGTCTTGCCTTTCTTGATAATGAGGGACCTGGACTCTACGGCCTTGAATTTCATTCGGGCCCATGACGCGACGTCTGTCAGTACTGTCAACATCCATCTAGCCTGGACGTGTGTTGGTGTCGTCAACATGAGGCCATCCATAAAACCTCGGCTTGATGGGAGGTAGATACCTGAATCTGTCTTTGGTCCGCGGGTCTCTCTAATGGCAGCATTGATGAGCAGATTCATCCCCATGACGAAGAGTACCACAGAAACAGAACAGCCGGTGACTATACCTTTCTCCAACTTCTGCCACTTCGTCAGCTGGTCGCCAACAGAAAACCGAAGCTTGATGCCGTCAAGGTTGCTGGTGATGATTTTCTGGACATGGTTGTCGACGTGGTAGTGCTGGAGGGCTGTGTAGATCAGCTGATGGGGAATAGATCCGTATGCGTTGGCAAGATCGAGCCAAACTACTGTCAAGTCTTTCTTCTCCGTCTTCGCCTCTTGAATTAGTTGGGTGATAGCGCTGGTGTGCTCTACACAACCGGAGAAACCAGGTACTCCACCCTTCTGGACTGAAGTGTCGATGTACGCGTTGGTCGTCAGGAAAGAGGTAAGTCTTCTGGACAGGATAGCGAAGAATATCTTCCCCTCGACATTTAGTAGCGAGATGGTCCGGAACTGATTGACTGTCTTGGAGTTCCTTTCCTTGGGCGTGAATATTCCCTCTGCTTCCTTCCAGGCTTCTAGTACTTTCCCTTTTCTCCAAACCACCTTGAGGAGTCTCCATAGCCTCTTCAGTAGTAGTGGGCACATCTTGTACACTTGTATTAATATTATTTGATAGGCTATGAGACCAACTTATAAATTTCTTTGTTAAAAATGATCGGCATTTTTATTGAATTAAATCACTTGCAAAAATGATATCTGTAAACATCATGTACCAAGGCATGTGTTGAAGGAGTTGAACAGTCATAAAATGTCGCAAAAAACAAACATCTAATTTTTTAATGTTTTTAAATGGTTAGATTTTCAATTCCGTTGATGCAATAAACAATACAATTCACTAATGAAATATTGAATATGATGTGATATTCACCGGCAGATGACATATTGACTGAGGCGTTAGCCGAGGTCAATATAACTTTCTGCTGGTGAATATCACATCATATTCAATGACACGCTAGTCAATAATTGTTTTTGTTATATGAATAGGCTATAAGAATTACAAAACAAAACAGAACGTGCGACCTTATACATATTCAACATGTGCCTGTTTCGATGAAGCGCGGGAAAAAGACGCACGTGTAAGGCGTGCAACAACTTAGCGAACGCTGCGCATACAAAAGTAATTCAAGTTTATACTCATAATTGCGGTGTAACTTTTAACTATAATAGTAATGTCATGATTTTTAATCGAAAAATATACCATAAAGAATAATAAATTGAGTTACAGGAACTTTAAATATCAACTTTACTCTTGTATCAAATTCCTTCCTAATCATAAAATTAAATTAAATCTTGGTAAAAATCTTGTAACTTAATGCATGATTATGCATATGAAATGAGGTAATAATAAAATTTCCCAAAATCAAACTAATATTTTAGTACAGATTTTATATCTTATATGCCGTTTTCAAAAGATTGGTATTGCTTTAAATTTGTAGGCCATTGCAAGACTGTAGTCATATTAATTTAGTGGTATTTCAAAAAGAATTTCTATTCATGTAGACCTCATTTAATGTTTATCTTACATGGACATTATATTCAATTTCAGATTTAATGAAATTTGGGACCATAAAGTTCGAACCAGAAAGGGTAATGGAATGCCATACAGCACGCCTAATTTACACACCAAACCAGAGCGGCAAAGAACGCAGATGGGTCAGAGAACATATAGATACAGCAACGGTAGAAACAATTTATGAACACAAGAAAATACAATACTATGATACAACCAAATACTTTGAATTAAAACATGGTGACAAGTTCATCTTATTTATATCAGCGATTAATTCAACAGACAGTGGAGAATATTTGATTTTTAATGGTGAAAGATTCATCGGTCGTTCACGTCTAACTGTAATTGGAAACTCTTCAGAAGGAGGTATAAGTTGAATCAATGATAACATTTTCATTAAAGCAGAGTGAGATTGTTACCACGTCACATATTACATCACTCCATTTTGTGTAATAAAAGATAGGGTTATGAAAACGAATATTAAGCGAAAATTGAGATATCATTGTAGAAAATTCGCAATATGTCATCTTATATGAACTGTTTGAGGGGGCATTGTGATATGGTCATCACAATTCTGTAAGCTAGTTCGACATTAAGTTATCGAATGGTTTCATTCCTTTGCTTTTGAACTTTTGCTACTGTATAACAATTTTCTTTTGAGATATTAAACGATTCCCGCATGGTATAAGGATTGATAGTTTAAATTAAACATATCATGAAAATAAAAAATTCTTTCACATCAACTGAAAGACAACACATGCGGTACGAAACATTGAAGAGTATTTAGCTAGCATATCCACTGCACAATCTGGAGATGTGTACAATATTTACACTTTGTATTCAAACGTTTTAAATTCTTCTATATTTACCTCTTTTATAATATTATTAAGAGGCTTTAATAAATGTAAATGACAAGTTGGGATAAATCGTGTAGTTGGGATAAAGGAATTAACAATTAATTTATCATTAAGATAGATAATCTAAAACATAATTATATTTACATGTATGCTAAATTGGTCACCATTTTATTTTACACGGAGAAGTCAAATTTCGGGACCTAGGGTATAGCACACATGCATAATTAAATGGAAACCAAATAAAACATTAAAAATATGTATATTTCTATACCTATCAGTGAAATTTTCAATGTCATTTCTAGTTGGGCGCCGTCATTTTCAATGTAACTCCAGATAATAGGCTGGATATTCCAATAACGGAAATATCGCAACTGATTGGCTTATAATTAGTAATAATTCTCCAGATGTTCCAAGTGAAAACGGAAGCAGTGCATATAATACTGGATGACATCTTAAAAAAAATCAACGATTCTTCTCAACCGACTTCCCTGTTCATAGGCTTTGCCTAATTTCATATTAATTTTCGTTTAATTTAGTCATCATTGTTTCATTAAGGTTGCATTGATAAATGTGGCGAGCTTTGGATCACAAAATCAAACATCACAGACGGAGACCAAGTTGCTTTTCAATTCTTTGTTGCTTCTGGCAAAAACGTGATCTGGGAAAAGAAATTGGTTTCATCCTTTAATCAACTGGCTGGTGGGAAGTATGAGATAGCAGAGACTGAAGAGAAACGGATGCATACCCTTGATATTTTAAAGACAGATTTAAGCGATAGAGGTGAATACAGAGTAAATTGCGGTAACACAGTGTCAAATTCAGTTTATTTGAATATTGGTAACTATCTTATATTGCTTTAACATTATTCTAAAGATAAATCGTTAAAGTGAATTTTTCATAAACTCCACCCCCTCCTAAAGAAACTGCATATATACATAAAAGATAATGGTGATAATAATATACTGTTCTAATCTTAGTTCATGGTACTTGCCGCTTTGAAAAAAGAAGGAAAACAAACAATAAAATAATGGTATAAAAGCAATCATAAGCTGTAACATTTAGGTACTTTCTGCTGAAACAAAAACATACTCAATCAAAGTCATATCTAATGTGCCAGACGTAGACCATAGGTCAGTCATTTTGGAAACACTATGTCATTTAAATCAAGGAAAATGGTGTTACACACAAGTTTGTTTATGTTTTGGTTGAAATTACTTAATGTTGTATTGCTCAATTTGAAATATTAAAACTTTCTGTACTTTTGTAAATCAAAAGTATTTCTTTCGAAAATCAAGAGGGTTTAGAAAATAATGATTGTTTCAGACATTTACATGTAATACAATTAGGCCATTTTGCAGAATTTTGTAAATTGATGTTCCGTTTCATATTTAATTGCAAAACTGGCAAACATAATAATTTCTTTGTAAACTATGCGGTAAGATTATATTCCCCATACATATCTAACATTATTGTATTTATGTTCTGTCATATTTTTTTTACCAATATAATGAACATTATTGATGTTCACATATACAAGTAAAAGAGGTTGATTTAAATATTTCAGTTCTACCAGTACCAGTATTTTCCAACGTTGAACGCAAATCTTACTGCAAACTTAAAAGATGTATATTGGCCTCTCTTAATGAAGCCGTAATGGTAGAATGTTCCGTTAAAGGTGCTCGATCATCAGAAGAAGTTTTCATGTCGAAGAATGACCTGATGCTTAAGAATGCAATACACACTCACGAAGACAGATTTAATGTGACCTATACTTATGTAAAATACAGTTTTGTGCCAACTAGATCAGATATTGACACAATATTTAAATGTATGGTGAAAAATCAAGGTCCTTCAGAATTTTCGTCGGCATCTGTAATGGCTTATGTTTCAGGTATGTAATCAATAAATTCGTAAAATTGTTTATATAATAAAGGCAGCAGTCATTACAGTATTGACATCTCATTTGCATAAACGTACAAAAAAAAACAACTTTCAGCTCTATCTGTATCAAAGCTGTATATTATATAACACTACATGCGGATATATATGGATACATTAGATCTAGTCAATATTTTTTAAGAAATTGACCGAGTATATGATTTGAATAATATGTTAAAAATCAGTTATGGATTCATTTAACGATAAAGACAATAATGTTTCCCGATGCAACCAGTAAATGTTAGCCTTTTCTGATAAACGAAACAATTAAAACAATATGAGCCGTGACATGACATTTCCAACATAGTGGTCAAATGACGTAATCGTAGAAACGCGACGTCAAAAATGACGCACGCAAATATTCTTTAATGATATGACGCACGCTTTTCCAATCATCACTGTGTAGTTTTCAGCGAAAAATAATCTGATCTATCATTTTTTAGATATTCGACAGCATAAGAGTTAAATGGATGTAAAATGTCAATTGCAAACTGCTAATATCGTCAGTGAACAAAATGTGGTAAATATCGATAGAAATACTTGAACATGGTAAACATCGATAGAGATATACTTGTACATTCAAATATCTCTTTATTTGTTTAAGATAAAAAACGCATCACAGTCAGGTATGCTTGGTTTGTTTTTGGCCTCGTCGTTTTTGCCTATTAATTCGGTTTAATCCCGTAGACATGTATTTACACAATGTTAACATATTTCATGTCTGAAGTACACATAATTTGAATTTTATTGTTCGACCATACATTTGGCTTTACAGCGAATAATTTACAATTGCGATGAACGATTTGATAAGATAAAGGTTTTGTATTCTGCTTTTATGGTAAAACCTGTTAATTTTGATTTAACGTTGTTTTAATCTTTATCGTATTTTTAAAATGATAATAAAAAAGGAGATATTGTATGAAATATGTTTAATAAATTAAGTATCGATTACCTCTCTAATCCAAAGCCCACTAAGCTACCGTTTCAGAAATTACTGATGCTTAACGATAAGATATTAAGCGTAAATTTTATTTTGTCAACAGTTTGGGTTGTTATTTGAGATTAATAATAGGATTAATAGCTGTCATATGTTGCGGTTCAGATCAAAATATCCGTCTTAAGGGGACTCGCCCATCGGCAGGTTCGATGAGAAGAGAATTTCAAAGAAATTTATGAGTTGACAAATCTTATTTCATCTTGACACTTGATATATTGTCCTTGCAATGAAGAACACTTTCAGGGCTAACTTATTTTAAGTAATTAAACAATAATCACATTTATTCTTTCGATTGTTATTTTATTTCCACTGTCAGGATGTTTTTCAAGTATTTCTCTTTATCCATATATAAAGTATCATGTAGGGACTGATGTACACTATATTAACCAGAATTAACACTTTTATGCGAACAGAATAAGGAAGATATTACAGCAATATGGTATCATTATTTAATTTAATGGACACTAAATAATAAGAGTATATAACTAAGAGACAATGATTTAGAAAAGATTGGATTTTGACAATCTTTAAAAAATAAAAAATGTCAAATTTGACCCATATGTTGGAAATGTTATGTCACGGCTCATATGCTTGTAAAAGATAATTTAATTACGCTAGCACTTACGAGTGTATTTTTGTTCTACGAACTCCTATACCAGGTTAATACATGATAGTAAAATAGGTTGTTTCTCTACCATTTTGATATGCATAACTTTTCATTGGTCCAATAAAATTGTTATCGTTATAATGTAAGAGATAATTGAGTTATATACATTAAATTAAGTTTTACATACTAGTTATACTGAAATAGTATGTGTACTTTAATATTTCAGTTACCCCAGAAAAGATTGAAATCAGTTTCAACGAGATAATAGAAGGAACGAAATGTGAAGTTCAATGTATTGCAATTAATGGCAGACCACCACTAAAATCGAATTTGTATATAGATGGTCAAAATGAACCTGGCACGATGAAGACAAATAAAAGAGGGCCTGGAAACATGTATACTATAACCACGTCGATAACTAAAAATTTTACCCGCCTCCATAATCAGGTAAAGGTACTGTGCTGCAGTTCTGTTGGTAATGGAATATGTGGAGAAAAGAAAGTCAATATTTTGTGTAAGTTTGTCTCTGATTTAACCCGAAATAAAGATAAAATGATTAAATTTAAGAATTGAGAATATGTTTGTAAACAAAATAGAAAACAATTTAGGTGTTTAATAAACGATTTAAGGTAGATCATATAAATAGTTAAGACGTTGTGATAATACTGACAGGTTTAAGAACATAAAATACACATGTTTCATGAGGTCAATTTGAACAGTGAGTACCACTGTTTTCAGTTATATACAATACATAGATGATAAAAAGAGAATTTATTGATGCCATTGCATTTTGTGATAGAAAGACATCATTGTATCTTATTATATATTTTTAATATTCTACTTATTGGTTTTCGTTGTCCACACGTGATATCTTTAAAATGGTGTCATAAAAATGCACCAAAGTAATGTCACATGAAATGTTTACTTATAACCGTTCTAAGAAAACATCTGCTTAATATGTATTTTTGATTATTTGTCCTACTTTGACTTCTTCGTATTGTTGAATTTCTTAAGAACGGGGATGATAACTTTCATTTATCGCTGCTGCCGACGAACATAAAAATTAATTTAGAACACATATACAAGCTGAATATTACATGTGCATTGTATTTCATTATTTGCTATTCTTGTTTTTTTATATCTGTTTCACTGTTGGTGGTTTTGATATTTAAGTCAGTAATACTAACGATCAATTTAATTCCCGAACAGTGAAAATCATCGATTTCAAAATTTACAGTTAATATTGCAAAAAAATCATATCAATCTAACAAGAAATTCAATTTTTAGCTATACAGATAATTCCACGACAATTAGATAACATTGAAATAACGATCAATTAGGTGTCGCAAACCTTAAAAAAAGAATACTTGGAAACAATGTCGTGCTAATTCCAAGAGACCAGATTTGTTTCATAATACAAAGACACTTAAATCGTAATTTTGATTTCAAAATGTTGTTCAGGTGTTTATGACCTCAAACCGAAATGATTATTAGACTATTTTGATTGAGATTTATTCAGATTCTTTAACGTTTTTTTATATTCTACGTACTGTATATGGGTTTTTGATTTCATATAATATTTGCCTAAATTACATATATCACCATGAAATGTATCAAAGCTGTTTAAGAGTCTAAGAACTGAGACGTTGAACAGGAAAAAGTATCACGCGATGTCCAAGCGAATAATCGCCGGATTGTATCAGTTATGTTTGAAAAGTTGATGAGCTAAGTACTCCTGGTTCGATCGATGTCCTTTTCAAATTTGTTGTGCCATTAATATTAGCAAAATTTGCAGATGTTTTCAAATTATTGCATATTAGCATTTCGTGTTTAAATATGTTATTTTGCTATAAACTGAATTGTTTATAGATTCACCAATAGTTAACATATCTTGGCAAGAAAACAAAGATATATTCGTCGGTGATGACGTTCACTTGACTTGCCACGTGGAAAGTAATCCACCGTCAACAATATCTTGGTACAATCAGTCTGGTTTAATTCAAGGCGAGTATAATACAGAAATCTGCAAATCATTGACAATATGCTACACTTTATGTAGTCAATCAGAACTATCTAAAAAAAACACTGTTTCCTTGATTTTAGTTACTTTACTAGTTGTTATATTGTACACGTTATATGTTTGTCTGTATGTCAAACCCTAATGATATGAATCATTTTAAGATACCTTTGCAAACTACGAGAAATTCAACATTTACTGGTAAATTATGTCTTTCTCATATGCTAGATTAAAAGGTGTCCAAAGTGATATATGAAGTATTATCATTTTCTCTTTAAGTGGTTTACGAAACAAAACTACTCGATATCAATTTAACAAGCGTCTCGACAGACTATTCCGGTACATACACCTGCACGGCACACAATGGTATAGGTGGGATAGCATCAAAAAGTATATCACTTATTGTAAAAGGTATTGTCTGTTAACCACAGGTTATGGTTATATTTAAAGACAAAACAATAATTGTGGAGCTCTCTCCCTATTGTATGAGTTTATTTAACATTGTCTAAAATTTGTCGAATAATTATATTAATTTTAACCATTGACAAATAAATGAAAGTATTTTATCTTGAGCGAACATATCGGTGATCGGTTGAAAACAAATATTATCTTCCTAATTTTTGCTTGTTTTCTATCAAAATTTATACATTTTGTTTTATTCAGAATCAAGAAAAGCTATGGTTCACAGCTATGTTTTGGGTCTGGCTATAGGTATTCCTATAACTGCGGTTCTGACCTCTGTCATATCTTTCATTATGGTTTATAAAAGAAGAAAAGGTGCATTGTTGGTGACCAGAACAGACGGGGTTGACAATGAGTATGTCCTTATTCAGATGTTATGTAAATATTTTATAACAATAGTGTTGTAGAAATGGTCAGTGTTAGTTATTATTGTAAAACGCTAACCTCGAGTTTCTTGCTCTTTTCTATTACGGCATGTCCGTGAAAGGTATCTGATACGTATTAAACTTTCATTCAATAGAATCATTTATGACATAAAATGTGATATTCATTCATCACATAAAATGTTATATTCATTCAGGACATAAAATGTGATATTCATTCATGACATAACATATGCTATTCATTCATGATATAAAATGTGACATTCGTATCACTCATCTTCAAAATTTGTTAGAACTACGGTATCTAGAAAAAAGATATATCTTACAGGTACAATAATTATTGTTTTCGAAATCTAAAAATGTTAGTAATTTGTTACTGAAATCTTCATACATGTGCACTATACCAACATTTAAAGATTGACGATACAAAAACTTCTGAAGAAATTCAAATGTTTGTTGCTATAATCTTGCCTTAATGTTGACTAATACTGGAATATTGTTTTTTAATGTGTTTTACGATGTACAGACGAGTTTTGGCCAAACCATTACGGAATATTCTGAATGTCAAAAAATATATGAAATAAGCGTTCTTAAATGTCCATGAATAGTGTAGAACAGGTTTATATTGACTTGTGCTTATATATAGTTTTACATTAAATAATATTTGTAATACTATCACAAAATGGTAAATATCCCGACAATTGTATTTTTGATACTCTTTTTAAGGTATAATGGAAGCAGAAACGACGGTAAGAAAATAAAAACAAGCAGTTATTGTGAAGCTGTTTTTACCTTTAAGAAGGCATTACATTTTGTGTTTTATGATAGCATTACGATATGTGTTTTATTAAAGCATAACTGTAACAATATGTATGTCATAAATGTTGAAGCGTTACAATGTACCTTATGATGAAAACATAACCAAAGGATCTGCCAAATTCATAAATGAATTACAATATGTTCTTTATGAAAGTAATACACCTTGCATTTGACATAGTGTGTCAAGTAATATGTTCTAAAATCAAGTCTCCTGAGCATTGAACTCGTTAATCTAACACCAAGTATATGAAAATATAATGGCTATTCAATTGTTTTACAAAGGAAAAGACAGATAACACAATTTTAACAATTTCTCTTCAACTTAATAAGGTCATGATATCATATTCTTGTAAAATATATTTAGTGTTAGCACTATCTCGTGCACATTTCCTTTTATTATGGAGGTGTGTTAAAATAGGAATTTGTCAATTTTGAATTAAATATTTTATAACGGAACATATCTAAACATTAAACGTTGACGTCAAAAATGACATCCATTACATTGCACTGATTTTTCTCCGTTACTTAAAGCTTTATATATTTGTTTATATTTCTATAAGTATGCGACAATTCGAATAAGCAAGCTCATTATAGGCTTCTTAGGAATGTACATTTTTATCATGAACATTTATATCTCTAAGTTTTCACGCTTACATTTAAAAGATTTGAATTCTTCTGTATTTGTCTCCACAAATGTAACGATGGCAGTGCATGCATTTCGGCTTACAGAATTAATATAACTGTCGTTTTATTCAGATACAATGTGTCAGATGTGCTTTAGGCTTCAAATTTATTTTGATATATTTTTCTGAACTAAATCTTAAAAACTTTAATAAGGCCTATTCTAGTGATAATGCCATTGTCTTCGTATTGGCCATTGCACTTCAAGATCGATAATTTTGTTTGCTTGCTTTTGCTTTCAATGTAGTAAACGTAATTGTCATATAACTATCTGTTATTTATTTCATTTTTCTTTTTAAATCGTTATCTCTTATTTTTCAGTTTCATTCTCAGATTATGTGACATTGTCAAAGTAAATTAATGTGGCAGTAGCCTAATCAAAGAAATTTGCTTGACTTGAAATAACACTTATTTGGTCATTCATTTTGTCTTACCTTATACAAGTTCATATAGGAATTGAAATAGACTCATCATTTTCATACATCATTAACCACTCATTTGGTTGATATTTTTTAAGAAAGTAAATTCATATGGAAATCTGATAAATTTAAGGTCGCAGGAATGCTAAAATGTTAACAACTATTCTAGCACATAAGTTAATTTTATAACAAAAAATAAAATTGAAAACACTATTGATAAAATGCATTTGATTTAGTCTTCTGCTATCGCGACTATCGCGATTCTCTCCCTTTATTATACTTTAAAATTTATGTTAAACCTTTGAATATAATCATTTCCTTTACAGATGTTTTTAAATTCGGGATTAAATTTATTGACTGAAAGTCATTTGATTTGATTGATAATTGTTCAGATTTGGGAAGCGTATATTGTCTGAAGCTGAAATTCTTGTTTTGCATAAGTTATTATCATCGACTTTCTTCCATGAGATCACAGAGTGGAAATCACTGTGATAATGATAATATACTCAATTTGTGAACACATTATTGACGTTGTGTAACTCAAGTTCTATTTCTAGACGTATGCCATATTTGTATGCTACTAAATCTTCTATTTTGTAGATACTGACTTACAGGCCGGATATGAGTCTTTGGCAAGACAAGACACATCGAATGAGGTAGAAATGTATACACAAATAGGTTTGTAAATTTTTGACCACTATTGATTTGCTTTACAAAAATAAATGGTCTTTGTTGAGAGAATAATTGTATTAGCATTTTGTAACAATCAATTTTGTAAATCCGTATGCATATCTGGAAATACTTTTCTGGTAAAGCAAAAATTGTTTCCAAAACCATGACACTTACAATCAAACATTTCTGAAATGTTGAAATTTTGATTTTGATAATGTTTGTATAATTAAGGCAGAAGATACTTCAGCATTTGAGAATTCAATATTTTATCCCAATCTGACTGAAGAAATTAAAATATCACAATATCAGAGAGTTTGCTCGACTATATCTTGGAATGAACAGACATATAACTAGTCAAACAATCAGTTTAAAACAGAATATTTTGTTTATTCCTGGCTATTTCACTATACATATCTGTCTTCATTTTTAAAGATACTTTGGATCTATTTGGTATGAAAATATAATTTTGCTCGTCAAGATTAAATAAGGTCATAACGTTGCTATCTTACTGAACGTCTTACTGAAACAAAACCTGAGGTTGGTCTTCTTGGTATTGAGTGATTTGTGAGTAGTGGTAGTACACATACCTTGTTTTTTGGCGTTTCTTACTGTATTGGATATGTCATGACTTCTTTATTGCATTGAATAGTGACCATCAGCATTTATATTCTTCACTTCTAAAATAGAAAAAATACGGCTGCCACAGGAACGCCATAAACGACATAACTAAAAGGGTGAGTTGCAGGCTATGTTTTATTGAGCGAATTAATTGATGGTTAGTGAAAGTTAAAGTCCATACAAAGAAACATGACAATGGTGAAATTATGAGTATTGAACATTTACAAATGTGTTTATACGTCGGCGATCATGAAACCATTAACAGGACACGTTCGCAATATTTGTTTTCAAACGTTGTATGGTCCCCAAAAATAAAATGTGTGTGTATCGTAAATAAAAAAAACATTGGCAAAATCAAATGAACTCGAATTTTGATAGATCGTTGATTCATTTTTTGTTTGTTTGTTTGTTTGGTTGGTTGGTTGGGCAATATGGCGCCAAAAACAGGAACAATGATTTTGGTTATCTGCGGATTTCACTAAACGTTAAGCAGCACCAGGCGTCAAAACCACAACAACTGCTGTAGCTAAGAAATGCATATATTTCAATAATTCGAACTTATTAAGTCGCCTCTTTCGATCACGAGGGTTGCTGCAATTCTGATATCTCAACGCGTATACCATCCTTCAGACAATAGGGGTGAATCAATCAATGTAATACAGTCTTCCTTCTGCTTGGCTTGGCAAATGTTTACGGTATGACTCGTTTCTCCCTAACAGATGTATCCTTTACCATAGCTGTCCCTCCGTTGCCATTCTATTGATACCTCCTCATGTTCCTATATGTCATTAAGGGGCTCATATAGGAGCTTGGCGATTGTTGCAGCAACTGCCTTAAGTGCTGCAGTTGAAATCCAACCAGTGTCAGGTGCTTATTTGATCTTAGGTTCCAAAATCGTTTTTAACCCAATTAGTGTAAAATTAATCCAATAATAGAGGTAAGATTACCATGGCAAATTGTAAAACACTTTGGAGCCCATTTTTATCTACTGAACATGATCAAAATAGCTCGTTATGTATTTTTTAAGTACATTCAAACGTGGAAAAAAATAAAGATAAAAAACATCTAGCTGTGATGCCAAGCATGTAAATTATGTACGTATGTCAAGCTTCTTTCATCAGGTAGCTGCACAAAGCACTATTCGGTCTGTTGCAGCGTTTTGTTATCTTCAAAGTTTGCTCTAGTGATATTTTTAAGGCAGATGACCCCAGCTTCTGATTATTGCATAATTGTCTAATACATTATATGATGAAGTATATGATGCTGGAAAATAAAACTTGCAAAATGTGCCAAATGTCTAAAGAGTATTGTAAAAAATAACTTAAGTACTGAATCTAAAAGTAAACATATATTGTGGAAGGTAAACATTGTTTAGAGGATAGAAAAGAGACACAACCAAGTGAAACAGATTGTTTTCTTTTTCACGATTATTATAATAAATATTTTGGCATTTTACAGATAATCGTAAACCCACAGAATTGCGTGTCGTGTATGAGAATTTAGAGTTGTAAGTTACATTTATAAACTTAAGCTTAATTTCAATTTACATTGTTTTGGTAAAATTATACTTTATTTTCTTAATTTAATTTTTCAAACTCAAAACTGCCACTTACTTTCATGAATGTATTAATTTAGATAATTTCGTGCGTCAATATCTGTTAAAGCACGAGGACTCATTTAAAGCTCAAACCAACGAGGTGAAGTTAATTTAGTACAAACGCTATGTACATCTGATGTAAGTCCACGAATAATGTGTATTTGCGCTTATCTAGCGTAAGATTAAAGAAAATGTTGTTAATGTTTTTCATATAAAGAAATCAATTTTGTCTGTGCTAGCGCGATATCACTTGAAAGTTTTGTTTTAATAATAAAACAATCAGGTCCGTCAGTTTCATCAACTTTATTCAAAAATGCACCCTGAGTCATGCATGTTAAAAACCTGCAACAACGGTGCGTGTTCGTGTGATTTTATCTGTAAATGTCCGTTTACTTCTCCGTTAATGTATACCTACGTGTGCAATTTTTTATATAAGAATATCTTTGAAAGTCTTTACTTACGTTATATTTTCCCTCACATCTTTGCTTTGTTGTTTTCAGATGTAGAAGAGGAAACCAATAAGTGTGATATGGATATTTTACATCTTTACCTAAAAACTATTAGAGACAGAGAAAAATCTAAATTATGTTACTGATTTCATCATTTTGGTATTTCATTTTGATATTCAATTTTAAAAAGTGCATTGACATTTTAGGCCTGGTCAGACATTTAAATTGTGCATACTTTAATTAAAGATAGGATTACTAAAACTGTAATTGGGATAATGCTCTCGTGATTGTAGTTTTATAAATAATTTTGAAATTATTTTCACAATATTCATCGTTTATTTGACACTGGCAATGTACTTGGTATATGTTTTGACATAGATCTGTGAAATCACAGTTTAAAGTTGCGAAACGGTGTACTGTACAATGCATGTTACAGTTTACATTTTTACTTATATCAAAACTATTACAAAATTTCATCTTTTGAGTAGATATAAAATAAACATATTAACATGAATAAATGTGTGTATATAAAGTTCTTATTCGTAATCTTTGTGATAATACTCTTTGATCCTGTCTTTGATTTGCATATCATTTATTGTACATAGTTAAATCTATGATTATTCCAAAATTATGGCTAGACTTGTACCATAATTGCCGACTTTGAACTATGGAATTATAAAAACAGTAATTGTGACCAATATTGTTACAATTTATTGCACCAAAACGTTATCCGAAACCTTTTAATAAAATAACGTTATAAGAAGCGCCCTAGTTTAACAGTTACGGGCTCTTTTCATACACAAAATGCATAAGAATTTTGAAAGGTTTGTGTGATTTTTGCATGTGTAGTATACTATTAGTAAATGCTTTTCTTTACCTTTTTTATATAATTGATGGTTAGTGAAAGTTAAAGTCCATACAAAGAAACTATGTATGTATGCATGTATGTTTGCATGTATGTTATATGGATTATATAGTGAATTTAAAAAAACTTCTTGTGAAAAACCATTGGTCCTGATTGATTCTTTGGTGAGAAAAACTTAAAATATCCTCTTGTCTGAAGGTACAAGGCTTTGAGCTTTAATATTTGGTATATGATATCATCAATAGAACTCTACCAAAGTTGTTCAAATTTTGCATCTAATGTCAAAATTAACCCCGCCCCGGAATCATAGGTTTTCCTTATGTATGTACAAAATATAGTAAAAACACCCATAAAAAATCATCTTCTCTAAATTGACAAAGGCTAGAGGTTAGATATTTAGCATGAAATATTGTGTAGTGAACCTCTACAAAGATTTTTTAAATTATAACCCTAGGGTCAAAATTGTCCCCGCCCCGTGGGTCATTAATTTTCACTATCTACCTCTATAGTAAAAAATTAAAAAGATCTTCGTGTCTGAAGGTTCAAGTCTTAGAGCTTTGATATTTGGTATGTAATATCATCTATAGGTACCCTACCAAAATTGTTTAAATTCTGCCCCTAGTGTAAAAATTGCCCTGCCCCAGGGACGATAGGCTTTCCTTATACATGTATGTATACAGTAAAAACTTGAAAATTCTTCTCTGAATTGACAAGAAGTTGGCTAATGTTAAGATATTTGGCATGAAACATTGCGTAGTGAACCTCTACAGAGATTGTCAAAGTTAAAAAGATCTTCGTGTCTGAAGGTTCAAGGCTTAGAGCTGTGATATTTGGTATATAATATCATCTATAGGTACTCTACCAAACTTGTTTGAATTTTGCCCCTAGTGTAAAAATTACCATGCCCCAGGGACGAAAGGTTTTCCTTACACATGTATGTATATAGAAAAAACTTGAAAATTCTTCTCTTAATTGACAAGAGGTTAGCTAATGTTAAGATATTTGGCATGAAACATTGCGTAGTTAACCTCTACAGAGATTGTCAAAGATAGTCATGGGGTCAAAATAGGTCCTATCAGACGGGGGTGTCATTCATTTTCACATTCGGAACTGCCTCGGCTATTATCTATAATAACCTCAGAAACAATACGGATTGAAAGTAGTTTACCACGTGGTTTCAGATGTAAATAGAAACAGAGATAATGTAAAACGAATGTATATATTTGACATCTTATGTCCGTTCCGGTAGTCTTATAATTAAAAATATGTCTGACAATAATTTGTTATTTAAATATGCCCACTGATGTTCAATTTTAAACAAATCCAAATAAATGTCAACATGTTGGTTTTTTGTACTTTCGCATTCTACAACCATGATAATAAATATATAAATAATGTATTGTTGGCTTTTGTACCTATGAAATCACTTACTTGCTTTTACAACATATATTTGAAATAAACGTGTCAACAACTCCCAGCATTAAATTACTATTTGTTAACATGTTTACTTTCTTAGCGTAGGTTAGTCCGAAATACAGCATCCGTTCTGTGTATTCATACTATTGTGTTCGATGTCCTTATCCGAAGACTGACGGAAAGGGCCGAGTAGTTGCGATTGTGATTTTCATCATGTACTTATAATAAACTTTTAAAAGATTCTCTTGTATGAAGGTACACGGCTTATAGCTTTTATATTTGCTTTATAATATCATTTATAGGTCCTATAGGCCATGTGAAATATGACCTTCCCCACCAAATTCACTAGTCTTAACTACATCGATAGATTCTTTTCTCTGATCCTTTACTTGAATAACATTATATTTGACATGTGCTCTTTTGTTAACAAATAGGTGTTGGTGAAATTATTATTATATCCACTGATTAGATAGGTCAGGGATCTTTGCATTAACGCAATGTTCAATTGTATAAAAACAAAAAAATCAACAACAAATATTCTACTTTTATATATTTAATTATATTCTCCTGAAAATTAGCTTAAATATGAAGGTATGTCGCTTTAAGATAACACTGAATTCATATCTTTTTCTTTCGAAACTATTTCCAATATTTCTGGATACCTCTCATAATTACCATTTATATCCTTTGTTTCTGTTCAAATATGTTTTAAGATTATGTCATGTATGTGCGTTTTATAAAAAAAAACTTTGAACAAATCATAATGCAATCTTTGCTTCTTATGCAGTTTTCTTTATAGTGATAGGAATTAAGCACTCATGTAAGTAAGAATATATTGATTTACATGTATACATCAAAAACACAGCATTTAACACTAAGCCAGTAATAATATGTATAATAATTTTGTACTTTTTCTTTAGTATAAAAATTGCATTGTTATTTCAGGTAAACTGAAGTTACGAAATGCTAAATAAATATAAAATATTGATTTCTATTACGGAATGTGTATAATGTTTTGAATAAAAAATGATATCGAGATCAACTAGACAAGGCGTTTTTCACTTTACCCAGCCTTTGACATAGCACAGAAACAATATCCGATGTGTTACCAAGCAGGACACTGCACAGAATTAGGAGAGGGTACAAGGGCAGGGGTGAAGGGGAGACTTGGTGGGACTTTTTCTAACAAAATTTTCAAAATTTTAAAATCAATTTAAGGACCTAGGTACAAACCGTATCGTAAAGGATTAACGCTTCTGTAAAAAACTCATTTTGGAATACCATAAATGATTTTTATCATGAAAGCAATTAAAGTATCTGAAGAAAAAGAAAATAGAATAACAATCAAAGATATTCAGAATAAATTTCATTTGCTTTCTTTTTGGGCCATTTTAGTCCAATCCTAGTAAAAAGCGTTACAACGCATTTCAGTTGTGGTCAATATGCACAAAAATGGTTGTTCTAAAAAGACTTGGTGACTAAATGCTCTGAAAATTTGCACTTACGTTATTGGTCAAGACCTAAATAAACGCTGCAAAAGTTTGGAAAAATGATTCTAGTCACGTAATGTCAAGAAACCTCAGTGATACCCCTTTAAAGTTTATTTAAGATTACAAGTAGAAGGAAGCAAAACAAAATTTTACATGATAAATGTCCCTATGTATTGATAAAAACTTCCTCGACAAACATCTCAAAACCATGTTTTCCACACGTATACTACTTTGTTTTATACTCAAACATTATTTTTATACTCAAACAGTACAATAGTTTAAAGTGCCATTTGCAATATATTAATTACTTTCTTACTTCACATCACCATATTCTAATTTAAAATAAATTTTCAAAATTTCCCGAAAATAAACGTGACTCTGAAGCTATGTCGCTGAATTAACATCCTTTTTTTTTCGAAAATAACACCTATATTTTTAAATACTTTTCATAATTTCCATTAATATGCTTAGTGACCGTTCAAATATGTTTTAGGTTACAATTCTGTGCGTTGTTTTCTTTTAAAACATTTAAACAAATCAAAATGCAATCTCTGCTTCGATATGCAGTTTTCTTTATAGTGATAGGAATTAATCACTCATGTAAGTAGGAATATATTTAAGTACATGTATACATCGAAAACGCAGCATTTGACATAAAGCCAGTAATGATATGAATAATAATTTCGTACTTTTTCCTAAGTGTAAAAGATGCATTGTAGTTTCAGGCAAACTGAAGTTACAAAATGCTAAATTAATATAATGCTTTAAAACATTGATTACCACTAAGGAATGTGAATAAAATTTTGAATAAATATGAAAATCGAGATCAGCTAAACAAGGCTTTTATACTCAACACAGCCTTTTCCCAAACATAAATCCGGTGTGTTACCCAGTAGGACACAAAACAAAATTAGGAGAGAGTACAAGGGCATTTCAAGGAGGGGAAATTTGGAGGGGCGATGTAATTACGAATTCTTTCAAATTGTAAAATCACTTTAAGGACCTAGGTACAAGTGGAAAAAGTATCTCAAAAAGATTAATACTTCTAATATAGAAACGTGTACAGAAACTTATTTTGGAATACATAAAAATATTTTATCATAAAAGCAGTTTTAGGGTTTCTATATGTGCTTATAACGTAGAAAAAAAACCAAAACATGCGTTCCTGACAAAACGTCATTGTAAACACTAAATAATAAGGACAATGACTGTTTATCTTTTTAACAAGTTTTGTTTGGAAGCATATTGTAAAAAATACTATTAATATTGTTTAGTTTATATTCTACCTGCCTCATTATAGGAAGAAAGAAGTCTATTTACTACACTTTCTATACAATCAAAAAACAGTTCATGTTATTATATATTAAACAAAGGTTACGATATATCTTACATAGTTTGCATAAAAATACTTATACATGTAAGAAACAAAATAGAAAGATATTTGTTAACTTTGCATTATATCATTATCCCTAAGAAGACATAACCGTCATATGTCGAAGCATTTGCTGTCGTAGTTATCTCCCTTTTACCAGTCTGCATAAGAAAAAACAACAACATTTTTATGGATACTAAAAGGCTAAAATCTAAAGTTATGTCTTTTCTTTAAATGAATTATACAGAATACATAATCGTGACTCAATGGATTATATTAAGAAGTATTCGACTTCATGTGTGATGTCACAAGCGCTTGTAAGCGCTTATGGAAACGCTCTACACTACGGATTTCTTGAAATTTTTTTTTAGAGAAATAACAACCTATAACAAGAGCTAGTCTTTCGTGCAATTAAACAACTCTTGGTGGATTTCTTAAATGTGTTTATCGATTTTTTTTCGAAAGTAGTGGAGCCGAAGGGCAAAAGATTGAGCGAAAGGTCGGTTGTTGGTCGCAAGGCGATATTAAGTTGATGTAAAGAGCGCTGTCTAATAAAATCTTTCAAGGTTAAAATAGACGTACTAAAATGTGAAGCTGGAGAAATATGATAATACATTTTATATCCTTTTATTTCTACTATTGTAGGTCTATCAATTATTGAAAAATTTAGTCCGTACACCGACTGAGCACTGCCTTTTTTCTATAACGTTCGTTCTGTTCATTGATACTCTGTGAATAAACAAACACAATTTTACAGATATATTTTTTAACCTACTCTTTACTTAAATCAAGATTTGTGCTGACAATATGCAGTGTTTGATTATAAAGGTAAACAGTTCTATTTACACTTACAGAGGAAAATGATAAACTAAACAACAATGATAAATAAATAAGAGAAGAAATATCTTGAAACTTGGCTGAAACACGTGTTATATCCTCAAAACGACTGTCACAATGTCGACCATTTTCATAGAGATTTACCACCTTACAAAAATCGTTCAATTTCTTGAAAACGGGGCTTATTTGTTTTTGATCTAAACATATACATTAACGCTATTTATTACAGAAGGTAATAGTAAAATGAACTCGGTAGTAGTGATCCATTCAATGTGCCCCTTGCATAGCATTATTTGGTCTCTGTTCTGCACCTTGAATATCTAACTTTTGAAAAACATAACATTTCGGCGGAAACAATCGCGTTACAAGTACCTGCTCAGAAACATTTGTTCGCGGTAGAACTGAAAATATTCAATTTTGTCGAATTAGCATGTTCACACGTTTTTAAATGTACATAACCGTGTCAAAAATCAAGATTGAGCTCGAATAAGTGGCATCCTGTACGCCATGCATATGATTCAATGATCGGGCCTCATCAAAATCTGAAACATAAATAATGGAATTTATAAGGTACCCATAGTTGACACCTTCGCGATAACATTTATTACCGTAACGATGTAGTCGTTCAAAGGATATCACGCTTTATTAGTTGTCTTTAAAAGGTTTATATATATCGGTCTCAACACTTGATCATGTCTATTTTTACTACTTAAGCTTTTATGTATCCAAATTCATAGACTACGCTCCCCAACTACGCCAAATTAATATCAACTTGCGCTCAACATCGAACCTCCCGCTCCGTCTCTTGCCCTTTGGCTCCACTACTTTCGAAAATATCGTTTTACAAATTTAAGAATTCCTTCAGGAGTAATAAATATTGCATGAAGGACAAGTTCTTATAACGGGTTGATATTTTTCTCATACACTTTTTAAAAAAGTCCGAAGGGTATGGCATTTTAATGATTGGGAAGCTCAATATTCTACAAATCGTCGTTCACTTCGTCAGGGAAAAAAAGTTCTCCCGGGTTTAAGATTACTTTTTTTGTTACAGCTTAGATCAATGAAAGCCCAAAACAATCCTACACAGAACTACATTTCCGTAGTTTTAATGAATAACAAGACAAAAACATAAACAAAACTTACAATTAGCGGTTTAAATCGGCCTTCCACTGTATCTTGGTAATGCCTTTTGCTCGTTTGACAGTTCACCGCAATTTTACAGTGGAGAGACAGTTTGCCGGGCGTGATAATAAGGCAAGTGAAATAATCGACAACCAGTTCCCTTCATATGAACAGATAATCGACAACCATTGCCGTTCACATGACCAGATAATCGACAATCAGGGCCCTTCACAAGAACAAACACAAACGACAAAAGGCTCCCCCACCCCCTGATCAAGTACGTGAGATAATCAACAACGAGCTCCCCCACACAATCAGACAAAACAATCAGCTCGTAACTTTTTTTGAATAACTAGGTCTCATTTGACCAAACGTGTGAAAAAGAAGTCAGCGCGTGATTGATTTAAGCTATTTTTAAAAACAATTGTTTTCACCCCTTTAACTAAGTTATTTTACTTATCCATCAATATGATACATGTACATGTATCACGTAAATAATTTTGTTTTACCAAAGTCATGTATCTAATATGTAAAAGTTGTTTTCAATTTTTTTAAGTGCTTTCAAAAAAGAAGAAAAAAGTAAGTATATTGTGGTGGATGTATTCTTTTTTCAATAAATTTCCGTTTTAACTTCTATGAATTACATATGTTTCATTACATCCGCATATTAATCATTCCAGAAAAAATCATTTTACTGTACAAATAATATAATATCAGCTATTTACTCATGAAAAGTTCCCCTGGGGCATATCTGTACACATCTAATTAAATATGACTATTTTCAAGTGTCCTATAATTGTTTAACATCCTTTTTTTCCTAACCTACTTACGATATATCTAGATAATTTAAATGTTCATAATAACCATTTATATTCTTAGTTTCTGTTCAAATATGCTTAAGATCGTTATTGTATTCTGTATGTGAAGTATGTGAATGTTGATTAAAAAACCTGTCATATTTAAACGTTGATGTGAACGTTGAGTTAAAGAAAGAACGAGAGACGTGTCATATTTAAACAAATCATAATGGAATCTCTTTCTTTAGGATTTACAGGTGTTATTTTCTTTATAGTGGTAGGAATCAAGCCGTCGTGTGAGTATGAATATTTGTTTACATGTACATACATCAAAACGCCTAATCCTACATGAAACAAATAATTATAAGTTTAGCAACTTCTCAAATGTTCTTCAATGTAAAATATGATATCTTTAAAGCAAAGTGAATGAAATATGTGTTTAAGAAATATGGTTTTCAAGATCAACAATGCATGGCGTCGTTCGCATTACACAGACTTTGACATACTCCAGCAACAAACACAAACACTGGTTAGATACCCAGCATGTCAGCAAACAAAGCTATTTATAAAGAAATGAAGTGTATAAGTGAAGCGCATATGAACGCTTTTGCCATTGTATAAACACCGGTCTCTCAAATATCGACCTGTGTCTTACGACGCATTACTCACCCCAAATGAGGGTAAAAGTGACTCCGACATAAAGAAGTCCGCGTAGGGATGACAATTTTATTTTATAAAACACAATATATCTTTTCAAGTGATTAAAATCGTTTATTGCATCCAAGAGATCACTGTTTTCCAGAGTTTGATATTGCAATTGCAATTGATAGTTCGATTGTGTTACTGTTTATTCAAATATTCAAAACAACTTTCACTTATGGTTTTAAACTAACAACCGACAAAATACCATCACGTGTATTGAACGAAAATGGGTTTGTATACCACTAAAGGATTGTATGGAAAAAGTTTAATGTTTCAACTGGCCGCATTTGCGTTTTGTTCTATTACTTCCGTGTTCAAGCCGCCATGTTAAAAGAAGTGCGTTCCCATCATGCTTAGGGTGGTTTCACACAGGTCAGTAAGACCGGTTTACACAATTCGCTTTTGCTGAATGATTAAAACAGTTACTATAGGAAAATCAAACGAACTTCCAAAACGGCAAAATTGAAAATGTGGAAGGCTCGGTTTGATTTTACTTGTTTATGAACGATACTTGAAAAAGAAAGCCTTTGCCCACGCTACCTAGTAGCAAAATTAAATATCAAAAGGAAATTTACTGATTTCCAATTACATAATTTGGTATCTGACGTACCTGCAGGAGAAACATTTCCCGTTTGCTATCTTTTTCAGGCAATGCTAACAGTTAGTGTCATGACCTTTAAAGAAAACAAATATCTAAAAAAATAACTATAATCTAAAAATAAGATTGTTTAAAGAATGACGTCTATCAACTGATTTACGAATCACTGGAATATTTCTAGTCTATACCAATGTTATCATTTACAAACAATACACGCTTAGTAATACAAATGGTTGCATTACTGTTTCTACACAACTTTACTTTCACCATAGATAACCAAAAAGTATCTTAACGGAGAAACCACATGAGAAGTGTTTAAAAATATTCACGGCATATATCTTTGAAATCATATATTATCTGACACGTATAAAGGCATCCGTGGCAGAGGCATTGAGGTCGTTGATTTCAAATCAGTTCTTCCTCACCGTTGTGGTTTCGACTATGCCATGTGAGGAAGCTATACAGCTAAGCTACAGAAAGTTGGTGCTTCTACTCAGCTGCCCGTTCGAGTTTAAAATAATGCACAGAAAGATATATGAGGTTTTCTGCAACCAGTAAAGTTAGAACGTCGCTATTTGACCTATACTGTATTGGTGTGACGTAAAACAAAAACAAAAAATCTGACATGTTAAATCTCACCCATTACAATAATTATACCACTTAATAAACATCCTTTACTAACTGGTCTATTTCCGATCTGTTAAGATGGCTCTTTTTATAAAAATGCAAGCATCCTATATATTAGTTAACAGTCAAATACATGTACAATCCACAACCACATTATATCAAGCTCTTTTAGTTATTTATTAATTTATTATTTGCTTGTTTGTTTGTTTGTTTATTTATGTATTTATTTATTTATTTATTTATTTATTTATTTATTTATTTATTTATTCATTCATTCATTCATTTATTTAATTATGCTTAGATGTAAATGCCGTTAACTGAGTGTTTGTTTCTTAACAATAAGAAACCTCTTTTGAACAGTTTCTTCCACATCGTTTTTTCCAAAACCCAATTGTATCCATAGTTCTATCAAAAATGACAAAAATAGTTGGCGTTCATATAAAAGTTTACTTATATTTGCGCTGTCGATTGCAATCACCCTGTGTGTTTTACTGTTAGAAAAACAAAATATTCTAGTACATGTACAGGTGCGTCAAATCACACTTTTCTGCATTTTTGCTAAATCTCAACTAAATAAATTCATAACGCAACTTGCATTGTAGGCAGACTGTATTTTAGGTCTTGATAGATATATAGATAGATACTTTATTAACTAAAACTTAAACAAATAATATATAAAAAAAATTTACAATCACATGACAATGGCATATATAGAAAGATTTAAAAAAAACATAGAGACGCACACACACATGGTAAATAAAACATTTATCACACGGAGAAAGAGGATAAGTTTGTGAATACAGTTACAATACAGTTTAAGAATACAAAAATCATACACAACCTAGATTAAGTAAGGTACAATATGCGAATAAGTTATAAAAAGACAAACTGCATATTTAGCAATTGTATTTTTTTAAATGGAAAAGCAGAGTTAAATGTATTTTTTTCTTATTCTTAATCAAAACGTTAGATTTGTATTATAAACGCGCTATACACTTTTTATTCAAGATAATCGCAGGAACTTGAAATTCTATCAATATTAATGATAATATCCAAAATATACCCCCTATACAGTATAAATAAACACAAGGAATGAAACGCCTTTTCCCCACCCCAACATAATTTACGCCGAACAAATCAACAAAACAACGGATCAAAATAATTTATCGGGCCATTTCGATAAACAATACATAAATGCATTAAAAAAAAATATTAAAAACGAAAGTACTATTTCAAAGATTTACCGTTCTTGTTTGGGGTTTCCCTTTCAAATGTACTTATAAAAGTAATTTGTTAAAAAGGTTTTACATAAAGATGTTTAAATATATTTACATAGAATAATTTTTATAAAAGTTGAATACATTCCTGTTATTTTTGGAACTTATTATAAATGATTTTAATAAATATTATTCTCCTCGAATCAAAATCCAGTGACGTCACGGAATGGAGTCGGCGACAAACTCAGATCGCGGGAAATAATCAGAAAATGTTGAATTATTCCTACATAGCTATGCTATTTTAGAAAGTTATCGGTGGTTTTTGATGCCTTTATGTATTGTTTATCGAAATGGCTCGATAGATTATTTTGATCCGTTGTTTTGTTGATTTGTTCGGCGTAAATTATGTTGGGGTGGGGAAAAGGCGTTTCATTCCTTGTGTTTATTTATACTGTATAGGGGTTTTTTTTTGATATTATCATTAATATTGATAGAATTTCAAGTTCCTGTGAGATAATGTAATGGAGTAATATTGTATAAAACACAACTTAAAAGATATCCCTAAACCAGATGTAATTAAACGATTTCAAATCAATTATTGTATTAAGTATATTTAAAAAAAACGTGTATCTTCACAATCTGGTCTTTGATAGGAATCAAACAAGATGCTCCGGCATCCATACCAATTTACCACACTTAACTAACGTGTGATATTACCAGTGTTTGTCCAATTTCCTGTGCGAAAGTTAATAAGGTGCCAGGTCAATATCGTTGTACAATATTTATAAACTTGGTCAATGTTCGGGCGCAAATATCTTAGTATCTGAGTCAAACTTTTTTACTCTTATTAAACAAACCTTTGGACCTAAAGTTTAAATGATTTTCAGAAAATATGAATAAAGAGAGTTTTGTTTTCTTCTTCCGGTTGTATTTCTTATACAATTTGCATAATTTTTGTATCGGCTCTACGGAGTAGTGGTGACATAAAGGGGTTTAATTCTCCGTCGTCTGTCTGTCCTTCCGTCTGTCTGTCTGTCTGTCCATCTGTCCGTCACAAAACTTGTCCTCTTATACTACTAATAGAATTTCAATGAAACTTTACAGGATTGATCGGAAGCTCAAGTTCTGGTGCTTAGTACACAGGTTAAATATTTTTGGTCCAGTTATGGCTATCATGAGGCGACACACATGATCACTGAAACTTAATTTGATATGAACAACTTATTTAAATTCAGATTTAATCACATGTGGAACTTTAAACTTCGAAAATCACAAAGTAATGGAATGTCAGACTGCACGCTTAATTTACACACCAAACAAGGAACAAACACACGAAATGCGCAAGTGGGTCAGAGAAATTAACTCAACCTCATCGAAAGTGATTTATAACTACAAGACGTCAAATGATGAAAGTAAATATTTCGAATCCAAACAAGGCGAAAGTTTCATCCTGTATATACCAGCAGTTAATTCAGCAGATGCTGGGGACTATCTTGTTCATTGTGGAGGCAGGCATTATACTCGCCGATCAAATTTAGGCGTATCCGTTAATACTAATGGTGAGTTATTTGTTTTTTTTTAAAGTATTTGTTTGAACAGCCAAAACGAGTTAAGAGATTCCGATTGAAAGTTTTCATTGATGACTTGCATTTCTAAAATGATTTTTTTTTTCTATTTCCCATACACCTTTGGTATATGAACTGAGCATTTGTTAAAACGAAATCTCAATTTTGCTTTGATTTACACATTTATTCCCAGTAGTATATATAATGCATATCTTCATAGAAACAATCAACAAACAAAATATTTTACATACTGGAAAAAGATGAGAACGAAAGAATAGTATTATATAATTTTCTGCTGCAAGCGACTGTAAATAAAATTTGAATTTCGAGCCAGTTCGAGGATCGAAATTCGGAATTTGCAAAGGCCGAATTTCGAGCAGGGGATTCAGCTCGAGCCAGCTCAGAAATCTAAATTATGAAATTTGCAAGGCTAGATTGTGAGCTAATATTGAATTTCGAGCCAGTCGTATTTCTAGCTGAATTGAAATTCTAGCTTGCATGAACATCGAAATTCAAATGATCCAGCTTGGATTGTATTTCGATTTCCTTGAACGTCGAAATGACTTAAGTAGAATTTTGAGTCATCTCGAAGGTCGAATTTCAACATAAAATAGAGAAAAACAGAATCCCCAAAAGAAAGTCCAACACGACAAAATTGAAAATGTTGCAGGCTCGGTTTGATTGAGCCTGTTCGTGGACGGTACTGGAAAGTGCAAGTTACCGTCCACGACCCCTAGCACCGGCTTAAGCAAAATTCAACATTTTACACGAAAATGGTGAAATTTTGAATTTAGAAACATCTGCTCATGTGTTTATACGACTGTCATCATGGAACCTTCAATGTGACACAGTATGGCACATAGATAGAGAGAGAGAGAGAGGGAGAGAGAGAAAGAGAGAGAGAGAGAGAGAGAGAGAGAGAGGGAGAGAGAGAGAAGAGAGAGAGAGGCAACATATCCTAAGGGTGATTATACAGTATTCAAGTAGGAATACTGGAGCCACCCAAGTTGAAAAGGGCAAACAAAGAAGACACTTAAATTACCACATAACATGTATACACAAAAATAATGTCGTGCTAAACGATCTTCAAGGATCGAAAATAAAACATCATTGATTAAATGTACGGGGAGACTTTTTACAACAGCCGCCACACGGCACACATAACACGGATGTGACAATAAAATAGAGAAAAACAGAAAGTCAAATGTCCAGCTTGAGTTAAATTTTGAGCCAGCTGGAAGAACAAAATTCAAAATTTGAAAAGGCCAAACTGTGTGCTAGAATTAAATTTTGAACTGGCTCAAACACCGAAACTTAAAGTAAGTTTAAGCCAAATTTTGACATGGAGTTGAATTTCGAGCTAGATTTAAATTTAGATTTACCTTTCAAATTAGACTCTTTCGAGTTTTAGATAAATTTCAAACACCAATTTCGAGTATAGAAATTCAAATAAAAAAGTATTTTAAGCAGCATTCCTCCAGATTCGTGATATTTCGTTGAAACATTTGAAAGTATAATTTTGTGAAGTAACCAAAAAAAAAGCAATTAACACATTATCAATGGCACTTGCAACCCAGGTAAATTACCAAAAAGAGGTTACAATATGCAAAAATAACCCTTACTGTGTTAGTAACGCAGTATAATATTGTGATAAAAACTAAAATACATGTATTAGTCATTTATCGCACAAAACATGTAAATTATTACTTGAATCTTGAATCTTTTTACTTTCCCTAAAATATTAGTACATTTTTCTCAAGTTTGATTTTATTGACAAACTTTGGTTCATTTTAGGCATGCTGCTTTAAACTTCGAAGTAGTTCGAAGATCAAATTCAAATAGCTTTAGCTGAATTTATAGCTGGTGGCAAGCCAGCTCGAAGATCGAAATTCAAAAGTTACAAAGGGCGATTTTTTACCTAGACTGGAATCTCAAGCCAGACTGAAGATCGAAATTGAAAGGAAGCTTAAGCCAAATTTCCAGTTTGAGTTATATTTCTAGTCAGCTCAAAGATCTAAATTCAAAATTTTCAATATTTTTACAACGTTCAATTTTTGTGGAACAATAATATAATTGATTGTGAAAATACGTCAAGAGTCATTTTTTTTAACTTCAAATGTCAATTGAAACGAAGTTTCAAACCACAGTTTTGACAAAAGTAGTTTGGTCTGGAAAGTTAACGGTTTGTATACATATAATTATACAAAGTGTATAATTTAGAAAAAGAGGGAAAATGATCCGTTTGCAGCAATCGGGACAGAGACCGTAAAGCTTGAGTCATTGACTGTTCAGCTTGACAAATGCATACTTGATGCAGACCGGTGCTTCACTATAAAATATTTCCACCAAAGTAGACATGAGTACAGCTCTCGTTACAAGTACTATAAGGACACTTTATTTAATCGTATCGTTGATGACATTTATCATAACGTGAGCTGCGCTTGTGCACATGTGGTCATGTTTGTTAAATGCACAGAGTTTTATGCCCCCGAAGAGTGGCATATTAAAATCGAACCGTCCGCCTGTCTGTCAGTCCGTCCGTCCGTCTGTCCGTCCCGCTTTATACATATAGACAGTGGTGGTCGTGTCCGCTCTGAAACTTCAGTATGCATGAAAGGATTTTAAATTTTCTTTCATAAATGAAATTACCATACATGTATTGTGAGTCGCAAACAAGATTCGGGTTTCTACCACTAAGGTCAAGGTCACTGTGGGGGTTCATACTTTGTCATTTTTAATGTTATATAAATATATAAGGTGGTGGTCGTGTCCGCTCTGAAACTTCAGTATGCATGAAAGGATTGTAATTTTTTCTTACACATATGAAATAACCATAGATGTATGCTGTGTCGCGATTCGGACTTGTGTTTCTACCACTAAGGTCAAGGTCACTGTGGAGGTTCAAACTTTGTCATTTTTAATGTTATATAAATATAGAAGGTGGTGGTCGTGTCATCTCTGAAACTTCAGTTTGCATGGAAGGATTGTAATTTTTCTTTCATATATGAAATAACATAGATGAATGTTGTGTCTTGATTAAGACTTGGGTTTCTACTACTAAGGTCAATGTCACTGTGGGTGTTCAAACTTTGTCATTTTTAATGTTATATAAATAAAGAAGGGTTGTTGTGTTCGCTCTGAAACTTCAGTATGCATGGAAGGATTGTAATTTTTCTTTCACATATAAAATAACCATAGATGTATGGTGTGTCGCGAACAAGACTTGGTTTTCTACCACTAAGGTCAAGGTCACTCTGGGGGTTCAAACTTGGTCATTTTTATGTTATATAAATAAAGAAGGTTGTAGTCGTGTCCTCTCTGAAACTTCAGTATGCATAGAAGGATTGTAATTTTCCTTTCACATATGAATTAATCATAGATATATGGTGTGTATGTAACAAGACTGTGGTTTTATACCACTAAGGTCAAGGTCACTGTGGGGGCTCAATCTTTGTAATTTTTCTTTGTATATAAATAAAGAAGGTGGTGCTATTGTCCCCTCTGAAACTTCAGTATGCATGAAAGGATTTTAATTTTTTTTCATATATAAAATAACTATAGATGTATAGTGTGTCGCGAACAAAATTCAAGTTTCTACCACTAAGATCAAGGTCACTGTGGGGGTTCAAACTTTGTCATTTTTAATTTTATATATTAAATAGAGAAGGTGGTGGTTGTAGGTGGCGGTTGTATTCGCTCTGAAACCTCAGTATGCATGGAAGGATTGTAATTCTTCTTTCACATATAAAATAACCATAGATGTATGGTGTTTCGCGAATAATACTTGGGTTTCTACCACTAAGGTCAAGGTAACTGTGTGGGTTCAAACATTGTCATTTTTTATGTTATATAAATATAGAAGGTAGTGGTCGCGTCCACTCTGAAACTTCAGTATGCATTGAAGGACTTTAATTTTTCTTTCACAAATGAAATAACCATAGATGTATGATGTGTCGCGAACAAGACTCTGGTTTCTACAACTAAGGTCAAGGTCAATTTGTGTGTTCAAACTTTGTCATTTTTTATCGTATATAAAAATAGAAGGTGGTGGTCTTGTCCGCTCTGAAACTTTAGTATGCATGAAAGGATTTTAATTTTTCTTTTATATATAATATAACCATAGATGTATGGTGTGTCGCGAACAAAGACTTGGGTTTCTACCTCTAAGGTTAAGGTCACTGGACGTTCAAACTTTGTCATTTTTATTGTTATATTAATATAGAACGTGGTGGTCGTGTCCGCTCTAAACCTTCAGTATGCATAGAAGGATTGTAATAATTTTTCTTTCACATATGAAATAACCATAGATGTATGGTGTGGCATTTGTCACGTTGTGTGACAGCTCTTGTTCTATTTCCTATTCAATGCATTATCTTGAAATTGTCTCCAAATATCAGATAATGATTATCTGCAATGATTACAACACATAAATTAAGATGAAAATGATGAAAGTTTGACTGTACTATCCTCGAAGTTAAGGTTATACCTACGTTTGTGTGCAGTTGTGTATATTTTCTATAAAAGTATTAAATATTATTGAATTAACAAAAATAAAACACATAGTAAAATGTAGATTGGTGTTTCTAATTTGACAAGTATTTAATCACATACTTCTATGATATGTGAACGGAAATAAATATATGATTAAATACACATACGTCTATGATATGAGTTGTGTATATTTTTTATAAAAGTATTAAATATTATTGAATTGAGCCGCGTCACGACAAAACCAACATAAAGGGTTTGCAACCAGCATGGATCAAGACCAGCCTGCGCATCTGCGCAGTCTGATCAGGATCCGTGATGTTCTTTATCAGTTTCTTTACTTGTTATAGGGTCTGTAAATGGTGGTCTGGATCCATGCCGGTTGCTAACCCATTATGTTGGTTCGCTTACAGACCCTAAAACAAGTAAAGAAACTGATAGCGAACAGCATGGGTCCTGATCAGACTGCGCGGATGCGCAGGCTGGTCTGGATCCATGCTGGTCGCAAACCCATTATGTTGATTTTGTCGTGACGCGGCACAATTAACAAAAAAAAACATAGTATAAAATGTAGATTGGTGTTTCTAATTTAACAAGTATTTAATCACATACTTGTATGATATGTGAACGGAAATAAATATAATTATTATGATTAAATACATAACATGACGTGTACATACATGTATTAAGTAATTGTCTTGATAAATTGCTTGATACTAACGGTTTTTAAGGCATCTAAACCTGGCGGCGGCTCGGGTGATATTCATTTCACATTTATATAGGAGGAAATTAATTTTCAATTATTTCAATTAAATTCAGAAAAGAGGAAAAGTAGAAATAGAAGAAAAAATGATACTTTACTGGTTAAGCCTAGTCTAAAAAACACGAATTGTCAGCTCAAAATTCAGATTTTTGCAATATGAATTTCTGTCTTCGAGCTTGCTCCACAATAAACTCTAGGTTTAAATTCGGTCTTGAATGATTTTGCAAATTATGAAACTCTTGCTCAAAATTCAGCTTTAGCTTACCATGGCTTTTGGTCTTTGAACTAGTTCAAATGTCAACTCATGCTCGAAATTAGGCTTTAAATTAGATATCTTAAATTGTGATGTTCCAGCATGCTTGAAATTGAGCTCAGGCTCGAAAATCGGCCAAGCTGCTCTTCAAGCTGGCTTGAAATTCAAATCCAGTTCGGTATCGGCTTTTACAAATGTTGAATTTGGCCGTGGCAAAATTTAAATTTCGATCTTTTACTGTGTCGAGATTCAGCTTTGTTAGATTTGAAGTTGCTCGAGGTTCAAAGCTAACTCAAAATTCAATAAAAACTGAATTTTGATCTTCGATTTCAGTGCTAACTTTTCGATGCTTGTTATATATACCTTGTAGTTGTAAGATGCAGACAAATACATGTAATTTTTAAGGAATTGTTAAATTTTTAAAATAATTATATCTAAACTACACTGTAGGTTGCATTTGATTGCCTCGTAAATCTTATTTCGCCTATTCCTTTCTGAACTTTGTTATAAGTCTCCTTTTCATCTTAGGCTGCCCAGAAAGATGTGGCAAACTTTCAACTACAAACAGTTACGTCATAGAAGGAGATCCAGTTACTTTTCAATTTTCTGTTGATCCTGGTAAAGACATCACATGGGAAAAGAAAGTTGAGACTACCTATACACAACTCAAAGATCAAAAGTATATTATAAGAGTGGTACAAGAGAAAAAAGTGCACAGCCTCGATATTCTTGAAACAGAATATAGCAATAGTGGAGAATACAGAGTAAATTGCGGTGACACTGTGTCGAATTCGATCTATCTGAATATCGGTAACTAAAACATATTTTACCACCTTATTTACATCAATTGATAAAATATTTTAACAAGTTTTGCAAAGAAAAAAAAAAAACTATCATTATCCTTTTGAACAAGAGCTGTCCAAAGTGCATCACCATCCATTTTTCCTAGTGCAAGTTTATATGATAAAAATACATAAGAAATTATTTAAAAAAAACAACAACAAAAAACAACGCAAAACCGACGGGAAATTAACAGCACCGAATAGTACACAAATATTTTTTGTATCTGATGGTTTTGTGGGCAAATAAACAAATGTAAAAAAGATAAATAAACATAAAATAACTTTCAGAGTATTCTGCTTTTTAGAAAACCATTTCAGTTTGAAAAATGTTTAAAACTTCAGCACAAACACTACGAGTTTAAAGTGAATATCTTCCATATTTATTTGAGAATTCAACTTATCAAAAGGAATAACTAAGAGTTAAATTTAAGTTAAAAGACGCATAACATTGCTGACTATAATTTCAAAAATATCCGACCTTTTGATATGGCTTCAAATTTTGACAATGGATAAGTGCTTAGAGTTTGAAAAAAATTAAAAGTCATGGGAAAATGGAATTTAACACTTAACAGTTCCAAGTGAAGTTGACCTTTGACATGTTGACATGGCAACGAGTTTGACAGGTAGCAGTATTTTATCTGAATCTGCATATGTTATTTTATTTATTTATTTATTTATTTATTTATTTATTTATTTATTTATTTATTTATTCTGTTTTTCACTATTTTATTTTCCTGAGTTATTGCACTTGTACAAGTCCCAGTGACCATTTGTCCTGAAAAAAGTTGTAACGGGAAAAATGTACATGCACAGCAATTTATCGGTGAAACGTTTTATAGTTTATTATTACAGGTTCATGTGATTTTGATATTTGACCTAATGACCTAAACATAAGTTGGCATGTTGCATCTTTAAAGTTTTTAGTTCCTCGGATGATACATTTCGCTTAAGTAATAGCCAATTTTGTTCAGTCATTACAAAGCCTGTTGACAATGAAGTTCCATGAAAATGAAAATATTTTTAGCATTGAATATAATGACCATGCTTGAAAACCTTACCAACGACGATGCTTATGCTATCCCCTTGATAGCCTTTGACAAACTTTACTGATATTGATATTGATCGGATTTCGAGACGTTAACGTTGTGATCATCATTTTAAACACAAATTTTAAATTGCTATTGCAAATTCAAATGTTGTTTTTTGTTGTTGTTTTTTCGCACAACGTCATTAGCAATAGGCATGGCATTTTAATGTTTTGTGCAATAATGTTAAATAAACGTCTCAAAAAGCGCCTACATCAACGAACTGCACTGGAGTGTGTATAACCATGGATTTGTTTGATATGTGCTACAGACAAGTTATCTGCATTTCCAAGTTAGACAGAATATCTGGGTTTTTTTTGGTATTGCTCTCCGATTTAGTTTAAAATAACACAATCTGTTTGATTAATTTTCCTTTAATTTCAGTGTACAGTCACCCATCAAACCCAGTATTTTCCAATGTGGTATCCAAGTTTTACTGCAATAACAAGGAATGTATATTGGCTACTCTAAATAAATCAGTAACGGTAGAATGTTACGTAGAAGGTGGATCAAAACCCATAGAACTTAACATGTTAAAGGATGGAGCTAAACTAACAAATACCAACAAAAACAGTAACGACATAAATACCATAACTTATAACTATATTAGATACAGCTTTATACCAACTATGTCAGATATAAACGCCATGTTTACATGTACAGTAAACAACCCGGCCATTCAAGAACCATTGGCAACGTCTATAATGCTATATACTATAGGTATGTGTTTAATACGTTCAGGGTGGTTTTGGTGGAGTTTACGTTGCAGCATTACTGAAGGAAACCTCAAGCGTCATCTGTAGAAACGGACACATCATGCAGAAATTATTTTGTACAATATTTTATTTAAAATTGGTTCATACACTTGTCATTTCATTACCAAAAAAAAAAATGTCTGTAATTTATCGTTACTTTACCAATATTAATAATTATGTTAATTGGTAAGGTGTAAAAATTTTCTTAACCGTATCACATATTTTCAGCAAATGTCATTGAGCAATATAAAGAGCGTTTTATTTATGATTTAACGCTAAGTAAGTTTAAAACAAAGAAATGAGAAAAGGTTGATGTAAAAAACTTTAAATTTATAAGTACTTTTATATTTTAGTTCCCCCAACAAGTATTGAAGTGAATGTCAACGAGCTAATAGAAGGAATACAAGGTGAGGTTCAGTGTATTGCAAAGAATGGCAGACCGCCGTTGAAGTCGGACATAAATATAGGTAGTAAACAAGAGACTAATACAACAAAGACAGTTGACAAAGTTTCGGCTAATCTGTATACAATCACTATGTCGGTAACTAAGAATTTTACACGGATTCATAATCAGGAAAAGGTATTGTGTTGCAACAATATTGGCGAAACTACATGCGAAGATAAGAACCTTAACGTATTATGTAAGTTTCATTCATAATTTGATTTTTTATTCTGTTTTGGTATTGGTTGATTGATTGATTGATTGATTGGTTGATTGATTGATCGATCGATTGATTAGTTGATTGATTGATCATTTTGAAAAAAAACGATATAAACAGTACGTGTATTTATTTATTTATTTATTTATTTCAAATTCTATTTTTGACAGCTTGTGTGTGAATTCGTTTTTATCCATTTTTCCTGCACAGAAATGTGTATTAATATACTCTTAACTTTACTGATATTTATCTGAAAATGATCTTCAGAAAAGTTGATCCTTTGGAGGAAAAAGATATTTGACCAAAAAGATGCATCAGATTTGAAGAACAAGAAATATAATTATGTTGATAGATCACTCAGTGTCAGATCTCACATTACATTATAAAGACAAGATAATGAAACTTGTATGTACATTTAAGGATGACAAAAATATTAATGCTGGGGAGTTTGAGACATGAAAGCAGTACATGTAGGTGTTTGTTGTTAATATTTAAATTTAAGAGACTTATGGTAAGTGAGTCCCGCTTTATAGATTGATTAGGTTTCATTATGTAACAGCATAACTCTGTTTCTGATATCTTTACCGATCACTTATATTTCAAAATAAAATAGTTCCACCAAAGAATGTTATTGTTGAAGAAATTTTCAAACGCAATGAAGAAAATGGAGACACCGTGATAACATTGAAGTTTATAGCCGCAGAATCTAATCCTAGAAGCTCTATTGACTTAAGTGGACTTAAACATGTCCAGCGAAAGATGGTCGATAACAGGAATGACCCGGATAATGAAACGCATGGATGGATATATACAGCGGTAAGTGAAATATTTAAACGCCGCTCTCTGTCCCTCTCTGTATGTTTCTCTCTCCGCCACTAATAATAAATCATTAGTAAACAGGATCTGATCTGGCCCAATATTTTATTCGTGTTCAATTTGGAATGGTTTTGTTAATGATTGTCTTAAAACGTTTTGAGAATTTCATTGGAGCAATGGTCTATTAAAATAGGAAATGGTTGTGTCATAGAATTTATTCAAAATTACATTTTTTTTCTAATTTCTTATACATATGTGGCTATATTATGTATTTATTTGTACAAGAAAAAAAAGAAACACATTTCTTTCATAAAACAGAATAGAAATATATGTTCTATCTAAAACATTTTTTATAGTATACATAAAATATTGGATGGTTTCTTTGGCTTTTCCCAAAGTTAAATGTTTACCACAGTTTGTTGATCTGCATGTCCACAGACTCGTTCAACTGATATTTACTATTTTGAATAATTATCAACGCATCAGCTTGTGTTTTATTATGAAATAAGATGAAAAGATGTACTTGTATATACTTCAATATTTATATTATTTTAAGATAATATTTCTATAATTTTCAGGTCTGGAGCTTCAATTTCACCAAAGATGATGATAAAAGGGAGATAAAATATGAAGTGCAAAATGACGGTTTTCCCGACCTTGAATTGAGTAACATATATACATTAAACATAACATGTGTGTTATTTGTTAAATTGTTTATTTTGTCATTTGTATTTTGAAATTTGTATTCTTAAAAGAAATTTAAACAGTTAATAGAAAATCTGCAAAATCTTTAATAAAGATTATTAATTTTACAATTCCTCTTCTGAAAAGAAATTCAAAAGACTGTTATGGAATGGTATTTTGAAACATTCTTTGTCAATTCATGAACATGTACTATATGAAACTCCTTTTTCGTTTTTTTTTATATTTACTTCCTTTATTTCAGATTATCCAATAGTAACAATATCAGAAAATGAACATAAAACTGTTTACCTTGGTGAAGATGTTGATTTGACATGCGATGTAGACAGCAATCCCCTATCAACACTTTCGTGGCACAATCAGACCGCCGTAATTGATGGTAAATAGCAGACAATTAAATGTTTTTGAAAATATTAAAGAAAATAACAAACCTTTTCAACATATAACATTATGAAATTTAATTCTTACGCAAAGTAAGTTTTCTATGCATATCTTTTCATTGAAAGCTATTTCATTTGTTTTTTTTTTAACTTTTTTACTATTTTATATTTCCGCCAAAAATGTCTAAAATGTAACGTGTGTCTATGCTGGTATTCTGTATGAGCTTTTTTATTTGTTGCGTAACCTCACTCTGGTACGCACAATTTAAATGGTACGAGCAGGCACCTAGGTAGAACCACTGATCTTTATAGCTTCTGCATCTGTGAAATTAGGGGTTATTGATTTGACGTGAAAGACATTAAAGGGAAAGACAAGGCTAGAATAAAAACTTGATTTCAGAAAAAGAATACTATAAATAATAAATCTGCAAATTTTCTGCCGCCAAATAATGATATTAAACGAATGATAACAAAATTTAAATCGCTAAATCACCGATTTCTACATATCAGTAGGCGCGGCCATGTTTGTGTATTGGCCGTATAAAAACAGGTGCGCGTGATGTCATTTCCCCACATCTAAATCTAGTAGAATCGTAGCGAAATATTAATATAATAAAGTATTGACCAGACAAATTAATTTTGACAGGAGATGTAGAGGTCAAAATATGTAAAAATATCCAGAAATAATAAATAATAAAAAATAAAGAAACAAATAAAAAATCAACGTCTACCGGTCGCACAACTTCAGGCCAGTGATGCCCGTTACTATTTTCATTAAAGTCTCATCTTAATGTAATTAAACAATATTTCACAGATTTTATAAATACACATGTTATTATTTAACAAAGTTTCACAATCAAATAATGCAATTAAATAAACAAACGCACCAACGAATAATTGGCTGTTAATTATTCAACGGCGATAATTGTCATTATTATAAAAATCCTACTAAAACGTGTTCTTAATAGTACATGTAATTAAATTTTTGCAGTTTGATTCTGACTTTCAAATTAAAAGGTGTGAACATATGTTATAATTGATGTACACATTTCAAAAATTTAAGTTACTCTTTTGAAAAGTAAATTGTAAACATGTCTGTCAACGTATAATGCTGCGTGGTATTTATTTACATCGTAATCGTAGCCTAATATTAACTGCAGGCAACACGTTTTTATTGGCTGCTCAAAAATCTAATTTGCATAATTTATTCACACAATTGCTGGTTCTTACTACTTATGTCTAATACTGTGCATTATCCATTTTAATTGTTCCTAATTTGCACCAAATGTTCCTGTCACACTGTGTACTGACGATTTTTATTGCTCCTTGTATGCCTCTGTGCCGACAGACCTTTTGATCATGCACAATGTTGCCCTGATTGGTTAATCACCCTTGTCAAATATTCTAATGACGAAATGACATCTATTTTTTTTACGCTTCATCAGTGAACTGAATGACCTTAGGGGAAATTAAGTTCCACACTGTCAAATTATACTGTAAATAACAGCATTTCATAAAATAGCAACACATTTTTTTTTCATTTACAAATAATCATTTTAAATATTAAGTAGATTTATGATTTTTTGTTTTATTGGATTAAATTTACGGTAGTAGAAATGCGTATCTGTGTGGGAAAGGGATTGGGTAAGTAGATAACGTGGAAAAAAAGCTATAAAGAACTGGATAAACCGGAGAATATGCGTAATTACAGGGGAATGGGCAACCTGTTGCTGTTGGTACCAGTTTTGACTGGATGCCTACATAATCTAACGGACAGTTTTTTTTTCATACGATATTAGTCTGGCTGCCGATTTTCCTGCGCCATTTTCATTTTCTGCATATTGGATTTAGTTGATATTCTACGCTGAAATGCTTAAATCATGTGGTGGGATCATCAGCAAGCTTGAAAATCGGACAAATGATAATTAATGTCTCGGCGTCTTCAATTAATTAATTAAAACAATTCAGTTCCATATGATGTTTTCATAAATAATATATAATGTACGCAATAAGATTAATAAGTTCTTCATCAAGATATATTTCAGTTGTACAAGCGTGTACACCTATACCGGAAGTGGGTGTAACACGTCACAATCTCGGTCTCGTCTGTCTCGCGAGAGTGACAGAACGCCAAAATGGCGGCACCCGTGAACTTATTTCTCAAGTAAAAAATAGTGTCTTAAAACACGAATTTCTCACCTATAGAATTGATGTCAACAGAAAAACTGTCATGGTACCTCTTTTTAAATCATGAATATTTATATTAAACAGACATCAATCCATCCATTCCTATTCCTTTAAGCATTCGATCAAAGAGTCCACTATTTGTTCTCAAGTACTCAAAATGAATCAATAATCTAAATAAAAGTCAGATTTTGTATTTATTTTTATAGAGATATTCGGAGCAAAAAGAATTGAACTTCATTTAACAAACGTTTCGACAGACCATTCCCAGACATACAGTTGCAAGGCTCAAAATGGAATTGGTGGAATTGTATCAAGAAATATAACGCTTACTGTAAAAGGTATAACCTGTACGCTACAAACATTAGTGTTATATTCATGTTGTCTAAAATGAATTACAAGGGAAAACTTTAGATACATATATGTTGTTGGAAAATAGTATGTGTCCATAAAGCTAAAAACTCGTTTTCTCTTGAGTGATTAGAAGTAATTTAAGCTAATCTAAGCTACTGAGTATTATAAAACTATAACTAAAACTATATTTTGATAATTTGTTTAATCCCATAGGGAAGTGCAGTAGACAACTTGGAATCACCAGGTCTTTACATATCCTTTTCAATGTGTATTTACTTTGTTTACTTTTCAAATATTATATTTGTCCTTAAATTTGATCGTTTTTCTTTAAAGAAAAAGCACGATTATATATCAGCATACAACTCATATATTATTTCAAAAATTAATGTTTTGGCAAATTTGAATATTTTACATTCACAACTTTACTCTGAATATGGCATGAACGATCGAAAATTTGTAAACACACTGAAAAGTCGTTTTTTTATTCCAAACTTCGGAAGGGTAATTTGTGTTCTGATCAACTTATTTATAAAACCTATTCAACAATTTTGATGCATTCTATTTGATTCGATAGATTAATTGCCTTTTTTACAATTCTCTAGATCCATCTGAAAGACCAGTAACAGAAGCAATCAAACCATCGGCCGAGTCAAACATCGCCTCAGTCGTTGGGCCAATTATTGGCTGTTTATTGTGTGCGATACTTATAGCAGTTATTGTGGTTCTTATTATACGTAAGAAACGACAGAATGAACCATCAAACAAGAGGAACATTCATGAAACTAAAATTGAAGAAATAAAACCGTAAGTATCATTACTTATTATATATGTTACTTAGGATATTACATTTTCCTTTCCGTTGATTTATCGTACACTAAAACGTAGCAAGCCAATAAACTGTAATTCCTTTTTTCTTGTTACTAACAAGCGAATACACAACATATTGCATTGTCAGGTTTTAAATAAAAACAATCGCACAGAAACTGTTCGTTTTCAAAAGTATAATTTGTTAATAGCATGCGAAATACTTGAAACAAAAGATGGCATATATAGTGCTGAATTGGGTAACTCTCGGCCCACAATAAATTAATAATAAACAGTATAGCTACATAACAAAAGAAAATGCTTTCTTATAGTGTTTTACCTCTTTTTACTTTCAAAAGTTTACATCCGACAGGAAAGGGTAAGCTTTCTATAACAAGCATGCGTCTGCTTATGTTACATATGAACTTGTAGTACTTTCTATTGCAGTTTACTTTATCCTCTTGCATGGTGTAAATCTAGCATCTAAAATCCGCTGTGTTATGCCGATAACGGCCCTCGGAGATATTCAACTGATTTCGGAAAGTTATGGCATTGGTCTTAAATGTTGTTGTTTTCTTTGGCAATATCAGTAGGTCAGTTACCACAGATGCATATTAAATACCTAAGTAGATTTCGGCAATGACGTAATGACATTTAACTGAAGCTACATAGCACAATTTGTCAAATTAAATGATACTACTGTCTATTTGTCATTACATTGTGTCGAGAATTTGCATTCGTTACCAACAACAAGTTGACATTAACTATACATGCATTATGATACATTGTTCGGTTTTACTTCCTGATTAGACGTCATGATAATACTACGAAGTGCAACACGTTTACTTATTTTTCTTTGTATTAAACGCAATTAAGATATTTTATTCCTTTATGTTCACCACTTACAACTATGTTTCATTTGGATTCATTATTTTATACTTCATGTTGATGTAAATGTTTAAGTTTAATGTATACGTACTGCAATGAAACGCATCGCTTTTCACATGTCTTTGTTAGATCCTGTTCTAAATACATCATTAAATGTGTATTTGATAAATAACGTTACATTCACAGCAGTCGAGTAATTTATAATAAGATATTTGACATAAGTGTTTTCTTACCTGTCTTTGGAAATCGTTTTCTGAATATTCTGTAAAAGGGATAATACGTAATTAATTTATAAGAAGTTAACATTAATTCTCGAGGAGTTAACATTAATTCATGTGGAGTTATTATTAATTCATAAGGGGTTAAAATTGTTTCATAGGGAGTTAAAATTGATTCATAAGGAGTTAAAATTTATTTAACGAGGAGATTATAATCTTAATTCATAATGAGTAAAAACTAATTCACGAAGAGATAAAACAAATTCATAAGAAGTAAGAATTAATTCACGAGGAGTTAAGATTAATTCATGAAGAGTAAAAGTAAATTCATGAGGAAATGAAAAGAAGTTTCCAGTTTGGCCAAAACATACAATTATCTCTGGTATTATAACAATCTTTTATGACGTCAAATATTAGGTCGACTATCCAGATGACGTCATCTATATTGCAAATGAACAATGGATTTAGCGTTTTTATAATTGTTGTTATGTTTCATATCAGCACGTAAGAAGTCCGGAATGTTAATGTTTTGAAAATTCATTCTACTGAATGGTTTAGTGTAAACTTTGGAACAAGAGGCATTTCACTGCATTTTAAAACTTACATTTTAGCATGTTAATACATGTTATGCGACATTCCACAACAATTTAACATTTATGCATCTTATATTTTTAAAAATACAGGTCAAAGACGCTTTGTGTATGCCTCTGTACATTTGTTTTTTTTAACTTATTATGATTTTTAAATCAGATTTAAGCAAGTGATAAGTTTATTTTCTCTGGTCAGTGAATAGCTGTAACGATCCCCAGCTGTTTTGCCTTCTATGCTGCTTGTTTAATAATGAAGAATTACATATTCTATTGCTGCATAATTTATATTTATGTTCCCATAAATATCACCTCTTCTATTGTAAAAATCTTATCCTTATAATTATTAACACAGTAAAAATGCAAAACCGACTAAGACTGACATAGCCTGGAGGAGCAGTTAAAATACATTGTATCCTTTTCGTTTTCCACCAATGCAGTAAACCAAACAAATTGATTATGCTGTCAATGAAATAATATGAATAACTGCCAACTTAATATTGACATAAGTGTTATTGAAAAAATATATATCTATACATACTTTTAAACTTATCACATGTTGTTTGTAAAAAGGATCTCTGGTATCTAAAAGTTATTATAGAACATTTATCACTGAAGTCATTACACTCTATAAATGAAGATGTGAACGAGATCTGATGACGTAAAATGTCCAATGAACGTAATATAATAAAGGAATATCAAATCACATACTTTTCTTGTGTATGATAAAAAACCGTAGATGAAAAGACATAATAATAATGCGTAAATGCATCAACTAGTGCGTCCCATAACTGATTTCTGAATTTAAACGTTGGGGCCTTTGACTTATTTTAATATCTTAAAATCTGTTATCACCTATGTATGTACTTCAGAATTTTATGTATTAATATAATATTATATTATAATTAAATAAATAAATAATAAAGGTAATGTCAAACCTGTATTCGTGTACATTTATGGTAACGTCCGGTCAACAATTGTGTCAGTTGTGGTTGGAATTTTGAAAAAAACGTTATAAATATGTAATACATGATGATGATGATGTGACGCGCATAGGAGTAAAGTCTCCATTTCAGAGGTCAAAGTGACACTTGTACATCAAACGTAACTATTGTGGATAGATGGTCATATTAACTATCAAGGTCACACTAAGATTTTTAAGATTTATAGTTTCATAAAAATACATTGATTGTCATATTCAGTAATAAATTTTGTCATTATTAAAAGCCTTTAGACAGCTAGAACGATAAAGAATACTACTTGAATGTCAAAATAGTACTTTTGTTTATTGCGTTTGGTCATATCTTTTTCATTCATAAATGGATGTTTTTCTTTTAATTACTGGACTGACCACAATGAGAATAGAAGAAGGTATTTGTTTGTAACTCTCTTCTTATAATAACCATACTTATGTGGTAACTCAAAGGTCATGGTTCCTGTACTGTGCCCGGCTTTTTATCATTTGTCTGTTTCCAATGATACTTTTTTAAGGCAATGTGTACAGTTGTTGTTGCTGTGATTTGCATTTTACAAACTTATATAGATGCGATATAGATTCCTTACACAACTTTGTGTTGTTGTGTCTGGTCATATCTGTGTCATTTATTCATGGATGTTTTTCTTTTTAAATAATTGGCCACAGTGATCAATTGACAGAGTGTCTGTTAGTGTTTCTACATTTTGATTTTGCAGATACTGAAATGCAGGCCGGGTATGAGTCATTGGCAGGACAGGATACTACTACGGAAATAGAAATGTATACAGATTTAGGTATGTAAATTATTTGTTCTTATGCTTACCAAACGGTATCTTTTTCAGGGGAACATGACTTGGCATTTTTCTTTTGTTGCAATTGATTTTTGTTTTTAAAAGTGATTTATTTCAGACCTCTAAAGCCATGCGTTCTAATAACGCTAATTTGTTTGTGATAGGCAGTTGATGATTTTCAACCGTCTGGTTTAGAAATACGTCGTATTCTAAGTTCGAAGTTTGGCTAAACAGTATGACATTGTACAAAAATAATTTTAAGTTGTCTAAAGACTCCACTGTTATATTTGTAAGTTATTAAAATAATTGGCCACACTGATAAATTGAGAAAGTGTTTGTTAGTGTTTCTAAATTTTGATTTTGCAGATACTGAAATGCAGGGCACTACTACTGAAATAGAAATGTATACAAATTTAGGCATGTAAATTATTTGTTCTTATTCTAACCAAACGGTATTTTTATTTAGGGGAACCTGACTTGGTATTTTTTCTTCTGTTGCTATTGACTTTAAATTTGTTTTTGAAAGTAATTTATTCAAGACCTCTACAACTAATCGTTCTAATTACTCTAATTTGGTTGTGCTATACAGTTGATGACTTTCATCCGCCTGGTTTAGAGATAAACTTTGTCTCCTAAAATATGATAAACAAGGTCAACAAGGAAAGGTGGCGTTCAATGAACGCAACCCCCACACGACTTAGCAACAAGAACCAGTGGCTAGGAGCCCAAGAAAACCCCAAATAAAAACAGGACAGGGCACAAGGCAGAGCACGGACAGGCAAATAACTGAAAGTTCGACGTTTGGCCGAAAACGTACAAAATGAACTAAAATTATCTCAAGTTGTCTGAAGGCAACACTGTTAATAATAATTGTCCGTTTTTTTAAAATTGCCCACACTGATAAATTGAGAAAGTGTTTGTAAGTGATTCTAAATTTTGATTGTGCAGATGATGATATGCAGGCAAGGAATGAGTCATTGGCAGGACAAGGTACTAATACGGAAAAAGGAATGTATACAAATTTAGGTATGTAAATTATTTGTTCTTATGCTAACTAAACGGTATTTTTGTTCAGGGGACCTGACTTGGCATTTTCCTTGCAAAAAGTAATTTATTTCGGACCTCTAAAACGAAGCGTTCTAATTCCGCTAATTTGTTTGTGATAAACAGTTGATGATTATTATCCGTTTAGTTTAGCTATACTTCGTATTCTAAGTTCGACGTTTGACCGGAAACATACAGAATGAACTTAAATAATCTCAAGGTGTCTAAAGAATTGTCCGTTTTTAATTAAAACAATTGGCCACATTGATAAATTGAGAAAGTGTTTTTCTATATTTTGATTTTGCAGATACTGAAATGCACCCCGGGTATGAGTCATTGGCAGGTCAGGGCTTTACTTCGGAAATAGAAATGTATACAAATTTAGGTATGTAAATGATTTGTTCGTATGCTAACCAAAAGGTATTTTTGTTCAGGGGAACATGACTTGGCATTTTACTTGCAAAAAGTAATTTATTCCAGACCTCTTAAATGAAGCGTTATAATTACGCTAATTTGTTTGTGATATACATTTGATGATTTCCACCCGTCTTGTAAAGATATACCTCGTATTCTCAGTTCGATGTAGGCCGGAAACGTACATAATGAACTAAAATAATCTCACCTTGTTTAAAGGCAACACTGTAGTAACTGAACGTTTTTATCATTATAAGACACGTAGCCAGGTAGTAAGTAAAAAAAAACAGAATAACAATTTACTGCACGAATATTTCATTCTACATGTCTGTACATGTAGTCATTGTATTTAAATAGACGCAATAAACTTCTTAGTTCTTTAAAACAGAAAGACAAATGTTTGTATCAAAATTAAATATTGTTGGATAATTTACGGTCATGATGACTCTTTATCACTAAGCAGTGTTCACAAGGAAATATGTTGACTTGTTTAGAGATCCAAGGATAACCTGTAAGAAAAAATGTTTTTATTAAATCCATTTCGTTTTGACATTTTGATTTTTACTATAGAGATACAGAGGGGAAAACGCGAAAGGAACTCTCGAGCTTAACGAGTCATAGTTATTTGTACAACCTTGCTAAATGGTTAAACAATAACAATTTCTGTGAACTGATTTAAAATGACAAATAATCACCCCCGATACATATATTAAAATGTATTTCGCTTTTATAGCCATGACAGCCACAGCTCTGCCTGGATTCTGACTGGACTGTTTTTTGCGCAATGTTTTTTCTTCATGTCAATTTGTTCAAGACCCTTATACCGAAAATTTCTACTAGACAATAGTACTTGTAAGCTAAACGGAAATTGCCCTGAATAAAGTTTTACAATTACGAAGTGACATACAATATGAGTATAAGTGCTCTGAATAAAGGTTAACAATTAACTTACATTTTAAAATATTTGTTGCAAAAAGGATAATGAAAACACATCTTTGGTAAGCGGCATACATCATCAAAAATCGATACTTGCGGCGGTATATATAATAAAAATTTTGTTGTTTATGACAACATAAGATGTATATTTGATTGCAAAAATAGAACAAAACAAGAATAATATAACATAGAATGTCATGCATTCCTTCAATCATTTCATAATGATAATAGATTTCGTGATTTTCTTTAATTCTACCATTATTATTTTTTTTTTATTTTTCTTGAAGCTTCAACTATTTATAATGTTCCATTAAAAAACATGTTGTCTAAATGTCAGTAGGAAAGATAAAAAAGCGGCACAACCAGCTAAAATACTTGTTGCATGCAACTGCACTTTCATTTACAATTGTATTTTTACAGAAGGCCCAACGTCCACAGAATTACCTTCCGAGTATGAACATTCAGAATTGTAAATTGGATTTATTTAGGTATTATTAATTTTTCTACTCATTTTTATATACTGTTTGTAATAATGTTTTATAGTTTGGCTTGTCATTAAATATCTTCAAACTACAACTTTTTTAGTGAGATTTATTTAGTTTTGAAAAATGTATGTAACAATACGAGACAAAAGACTTGTGTATAGAAATAACCGTGACATTTTGTTTTATGTTTCCTTTTTTCAGTCGACCGCAACAGATACAGAAGTGGAAGAAGTATAATGTTTTATAGAGATTTTACATCGGATTATTAGCAACAAAACGAAAATAAAAAAGATTTAGTTCTGTACCTGTGATGCAGTGCATGCGACAAAACAAAAGTTTTCTTTAAAATCTTTTGTAAATTGATGACATATCAAAATTATTTAATGTCTTTTAAAATGTCCGAAGACAATAATAGCAGCTCGAGCTGATATTTATGCATTGTTGTGTACAACATACTATTGTGTGCACATAATATTATTATGAAACGTTTAAGAAGAATGATGCTATACTGTCCTGTAATATTATAAGTCAAACAAAATAAATTATGTTGCTGATGTCATCATTTTACGAGAACGTTTAAATATTCAATATATTAAAATGCACTGGTAGTAAATGCCTTGTTTTAGATTTGTATTTTGCATATTTATAACAGAAATGAATATAAGAGCTGTGATTTGTATAAAGCTACTTTGAAGATAGATTTTTGTAGATAGTTTCAAAATTGTAACCACAATTTTTATTATATTTATTTTTAATATTTAGTTCTTTATTAAATGCAAATGTTTTATAACATCGTTCACATCTTATTTATGCTTTAACAGAAATTAGTATTTTACCTACTTTTTAATCGGGGAACAGCAAGAATAATTAGAATTTTACATTTATTTTTATGAGCATAGTGTTAAAACAGTTTTAATATACTTATTTTCCAGTAAGTTGTTTTACAATCAATTATTTTCAATCAAAATAATCTGCGATATATTTGTAAAATGGACATTTACGAGTATTCAAACTAACAAACAAATAAAAACAAATCACAGACACAAATAAACAAGACAAAAACGACATACGAATATTTGCTTTAAAGAGAAAGTTTTCGTAAAACATGCACCGTATGAATAGCGGTTTTTTTGTTATTTAATTTGTTGGTTATATTGGGAAAATACGTGAGATTAGTCAAGATTAAAGATTTTATTAAGGCACACATATTATGTATATTGCCGTTATCAATAATGGCGTGTATACATACTAAAAAGTTATGAATTTATTTGATATTCAAAATAATTCACAAATTAGTGAAAATAAATACTGTATTGTTACAAAAGTTGATATTGTTATTTTGATATCAAATTCTATTACTAAAATGTATCAACTGTAATTAGCATTGATAAGCTAACTTGTGTCTCTCTTTTTAAAGCATTTGTAAAAATTCATTCTTTATACAGGTTAATAACTGCTTATGAGTTATGACCGAGTAAGATTAATGATATTTCTGTTTGTAAAATCTTTCTTAAGTCAGTGCACAGTAAGCGTTTGAGTATATGTAAAATGGTTCTTATTATGTATTTCATAACATGAAATACGTTTTTGTATAATTATAAAGTTCTTATTTGTTATTTTTATGGACAAAAACAACAAAACGCTTTAATCCTGCTCCTGATATGGACATCATTTATTGTAAATATCTCATATTTATGAGTTAACGTAAACGTTAATTGTTCATATACCATTTACTTTCCTAAGTATAAAAATATTACGAGTGTAACAAAGTTGTGAACATAAATGACTTCTTAATGTACTGCATCAAAACATTATCTAAATCTTTAAATAATAGAAAGTTACATTTAAGCATCCTATTTTAATCTTTATGAATATATTATTACGGAAAAATACCAAAGAAGTTTGAATGCTAAACGTCTTATTCATTTCAGTTGTTTTTTAAGTTTTTTTTTGTAATTTATTTTATTGCGGTTTTGACAATATATTTGTATAGTAGCTGCATATGTTCTTTTTGTATTTTTTAATTGTTTTTTCGTATTTAAAAACATTTATAGCATGATGCAAGCTTGATATGAGTTGTTCCTACAATCGAAAAGTTTTAATATGTATTTCATTTTAAAATTTGTTGATGAAAGTGTTCGTATTTCTATATCTAGTTGTATGTTTTCAGATTAAAGTAGCGTTACTTTGATATTGAAATACGCATTGGTGAAATTGAATTTGATCAAACAAGTAAAACGCTTATCTACAACATAACCCACAATTGAACCCGGTGAAAGCAGTTAAAACCTACTTCTGAATTGTATTCCCAGTTTTCATAATATTATCGGACTAAGAAATGGCTTGCTTGCTATCACCATTCGATCACCATATCTTTATCAATGATGTACATATTTTATGAATTTGATTGTTAAGTTTCATGTAATAATCTTTGCCACATAATGTCAAGCGCTCTTCCTCACAATGCACGTCAGTATATGATGCAATCATATGTTTACTATCTAACGATGAGTTACTAAGTGCGCAAAATATGTTTGTAAAGCTATTCAATTTCTTTCTTTGTTGATATTTTTATTGTTGCTTCGTTTTTCATCCTAAGTATTTTGATTTTCATTCTCTTATTCATAATTATATTTTAAGATATAACATGTTTACTAAAAAAGTATTCTTTGTTTCTCCCTGATAATAATGTTGTACTGCAAATTCACAAAATAAAATCATATTTGGGTACCAATATTCTATTTGCAGGAAATGTACAGTTTGATCATTCAGTAGTGATTGGAAATGCATTCATGCTTTTTGTGTCTGTAATGATTTATATAGTTTAATCAATATCTATCAATATCTTAAAAAAAACTTCTTTTCTGATCATTAAAAGATTTCATTATGTCAAGCATGTCGTAACTGGATGATTTTTGTGATTTATTTACCCTCTTACATGGACGCAATTAGTGTAGGCATGATCCTGTTATAAAATACAGATTTTGAGTGACCTCCCTTTATGTAAAATTTACTGATAATTCACAGAAAAGAGTTTCTGTTATGATTAATTAACTGCAAGTATTGATGAACACTAATTGCAACGATTTTGTGCTTTCCTAGCACGGTTTATTGCTGAATGTTTTGTATTTAATATTCATAAAACGATCAAAGTAACTTTCATAGCAAATGCAATCATTCCGTATCAAATACCTCTTTTGTGACTTTTTTCTATTCAAGAATGTACTCGGGTTATTGCTCCGCGCCCACAGGCGCAAAGCTTTTTGTGTTTACTTATTTTTTTGTCCATGGGCCCGGATTTTATCAATTAATCCCTTCGATTTACAACTAAAAATAAATTCAGATTCAATAACTCCTTCCGATTATTGTATTGGTTCCCCCTTCGGTGATTCGCAGCATTTTAATGAATAAAAACCGGAAAATAGTTCTGCTGTACATGAATTCGAAAGCCATAAATAGCTATAAATGTTCAGATTTTTGACACTTGGGTTATAAATGTGTATTTTCCCGTTTTAAGTAGTACATAAAATTATAATTTGTTACATTTTGAATGACATTTACACACAGCATATCAAGTATACTATAAGTGATTGAATTTGTCAATATAAAGAAGATTTCAGGCATAAGACTTTAATTATTTTGCTTTTAATAATTATTCTTAATTTAAACTTATAAAACTAAATGTTTAATAAGAACATGTTGATATATTGGTTATTTTGAAATAATTATAACTTTAGTATATAAGGTTATATTTCATTGGCATCATTGGTAATGCACGAAAGTAAATTATCAACATTTTGTGCTTGGTGACATGTCCGGGGTCCATACTCGACAGCGAAAGTTGCATTGTGTGCCCTTACGGGCGGATGGATCCTCATTAAACATAGACTATAGAAAGATAGATTGCATCATTGATAACAACAGAAACTTTGATCTGCAGTTTGAACGTGAGATGTATTGTTTTTATTATATAAATGTTTTTAAAGCAATTCAGCAAATACCTATATTGATCTCCCAATAAATCAATTAACAATAGCTTTTTATATATCACCAATGTCAAGTAGCTTTTACATCTTTGACTCGCACGAACATGACTGCCTATAATTCAGTTAACAGTCTTCTATTAGTATTGAAAGAAACCATCTTTTTTAATTTGACATGAAAAAAATGTTTGTAATATTACTATATTATAATATTAGTCCATTTCGTTACTATTTGTATATTTGTTACAGTTATAATAATAAAAAACAGACTTTGATATTTTTATCTTCTTATGTTACTGACTACAGTAGTGACACAAACAGAACATAGTACATTCATGTCACATAACATTTACAAGTCCTGTAAGTCTTGTTTGAATTCAATGGTATTACGTTCCTAACCAGGTAGGCATCAGTGAAAGCACTTTTTCAAATTAAATATCTGGCCCGTCTTTTTAATTATGGACAGTGCATAAGATAAGTATAATTATGCACAAAAATGGTTTACAAAACATTCGGAAAAAATCTACAATTATTATAGTACTTAATCTGAATATAACATGACCTGTGCGTAGGAATAATTTGGTAAGGTATCTGTAATGAGCGCATTTTTGCGCGGAGCTTCTCAATTGCTGCATTGCAGCAACATTTGTACTTGTACATATAGGAAAGCACTTGGCCAACTAAAATTGTAAAATTGCCAAATGAATTCATAGGGCTAGTTGAAACAAATGCTGAATTCAAATAACGTCGTCTTAAATCCATTTGGTAAGATTAGAATGTATACACAACAAAAGGCACTGTACCTCTTCTTTAACAAACAGCGCTGTATTTGTTCACTTTGAGTATGCCGTTTTTAGAGTAATTGATAACAATATCTTGTGTTTTATCATTTATATTTTATCAATATCAAGATAATAATGATTTTGAGTTTGTAACTGGACACAAATAAAATAAGTACAATGACTTTTTATAACTTTACAAATTCAATCGTTATCCCCGAGAAGTAAAAGTTAGCCCTAAAAAAAGAATTAAAAGAGCAAATTTATATATTTGAAAAATGTTGGAAAAAATCAAAGTAAGTGTCAGTTTAAATTTTAATTTTAAATCAATAAAAACAAGGGCTGTGCAAATAACGGATAAAACAAGGTTTGGGCCCATAACGAAAAACATATTCAAATAAAAACACTTCCCTCTGATCAGACTTTTGGGCAATTTTAAAAAACAGCCAATTTTCCAACCCGGACCCAATTTTATAACAGCCCCAAGCTCCTTTTTGATAGACTTTAAGACCGAAAATAGCAAAAAGTTTAAACTGCTTAGAGTTAAATTTTTTCAGCCCCCCCTTACAAAGTAAAAAATTTCAAAACAAACAGCTCCAGTGTAATTTTTATAGTGGTTTAAATTTAAATAGTGACTTTAAAAAATTAAAAATTTAATTTTTTTTTCAAAAGGTTTAAAAAAATTAACATTAAGTTTTTTAAGGTAAATAAGGGGCCCAAAATGGCCTTGATGGAGATGAAATATTCCCGTGTTGCGGGAATGTTAAAAGGGCGTAAATTACCCTTGGGGTTAAAACCAAATTTTTTAAAACTTTCCTTTTTAAATTGGTTTCCTTTGGGTTTTTTTTAAAAATTTTTAACCCAAAATTTTAACTAAAATTTTTTTTTTCGGCGCATGTAATTGGGAAAATTATGACAAATTGAAAATTTTTTTTCAGAATTAGCGGAAATTGAGGGAAAAAATTGTCAAAATTTTCATTTTTCTTGGGGGCATATGAAAAAAACTGGAAAGGTCTAGAATATTAAAATTTAAAGAAAAAAAGGGTTTTTAAAACTTTTCAAATTTTTTAAACTTTTGTTTTTTCCCCTTTTTTCCCGTTTAAATTGGGCTACAACTGATCTCAAGTTATAGTTGAAAATGGCAATTTTCTTCTCAAACTATGCCATCTTACCGAAAAATTTGCCCAAAAGAGTACTACAAATATAAAATTGTAATTCATAACCATAATCATTTTTTTCTTAAAAATAAGGGTCAAATAACTCCATATTGAAATGTTCACAATTCAATTATTGGTTGTAATCTTTCGTACGCGACATTAAATAACATGAACTTTGATATCAAAATGTTTAAAAACGTTTCGTCAACTCAACAAATCATTTAGAAAAAAATGACAATTCAAATAAAAAATAGAAGCCCACAACTTAACTGCATGACAGATCAATGTTTAGGTGAAGCAACTGTCAAGATGCTTTTTTGAATTATATACTTACAACTTTTGTTATATTGTTTCTCAATGGTTGTTACAAGAAGCAAGAAAACGTGACCCGAATTAAGAAACAAATAATATTTTTTAACGGGCCCTTCCCTTCCCCCCCAATTTTAAAATATTTTAAAAGTTTTAAATAAAAATAAAAGCTAAAGTAATAGGGGGGTATATAATTGTTAAATAAAAAGTAACCCAAAAGGAAAAAATAAAAAAGGGCTGGTTTAAATCTACTAGAACAATTCTATTCAGATTTACAAAAATTGAAAATTTTAAAAAGGGAAAATTTTTGAATGCCTTTTTTATTTTAAAGGTGTCCCCCGGGGGAGTAGTGAAGTGCCAAAAATTTTAAATAATAAGTAAACTTTTATTTTTTCACATCTTTTTTTTTTTTTGTTCTTTTTTCGGGAAAGTGTTGCAACCGCGAAAAACCCCCCAAAAAAAGATAAAAGAGGGGAGGGTTAAAAATTTTAATTAATTTCCCAAAAAAAAAAATTTCGTTGGTCAATATTTAGCGTACAATCGCCATAATTTGGCATTTTATCATACTGTTCATTTTGTGCGTCCCCATCGATGCCACTCTATATTTCTTTTCATTATTTTGTTTTGTCACAGTCAAGTAGGTGAGCCCACGAAATAATGGACAACAAGTAATTGAAATTAAAATAAAAAAAAGCAACAAGCAAACAAATTACTGGGCAGCCTAATCGGAAACTCGAACCTAGGACCCTCGGAATTTTTTCCATTTTACAGCCGGCCTCTGCTGGCCGGAGCTATCTGGCCTTCTATACATGTTTTCCCCCTAAAAAGCTAACAAAGTTTCGTGAGCCAAATATTCTTTCTCCGCTAATATTAAATTTTCATCCTCAAAATTTTCAGGTTACAAGATTAAAATGTGAATTAAACTCTAAGCTTATTCTGGTCACGGGCCCCCAAATTTTAGCGCTCAAAAGCCACCCGGGTAAAAGTGTGTTAAAATGATGGACTCGAACCCGGAAACCCCCGGAATGTTTTTAAAAAACAGCTCTTTCAACCCGAGCCCATCCAGCCAGCGGCATAAAAATCTTCCCCCAAAAATAAAAGTTTTGAACCAAAGGGAAAATAAAATTTAAAATTATCAAAAACTTGCCTTTCATGATTTTTTTCAAAAAGTTAAAGTAAAAAACCAAAATACTTCAAAACCCGGAAATTTTGGTTTTTTACCCTTGTTTTAAAATTTAAAAAAATCTTTTTGGGTGAAAATTTTCGACATCTGTAAAATTTAAATTTTTAAAAATTCAATGTATGTAAATTGTTAACTTTAAAAATTTTGCAGGAACAAAAAGGGGCCCAACCCAAATTTCAACCCAAAAAAATCTTTTACAAGTAAAAACAATTTTTTTATAAACATAAGCAACAAGATTAAAAATGTTTAATGCACATAAAGTGTAAATAATTTTAGTCCAATTTGATTAAATATATTATATTTAGAATTATCTCTTGTCCTACAAATTGGTAATTTTGTAACAGGATGAGAAAATGTGCAGCGTGACCAGGACTCAAACCTGAGACCCTCAAAATACCTTACTTTAGCTCTACCGACTGAGCTATCAAGTTGCTTGCCCATCAATTTCTCTTAATAGTGAACTCTTCTGAACCATGCTAATTACTTTCCAGTTAATATTGAAATTTGTCCTTAATTTTTTTAGGGTTACAGAGCTATGTGAATTAAACCCTGAGCTATATATGCCAAATGTAACAGAGTGAGAATAATATTCAGTCTGACCGGGATTCCAAGCCGGGACTCTCAGAATATCATACCGTGGCTCGAAAAACCGACTTGAGCTAATCGGACATTTTACAAAATTTTCTCCCAAAACACGTGAACAGTTTTTTAAAACCCGGAATATCCCACCAATTAAATACAAATTTTTTTTTATTTAAAACCTTTTAAAAAAATTAAAGTTTTCAAGAAATAAATCCAAAAAAATTTAAAAAGGAAATATTTTCCAAGGGGGTGATCGGGTTTTTGGAAAATTTAACATTTGAAATTTGGATCCCCAATGTGCCCTACCCAAAATCTAAAATCAAAAAATATAATGTCAACAATTTACAATGGGGTAAAAGCATATGTTCCAAAAGGAAACTTTTGACCATCGTTGTCTCTAAAATAGGGAAACAAAGTAAATGGTAGGGGAATGAATTTTAAAATTCCCCTTTTTGAAACTCCTCCTTTTAAAACTTTAAATTTGATTCAATGTATATTGTTTTAAACCCCATTACCAAATATATATAATGTTTTGTAATTTACCAAGTTTTGTTAAAATTTTTAAGATTAATAATAAATCTAAATAGATTTAAATTCATTTATGCATATGAATTATTTATTTAATTTTTCTAAGTTGAAGTTCAGTTAATATTTCAGATTGATCACTTAGCCCACGGTCAAGAATAATGTCTCTGACTGATGAATCCATTGTACCACAGGATTTGTACTGAACAATTCTCTTTTACCAAACCAATTTAGACATTACATAATATAGGTATTTAAGCTAAAACATGTGGTAAATCTGAAAATAAGAATGATTGGCTATTTTAATTAATGCTCACTTTGCATGACGATAATAGAAGATTAAATACTGTCTTTTAATATCCTTAAATTATTAAAAATAAGTCATTTTTAAAAAAAAAATCAAATCAATCAGGATTGTATGAAATATCTTAAAAACAGGTAAAGGTATTCTCATTTTTTTTTATGTATGTGAATCTTTGCAACTTTCAACTGGTAAGATTTAACTTTGAAGTTCCCTATAAATTAAATATTTACTGTAGCATTAATAAGTTTTTTGGTTTTGCCCCGCACAGAATGTGCATGCTTCTTCCGTTTCTAAAATAATATCACACATTGTAAATAGGTTTAAATTTTATAGGGTCCAATATACAAACACATTCAATGTACATGTTTTAGTAATTAATCAAAATACATTTTATTTTTGGTTTCAAAGCTTTTGCGTGTGAATTTAGCGTTTTTTT